TAAGATTTACATTCATGTTTAACGATGTTTTGAAATATCCACATATGATAGGAAGTATCATCTTTGAATGCATCCTTGCAAGAAGATGCTGAAGAATCACGCTTGTTGTGGGAATCAGAAATAAAATCAAAATCAAAACTAGGGCATAAGGTATTAATAAGTATTAGAGTAGCTGGTCTAACAGTACTTGTCATCTATCAATTATGAATTATGTTTTAAAAAATCTTCTCATAGGCAAGATAGATAAAAAATGTTTAAATATATGAAAAATTGAATTCTTTAACATAGCTGTCGAAGCTAGAGAAGAAAAAAGGTGATTCAGGGATTGATAGGCGCTTTCGAGAGGTAAGAATTCTATTCTAAAGGGAACGTTTTCCTGTTATTATTTTGATAATTTTAACCGAATGATTGGAAAATGGTGCCAAAATTAGTCTATGCTTCTCCCCTTTATACTGGCTGAAACTACAGTATTAATATATCTAGAGAAGATTACGATACTCATAGTCAAGTGCTTAGGAACCGTGCTGGAATTAATCTGTTATTACACTATCGATCTTCCGCTGGGCTAGTTGACAGTATTAATTTATTTAGCGCTTAGTAGATTTTAATACTTAGAGCCGAATGATTTGTGGGCGAATTTCTCCGTATTGATACTGTCGCACTAATCGTGTTAGTTAATATATCTATTTACCTATAGAAGATTTTTATAACACAAAAATAACACTTTTAACAGTTTTAGTTGAATAATTTGGAATAATAATAAGAGAAATCTATCCATGCTCAGCATCTATTTTCGTTCCTAAATCTCTGTCACAATAGTTCAAATTATTCTTTTACTTTAAAGAAATTCTCGTTATATCAGTTATTTTCAATTTTAAATCTATAGGAAATTATCAATGCCGAAAGAGCTTATGCTATGAAGAGTAATTCTGATCAAATTGCCGAAGAATGGAAATACAAGTATGCATTAGTAGATATAATTTACGCTCCAATTCTGCACATAAAGGATATTTTCGTCTTCTCGTGATTATTGACCAGTAGCTTCTTCAATTGTATGTATAGCAGTAATGCAGAACGATATTATTCTGACGATGATATTACATACCTTTCCGATAGAACAACGCATTCAAATATAGTCGTATAATATTAAGTGTCATAGATTTTAGCCCTGGATAAGCATTTCACTGCATAAATTAATTCTCAAGCTTGGCTCTAGTTGCATTATGCTTCTGACAACAAGGCTTTACAATATCCTTTATATCTACTTAATGTAAAATTTTAATAAGCATGATTCGTTACATTCTTCAGGAGTAAGGAATTGGAAAATAAATTGGATGCTATGTCACGAAAATATAAAAATGCCAAAAGTAAATTGAAAGTAAGTCTACTCATTCCGGTAATCAGTTTAAAAATAAGCGGTAACCGAAAATAGTATTTTCTCATGGTTTTTTTGAATCTTAAGCTGGAGCAAACTGATCATAATAATCGCTAACTATAGTAATAAATGTTTCACATTATAGAAACTGCAAGAGACTGTCGATGCTATTCCATCCCTTCAAGATGAATATAATCGTGAAAGAAATTCCATGCAAACATCAATCAGTGATATGAAACACCAGGTAAATCTTGCAGATAAAATTGACAATCACAGCTCTATTCTACAATATCTCATCAATTTGGATGAAAGCTTGATAGACCATTAGCTATGGACTTTTTCCTAGCTAATATAGCTTGAACGACTCCTTACTTCACGTACAGTGAAGTAGAAATTGTTCAATTGTAATTGCAGAGAGAATTTGTCCGCTAAGGAACTCTTTTTAATAAATATATTGGTAATCTGTCCTTATCTTGTGAGTAGCGCTGAAGAGAAATATTTATACTGTAACTGTTATTTAGAACAGAATCTGCTAGCGAGAGAGAATTCTTCAGCGTATTCGTATTAATTCCATGTTCGTGTGTCAAATGGATATTAATGAGTTAGATTCAGCATTCTAGGACAAATCTGCTAGTTGAAAAAGGTTTTCTGAGTGATATTTTGTACCTTGTGTAAAACTGATGGAAAATAGTTACCATAGGTTGAAATACTAACTCCGTAACTCAGAGCAGAATCTAATTCAGCTAATGATTTTAAATCTTTATTCAAGATCGAACAAGCAAGCGTTATTTTCGCCCAAGAGGTAGACGAAAAAGCCAAATTAGAAATGAGATGTAATCTCTTAAATGAAGGTAAGAAGTTATATTATCGTCTGCTGCTTTCATTAAATGCGAAATTAATGCTTAAGTCGCTCATATAACAACTTCTATCTCTTTAGAAAATAACTCCTTGAAGAAACAAACTCATGTAAGTAGCTTTGTATTAAAATTATTTTCAAGTTAGATGTTAAAAAGCTATGCTTTTAGGACGTTGAAAAAATTCAGAATGCAAAGAAAGGTTTAGAAGATCAGTTACTTAATCTACAGGTATTAAGGCTAGAAAAATTAATGTGCTAGATATTAGCATACCAAGGTAACTGATAATTGACTGAAATTTAATCTACACAGGAATCCATGAAACATCAGTATATTGAGAAAAAAGAATTTGATAAATTAAAGAAGAATGTCGAGACTAAGGTAAGATATAAATTCTGTTTAGTTAGTATATTTGCAAATATTGTAATAGTATTTAGTTTAAATGGATAATGAAAGAGATAACTATTAATTCCAGTTGAATAGATGAATATACGGTATATCATCTTTATAATTCGCTAAATGTTAAACTTTGCAACAGTAAATCTCCATAAATGTATGATATAGATGTTTCTTGCTAAATGTTATCCCTTTTTTACTAACGGAGAACGCTACAACGTGTTTCACAATTTTCCTATGTAAAGACAAGAAATGCTTTGACTAATCGTCGAGAGATATTTCGCTTACAAGTATTTATTTTATTAATTATTATAGTATCGTTACCAGCTATCTCAAAAATTGCAAGAAGTTAACAAGTATCTTGATGATCAAGTCTTAACTATAAGATCGATTTCACGAACTAGCAGGTATGCCTACGCTATAACATGAAATAATCAAACTATGAGGGGAATAGTGATATATCTCTTTACGTTCCTCTTGCATTTCTTTATTGAAAGTTATTATCCTCATTGATCTTGAAATAATCAAGAGTTTTTGATCTTACTGATAGGTTGCAATAGGTTGAAGGATTTCTACTATTATTCTGGTGGTATTGGTATTAGGATGGAATTATTGCTGCTTTAGAATGGATTTTACCCCTTCAATCTAAGTCCAAGATATTAAATTAAATTAAACGTTTTATTTCTTATTTCAAATTCGTTTTTACTTAGATTGGATTTCTCTGAAATTATATTAAAATAACGACCCTAAAAATATTAACATAGGTTATCCGATGTTTGACTTTTAATATCGCACTTCAATGCGGAACTTTCTGTTTACATGCAATTTAAGACTTTTTATTTCGATCTTTTTTAACATATACGCGTATGACAGGATATACACCTATGTTAAATGTTATTATATGTATAATTCTGCGGTTTAAATTCGTATCATGTATATATATATATCAAATTAGTGATTGTGTAAACATACGCGGATTGTTCAGGATTTTAAAATTGGAAGATTGTGGCCTATTTATCGATTAACGTAAAAACTTCGCGTTTAGACTTGTATTATTAATATTGTTGGTAATGGATTATAGAAGTCAAAGATTTTTAAACTAGAGTCGATATCTATATCCTTCTTACTTTCTGTCATTCTGCATTGTATAGGAATGGTTATATAATAAAATTTGTAGTCTAGGGGTTCATGAGTACAGTGTACAAGTAGTTTCAGAATGTTATATTCTCCCATGAAATCACCCGAGAAAAGCTTTGATCTAACAGTTTAAGGCTATGTCAGAATACTATTTAAGGTTAAAAAGCCTCCCTGAGCAGTCCTATCATTACAAATGTAGCCTTTGTATATGCCTGGGATAACTTCTGTACGCTAAAATATTTCATACTATGCAAAATTCTCAGAACTGGAACCCTTTAATTAACTGAATTATTCTAACTATGGGATTCATCTAGTAGTTAGAAGCCGTATTACGACGCCCTTGTGCGAAAAATTGCTCTATGAGTCTAATCAGTATAACCCTATTTATGTATGAGTGTGCCTAATATTTAAAATACACAGCATTTGAGTTGGCTTAGCTACATTTCATTCAATATGATAGTTATACGTTGATTCTGTAATCCAAAAATTAATGAATAAGCATCTAAGCAAGAGTTAAAATTCTAGGCAGTAGCTGTTTACTGTGAATAAAGGCTATCGAATATGATATTAAAACGCATAATCTGACGAGGTACTACGCAGATATGAATCAAGACACTTCTATAGTCTAATCAATAATAAAGCGACGTTGCATGAAGTGGACCTTTACAGATTTATCCGTTTATTTTAAGTCTTTACAGGTTGTAATTTTAGGTTATCGAGTAAGATCGATGATACAACGCTCAATATATCCATCTTACTCAAGGTGCTAGCAAAAAAATTTGTCAATAAATCAATCAACTTTCACCATGCTAAAGATCTCAAGCCATGTTACATCGTAATTACTCTTAAATATTGAACCTATAATGTTAAATCAGTTTAAAGTGGCAATCCAGTCATGCAGGGCTGCCGATTACTACGTAATGATTCAACTGCAATTTCGAAACATTTTACATAAATTAAATCCAGCGGACTCTATTGTACTCAATTTTAGTAAAAACAACAATATAATCTTAGATTATTTAAAAATAAATACATTAGTCTTCAATCTGTATACATGAAAAATAAAAAACGATCAGGATTCAACTGCTAAATTCGAAGGTTATATAACATGTGTTTGTAAATTGCAGTGCAGTGCCATAAACAGGGTAAAATTGATATAACGTTCGTGGTTCTTGTAAGGGAATATTCAATTATAAATAAAAGTGATAAGAAACAAGAAATAATATATGACAGTCTCATTAATCCGTAGAGTTTGTTTCGTCATCCGATTCGTCCCCAATGATGTCTTGTTTGATCGTAAATGCACCGCCATCATGGATAGCATTTATAGATGATATCAATTTAGAATTTGTTAATAAATCGTCACTTGATGCGGTACCAGAAAAGATATTAACCAAACATCTGTCTCGTTCATTATTATAAGAGTGTTTGTTTTCTGTGGCAGGAATGAAGTCTCGTTTAACCTTCTCAGTAACAGCATACGCTGGAGAATTTTTTTCAGCAACTCGGTCTCTTAAAACATTTTGCAGCTCATTCATTAATGCCGTATTCGATATTTGTTCTTTTTGTACATCCTACATTATTCAACATTATACGACCAGTTCGTCGATCAGACTTGAGTAACTTACTACTGTAATAATTGCATATCTTCCTACCTCAACAGAATTATCAATCCCTTCTAGCAAAGACACCATATCTTTCTTCGTTATGTAAGCTTCGTAAACCTGAAATAGCATAGACAAGCAATATGTGTACAAGATTTAGATTATGTTAAAGATTTTTCAGAAGCTTTAAGTGTAGTAGTTCCTCATTACCTTGTCTTCGTTTTCTTCCGCAATGATAGTATTAATTGAAGAGAGTCCCGTTGGGATTTCCACTATAGAATTCATATACTTATATATTCTGTCTATTTTAAGCTTACCTATAATGTAATCGCAATTTTGTATTGTCAAGTACCTTCTGTTTCTTCGTTACCATCTTGTTGGCTTCTTGATTCTACAGGCAGATATTCAAGAGAAAATTCTTTATATTCAAAGTTACGAACGTATTTGTAGAACTATTCACCGGTATCCTACCTGGGTCTTCGATCGGTTTGTTTAGAATTTTCATTACTGTAGTTTTAGCAAAACTCCAGCAATCGCGTGCTGAATTTATATCCATAGTGATTTGATTATACAGACCTAAATGGTTATATCAAGACAATACCAGGTTTGATGTAATTACTTCACGTAAGCATCACCTTTCATCTGCACAGTATATCGTACAAGTATATTGACACGGTATGTATTCTACCTTCCGTTGCGGAATTATCTGAATTAATTTGCTCCTTATTATCATCAAAAGCCTTTACACACTTTTCAAACAGCTCTAATCTATATTATTATAAAGATTTTTGCATGTTTTTATATATTTAACTACATTATGAAACGGAAATCAAATTGTAGGTACCATTATCAGGCTAAAAAATCTACCTGTTAATAGTAGCCAAAAGATGAAGACGAAAGTTCCTAATTGATTGGCTTAACTGACTTTGTGCCGTGTTGCTTTGGTTGTCGCTACTATAATTGCTTGACAATCTATTTTTGGCAGCTACAGGTCGAAATCGATACAGTGTCAGCATTTAATAAGCGAACTAGTACATTAATTATAAGGGGTGCTAATTTTTATCTTTATTTCTTGTTGGGCACTATTACCAGCAGCGAACACATGCAACTACTAAGTGATTACAAAATAATATTTACCACTGAAGGCTAATTTTTGTGTTTCCATAGAGTCGGCCAGATCTTTGCATGAGGTTTTTATGCTATCAACCAACTCATGAATAATACGCCAGGCAAAGATTTGACGTAGAGCAGTGTCTGCAATGTGTAAGGATGACAGTATAATATCATTATGGAGTTATGGTATTTACAGTAGTAAGCGTTCAAAGGGAAAGTAAAATCGCGGATCTAACCTGACACTATACAGGCTTGTATCAAACAACAAAAGAATTCTGAAAACTGCTTATAGCAGAGAGATCTCATTGCCTATAGGAACGACATTAAATGTTAGCCTTTATTGTACCATGAATGACCGTATTAATTCCAACTTGCCTTTATTGATTGCAAGGAAAAATGGTCAGTATTTTCTTGATATTCTTCTAAGGAAAGTAATTCATTCTACGGTAAAACAATTATTTTGATACATTGTAAGACTACTGATGAACTTTCCCGTTATAATCTTACTGAAGTGAAGAAATTTCTTCATTTAACGTATAAGCTAGAAGAATTTATACAACCTGAGCAGATTTCACTATTCCCAATTCACATAAAGGTATAGGACAGCAAATGTCGAGATTATTCAGTTTCGCTCCAAGTCCATATCTAATTAATATTGAGTGATAGCAGCGTATTTATACTAATAATGTCGTTATATTTACGTAAGATGCAATGTATTACACATCACGCATGAAGGAAGAAAACAAATCTAAGAGTAGTACATTCGATTTAAATATAGTTACCTTTTTACAATAGTATTAGTTGCCTCTTGAATAGCAATAATCTGTTTTAAAGATATCATAAACAGAGTTTGACGCAGATGGTTACACTGGCGTCGATCGGATTTTAGTTCAATTCGGGTTATAGGTGGTATAGTATCACCTAGTCTGTAAAGCAAAATATTTTTCATTTCAATAGCGCATTCGATGCGTGACAATAATGATCCTATATCCGGATAGGACTAGTTTAGCAATTCAAGAGAGAACATTTATTCTATTGAATTACAGTGTAAATCCACGAGAAATGACTTCCATTTCCATAATGAATCGAACGACTTTCTTACTGCATGCGATATAATTTTCGATAGTTTTGATAGCACTCTCTAAGGTGGTGAAATCTTGGTCTTGCGCCACTTTAGTATATTTTTCCTGCTAAATATTTTTTAAGTTTTGTACGCATTAGGAAGTTAAATCGTAACAGAATATTTCACTTTATGAACTCTATTATTCCTAATAAGTACTGAAAGCTTAGCTTACCCATAGCAACCGATAGATAAAGTAGCCCAGGACAAGAAAGGCAAATGTCGATAAGGACAGGATTGCTAAGGTTCCAAAAAATAAGGAGCTTTTAAAGTATAACGCAATTGCACAGGCTAGACCAATGGAAAAGCAGGTAGAAAGCCAACGAATGTATAAATTTCTATTGCAGAAAGTAGTTTATTAAATTAACTTTTAAAGCACAAACTAAGAGCTTTGCTAATTTCAAGGCTAAAATGCTTTCTGAGGTAAGGTTTCAAGACGCAGAGTACTTGCCTAATCTTTATAGATTCCTTCTCAATTTCTTGATTCCATTTCACCTAAAATATATAATAAGTTTAAATGATAGTAAATATGCATTGCTAAATAGGCGTATTGGATGGATCACTTATACATGCTGTAAAATGTGGTCAATATAGTCGATATTTACCTTATTCCATTTGAGATATAAATTATCAAATATGTTTGAGTTTATTTGCCTAACAATATCTTCATCTTCCTCCAGTAGAACATCATTATTAAGTAGTAGTTCTATGCAAGTGTATTTACCATTTTCTATCTAAATTTGCAGTTGATCAAGTGATTAATAAGATGGATAAGCAAGATAATAACACGACTTACTAACCAATTTATTATGTAACTGTTGCTGTCTTTTGGTGCTTTCATGCCGTAGTGCCAGCCACAGTAGTTTGATATAATACTAATGTAATTTCAGCAATGGAAGGATTACTTCACGTAAGATTTGAATTGATAGGAATAGCAGAATAACTATCACTTACATAAATAACGGCCAATCTAGAATGTTGTTTTTCTTGTACCTTCGACTGGTTACTTAATGAGCGTGGCTCCACGTCAAGTTGCTGACCATGTTCGATTCCTAAAGATATGATAGAGGTAGCATCAAAATATTATATAAAGTAAAACATTACAATCATGTTAGAAGAAAAATCTGATCAATGCTACTACAATACCTTCCAAGTATTGGTGTAGAGGAGAACCCTACAAGAAAGGATACAAACATCTGAGTAACAAGGTTAAATTTTATCTAGCCTTTTGCAATATCCTGTAACGATATGATGTTATCTCTAACTGCATCGAATCTTAATCTATAGCTTGTACATCATAATACTTAATAGCATTTTCAGTTATAAATATGGCTACCTTAAAAAGAACAGAATTATCAGCCATAGTTGATTACAGATTGCAGGTTGGTCCGAGCTGTTATTTCCTTGTTGAGCTGTGGATTTCTGCACCTTCAAGATTCGTATTCTCTAGCTTCTTTCAGTTTAAAATATCGAGTATGTTTCGAGTATAGCTCATACCTTCCGTACAGGGTTATTTTTCTGTCGCTTCCATGCCAGTTATAATGCTTTTGCCCTATATAATCCATATAATTTGTAATATTTACTCCTCCATTTTGCAGCTATGCCAACCACTCAGCTGACTCCTGTAGAACTGTAGATTCCTGATATACAGTAGGGATTCACTAACCATATACATCATGTTAGTATAGAATTGAAGATCGTGAATAGTATACTATACAGAGGTAAGATCGCATCGGTACGGTTACGGTACTAGTACTACAGACCTTGTGGAGCTTCAACCGTATTGCAGTTCCAAGGTAACCAAATGGCTGCTAGCCTTATTAGCGAATAGCTCTCTCGATTATATTGGAATCAACGATACCTACCTTAGAAGAAGAGTAACTTGTAGGATTTACGTGATAGCCTTTTAAGAAGAACAAGACTGCCGGATAGACTAAGAATTTCGATCATTTTGACGTCAATGGAGACATCAACTCAGCATGTAAGATTTGACAGTAGATTGGAGCTGCAACAAACTCAGCTTTCTTTTATTTTAGTTACTTTAAATTGTCTTTAATGATGATATGTATAGGGCTTGAAAGGTTATGAGTTACCTTAACGTTAATAATCTTGACTATTTGTCATGATTGATAGGTATTAAATTGTTCGTTTTCGTCTTGGTATCCTAAATTTCGCAGATTAACTATTACCAGGTAAAGAGGAGACTTTGTGTATCGTCATTTACTCATAAAAGTGCAGTAAACGATACGAAGCTAAGCCTCGAGTTAATCATAATATCACCTGTCACTCACTTTAAATGAGATTTAGTAGATTCTACATGCTGAAAACTAATCCTTGTTTCTTCGTTATTATTAGCCGAGTTGTTCCTTTGCCTATTGAATTTATTAATTACCTCAATGCAGACGGTGTGGTTTTGCCTCAAGCGTATGTTACTTACAGGATAAATTGCTGAAACTATAGTAATGGAATTGTGTAATCTATGATTACGCTACTCAATTTCTAATGAATTGCATTGCCTAGCTGCCCACAACCATCAACACGCTATACCTGCGGAGACGAATCTGATTCTGACTTGAGCGATGAGGTAATATGCGGCTTGGAATATTGATGTGATTAGTATCCTCTTATGACTAAATGATAACGGATGAATTTAATGTTAATGGATATAACGATCACATGTTTGCCACTTCAACTGCTATCCAAGTGGAATAATGCAAGTGATGATGAAGATACTACAGCGGTAAGCACTGCTCATATTTAGTATCGGAAATCCTCATGTATCTGTGTAGTTACAAATTCTTTTCTATGCTTAATGTTATAGCCTATCCCTACTTTTCCCAAACTGGAAGAAGATGTTAATCAACACATCCGAGAACTCGGCGGTTATGTATTTCCGAAACTTAATTGGAGTTCACCTCAGGTATTACAATGGTGTGATATTTGTAGCGCCGATTAGTCTAACTATTTACTGTTATAATTCACGATTAATATTCCGTGAACGTACTTAAAGTTGACTCTATATCAATTGGTTTTAGGACGCCGCTTGGATTTCACATAACGGTACACTTCAATGTTCAACATTTCAAGACATAACATTGTTGTTAAAGAGTTCTGATCGTGTTGGCCACGATCTTACGAAACCGTAAGTGTTGCCTAATGTGTCTCTTTGCTTACTACTGTTGATGTAACTATTAGTCATCTTAGTTTTGAGGGTTGCCAAAATCCTGCTGGAGATTTTTCTGGCTATGAGGTAATACTACTTATCTTATTCGTTAATTTTATGTTCGTAATTAATAAAGCGCTTGAGCTAATATTCAACTCATTTTTACCCAATACGACTACGCCGAAGCTTATACTAAGAAAATGGCAAGAAGTTTCTGGTGGAATGGAATACAGGTGTTTTATTCGCGATGGCAACATTATAGGCATGTAAAATTTATGAACAATATAGAAAGGAATGTAAAGATTTTGATACCAAACCTATTAATTTTGTTCATGCAGCGATTAGCCAAAGAGATATATCCAACTATTATCCATTTATGGTTACTACTATGACAGAGTGTTGCCATGATATAGCAAAATTCTTTTATAAAAATATAAAGGAAAAATTTACGGAAACGAATTGTTAGTACTTATGCATTTTTCAATACACTGTGCGTTGTTTAAGAGTTTCATAACAGTAATATCGACGTGATCATATTTTATTTTATTTAAAAAATTTAGATGTTATAGATATTTATAGAAGAAAAAAGGTAATTTTCATAATCTTGATTTACGCATAATTTATTTTAGCAAATTGTTCTACTAACGATACTCATATTGTTAAATGTATTAGAATTCGATCACTTTGGTCGACTTTAATCCATTCAACACTTTAACTGATACAGCATTATTTGAATGGAGTGAATTAACTAGCGGCCAACCATTAGCAGGTCTGAATTGTACTTAATCATTTTTGAGTTATTTTCTGATGAACTTTTTTTATCGTACTAACCTTATTGTCTATCTGATAATCCGACACAGGCCACAGGGTTAAATGTCCGATTGATGATCAAGAATCTCGTATCCAGGTTTAACTAATACTGTAACCTGTACCTTATATTAAACATACGTATATATGTATGATATCTGAGAATTTGCTATTACCGTTATACGGATAGATCGTTATATTTAGATGCATTGAAGGTTCTCATGGGATTGCTTCAAATCCATATCTAAGATCTAAAGTACCTCTGGTAAGTTTTGCATAGTTATATAGGTTAGGAAGTATTTTAAGGTTGCAATCTCGTCCTATTATACGGTAGCTAAATATTTATTAATATGATATTATTACTTGGTAAATTTTTAGGACATCGCGGAGGCAAATTCCAACGTTAATGCTAGTCAACTCGTGGAGTATCTGAAGCTGGTAATTGTTTCTTTTGGGGCGTGCATTATATTTTGTAGTAATGTTATTATAGCGTTGTTATTTTTAAGTCACACCATATTCATACACTATAGATGTCGAAGAAGATGGAAAATGATGAAATTTGAATAAAATTGATCCAAATTTTATTAAAGTATTTTTATTTACAATTGTCTTGCTATTGTGCAAGACAGAAATAAAGTTTGGTCGATGGAATGAAATAATCATAACAATCGTAATTTGCTTAAATTTTCATTTTCTTGTGAGGTATCTCATTAATTTGTATGTATCTATAAAGATATATTCGTATAAACATGTATATGTATTTGTATAGACAGTTAACGGTCCGGTTTCGATGATAAGAATGTAGAGGCATCAGCTGTACTATAAATAACTTCTATTCCTGTGGCTTGTACCTTTGTTATAGCACTTCTGTTAAAAGCAAAGTTTATTCAAAACTTGCGTTAGCTAAACTAAGTACAATCAACATCATTGTGTTAGAAATTGTATATAATAAGAAGAAGCTGGCGTACTTTGTGATGTTGCGACAGTACAAGAGTGTTAACTTCTTTAGCTTTTTACACCCTTTTCGGATGTATCGCAGTGATTTATCTCTGAAATGAATGATTGAATGAATAATTAATTAAATAAATAAGTTATTTTTAAATCCTTAGTAGCAATTATCCTTTATCGCTATCTGATGAACTTACGTTATATGGGAGCACGCTGACATATCCAGCTCTTCTAAGTATCGCAATACACCAGATATATATTGGGCACTGGTATCAGTTAGCTGTAAATAATGTAACAAATTTAGAGAGAATAGCTAGTATCTATACCCTATTAGCTATGTTTAGGTGGTTGTTGATTAGAAATTTGAGAAATAAAGATCATTTTTACCTGTGAACAACCTCCTAATTTTAACGATTTAAGAAGTCGACAGCAAAATGCTATGCTTTTAACGGCGTTATCGGTTATTAACTAGTTTAAAATTGAATTTTCAGATTTTACGTTACGATGTAATGCAAGTTCGTATCTGGAAGTTAAGTAAAATTGATTTAGATAGATATAGTACTTACTACACAGTGTGATAGGTCCAAAGACAGTAAGTCTCGGCAATGTTGACACATCCTCTGTAATTGAGAATTATATGAGTTACATCTCATGAATGTAAATTATACAGCATATTATCCAAATAGTACTGGATAGATTAATTACGCTATCAGATTAATCTCAGAAAAAAGACGTTAAAATGTATTTATAAAATAGTGATAATATGTACTATAGAAATATAGGTAAAAATTATATTACGAACTGCTTATCAATTTTAGTGGGGCAGCTATCAGTGTAAGTAATGACTATCACGTTAAATCTTACTTTAAATTACGATATCGTATTACCAATATTTTACATTATGAAAATTATAGGATCCAATAATACAATAAATCTATATTTACTTGAGTCATTACATTAATTTTTCAACAATAGTGCTCTTAAGATATAGAATTTAACGAAGGATTGTTAGGATAATTTATATGTGATTAAAGTTTGTCTTTCACAAATTTAAAGAACAGTATTAGCTAGAGAGTCACACACCTGTACACCAAAATCTGAAATTGTGCTACACTCAGCCAAATCAATCTTACGAAATTTGCTATTGTTGCCAAGAGCCATCAAGCCTTGATCTTGAATAAAGCAACCTGATAGATCTATTGAAACTAAATTGGACAACCCTCCCATAAGTTCTGCTCCAGCATCTGTGACATGCTCACAAAAACAGAAACTAGCCCGCTGTAATTCTGTACACCTGGGAAAAAATGTGATTTAAAATTTACAGAATTGCCAGTTCTCTTTCTGCTCCTTTTTCTACTTTAGCTATTTAGAGCATTTATATAGCTTATAACTTTATTAAGGTAGTACCTTTGTGCTATTCTAAGTAGAGTTACATCGCTAATTCTTATACAGTTTGATAGATTAAGCTCTTTTAGTTTGGAAGACGCTGGACCTTCTACTACATGACGCACACCAGTATCTGATATCCTATATAAGAAGTATTAAATTTTATCCATAAAATAAACTATTATTGCAAGTGCATTAAAGCTGTTGCGATTTTTCATGACAAATATTTAATTTTTTTGTGAAAATGTAATTTGTACCTTACGCAGTCAGCTACATTTAAGTAGTTTAATTGTCGACAGGGTGCTAAGGCTTTGATTGATAAATCTGTTAATCTTGGACAATCGACAAGATAAATATGATTTAATTCAAGGCAGTTCCTTCCTAAAGCTTTAATGGAGGTATCCGTTATAAGGTTATTTCCTAAAGATTTAGACAGTATGTCCATGATTAAAAATTAGAATTGCAAATATTCATACAAAGGTTATAATTTTACTGTCGAGAGGAAAATGAAATCATTTTCTACATTAGATACGGTACTATTTCAGTATAAAATTGCAACAGCAATAATCAATTTAAGATAGTGTATTAATAACTACCTTCTATGCGAAGCTTTCGTAATTTTTTAAGCTGGGAAATGTATTGGAAACTATGATCAGATAGAGAATTCGTTCCTTGTAGTGAAATTGCTCTTAAGTTACGACATCCATTAACCAATTGCTGAAATAATAGTATGCGATAAAATAAGAGATTAACTCATAGTCTATAATCTTTCGTAATGATGATACAATTGCATAGATAAATATCATATCTTTAAATGTATTTAAAAACATTATATTTAGGATATGTAACAATCCGTTCAAAAATTGAACGGTTTAAAATGTTTATTAAAGTAATAAATTAAGGATTACTAGACTTTATATCAGGATATGCTATCTTACGTAAATTAATGGCCTTATAAATGTATTTACCATTATAGCTTCATCTTTTAAAGATGCTAAATCGTTCAGTAAAATTGTATTTAAAAATGGGCAACATTCAGCGATAAATTTCATACCATCCGTATTTACCTATATTAATCAAAAATTTAAGCAACTTAAAGCCCTAGCTTGATACAGTGGTAAATATTTCACTTGACTTTTATCAACAATGATATCTATTGAGAAAATTACAAATATTGGTATTTAATTAGCTGTACTAAAGTAAGCAATTACTTGTGTACATCCTGATATATCTAAATAGGATAATTTTCGGCATCCTTTTCCAGCAGCTAAATATTGAAGTCCTTTGATCGAAAATGTGTTGACATAGGCCATACTCAGATATTGTAAATTGGTACAAAATCTAGAATATTTTAATAGTAACAATTACGATAAATTATTTATAAGAATAGATACTCATAGAGAAAATTTGATAAGTTGTACACTATTTTTCTATATAACAATCCATTGCAGTACTTTAGACAATCAGTAGACTTGCCTTGATAGTGATCTTAACGTTGCATCTGTTAAATCACATTGTGATAAGTTTAAATATAAGAGAACTTTACATCCAGTTCCAATATAGTGCATTAATTCGTCCTAGTATCAATAAGATATGTAGATACAGAATATAAAATTTTGATCATATTCATGACCTTAATTAAAATTTGATCTAACGCACATTGTAGTTGTAACAGTCGGATAAATTTAAATCTTGCAAATTTCGACATTCACCTAAAGTGTTAAAAGGAAATAAGATACGATAGATTAAAAAATAACTAAATTATTTCTATTTTATACTCTTATTATTTCAATGATTATTTTTAATGGGTGTACCTAATAAAAATCAATAACAGTTAATTTTATCAATTACCAATTATTCTTAAGGCTTCCATGCCAGCACCTCGACATCCTCTGATATTCAAGTGGCCTAGATATGGCCTTGCTTTGTGTAGAATTCTCTGTAATACTTGACTGGTGATTCTGTAATAAATAGACCATGTTATATTTCTAAAAGCTGTAAAATCTTCAAATATTTAGAAAAACTGCCACCGTGTTATTAATGCTTATTTAATTTCATATGTGTTCGTACTTTTTGATGACTGATTTATGAGAGACATCAATCTTATTCCATAGCTGATTAGCTTGTGTAATAACTTTCCAATTTCTACAAGCTTGAGCACAGCGAGCAAGATCTAGTGGATTTAAGTAGCTGAAAATCTATAGATAGAGAAATAATAAGAAGAAAATTTATTTACAGCGGTGTTTTGGAAACTTTACCATTACGTGACTTTTGATGCACTATATTTAGTAACGATTTCTTTCGAGCATTATTTCATTCATAAACTTACTTTTATAGCTAATGCACGCGGCAACAACGATAATTCATCTTGATTTTTATCTTTTACAATAGGTAACTTCATGATAGAGCCTCGAACAGTTTTCTGTTTATCTTCAGCAGGATTTATTTCTCCCCTTTCTATTTTCTATTAGGGAAAATATTTAAGCTAAGTAAATAAAGCTGAACATAAAAGCAACACATAATTGATATAATTACATCGTGGAAATTTTAATAGGCTTACAGCAAAATATTCTTTCGTTCTTCTAGCTTCAACGATAACGTTACGCCATGCGAGTAGGACCCTTTTCGATAATGATTCGTGGTACATTCTTTGTACTCGCTGATACGCGACTAATTTTTATAGTAATAAGCAAAATAATTACTTTGTATAATAAAGTGATTAAGTAATGGTTATTTATTTCAATAATTAATAAGTGATAATATTTTTTTGTAAAGATTATATAAATTGCAATTTAATTACCTTTATGTGTCACAGCTCGCACCTTCATCCATTTCTATTAAGTTATACAGGAGTTAAGGAGGAACTTACATATTAAATGCAATATTATGTCTGATTTAGATTATAAATACATCTAAATTGTTAACTGAAGTACTTTCATAACATTAACATCATAATTAATATGTAAATAGCACATTATATGAGTATATGTCACTATTTTACTCCGTTGATATAATACTGTGATATGATATTCCTATTCATTTCTTTTAATGGAAAACGTTATAAGTTAGGATACATGCCATTTAATCAAAATTTGCCATTTAACTCGCTTTCGGTGCCAATGGCGTGCTTTACGATACCGATTATCGATTTCCAATTTTTTTTCCTTTTGATATTGATGAAATAATTTCCATCCCCTTGTAAAGTATGGAATAAATCCTTAGGATATTAACCACTCTTAAATTGCTAAGATAATTTGTATGCTAGTTAATGCTTACTTAATAGCTTTGACCGTTAAGTAGGTATTATAGAATGTATATGCAGTGTAGTACATTTCTGGTGTTGGCTGTAAAATACAAACAATGATTACTGATTACGTTGTTGTATTAATCTTTATATAAATTATCTGATTGTAAAAATGAAAACCTATAGATCGCCAGTGATAAATGTTTAACCTAGTATAATGTTATTTATTATAACCTGGTTATCTTCTTCAAAATCTAAATCAAATATTGAATCAATCCAAGAGCTTTTAATCATACTTTCTTTAGGCTTGTTCTCTTCACTTATGAACATATCCCTGATAATTAGTTTAGATAGCATCAGAAGTTACCTAACCATATTTAAAACTGCTTCCGAATTAGTTATGTATGCACTTGACAGCAGTAATACTTTACCATATCAGTTGAGCATTTATTTCTTGCCCTTGTAGGCTCTTTATTTTCTCAATGATAAACCCTTTTGGATCTTCTGGACATTCAACTATTAGCCCTGACAGAATACACTAAAACATAGATGTGGTTATGATTAAATAAAATATTCGTATTTTAGGTATGTTTAAAGTAATTAGTAGCGGAATTTTTAGAATCCTAATTTTGGTGATATTTATTGCCCAGTAGCGGATGATATAATGACTATAATCATATCGAAAAGATTTTATACTTTCTTATAGGTACCTGACATATCACAGTTATAGTCAGTCAGTCTGTAATATTATTTATTCTTAAAAAAGTTAATAAAGTAGAGCTATAACTTGCTTTATTTAATAAAAAATTGAAATATAAACCAACACTGGTATAGGTCTAGTATCTCTTTCATTTTTTTACGGAGAAATTTGACAATCGCTTTAGATAGATTAAAGGGGAAGAAATATTTACAAGATAGTGAAATATTATTGATTCCTATCGTTGGTAATCACGTTTATTGGCTGTATTATTAGCAGTTGCGGTATTTCTGATTGTATCAATGAAAGAAATAAGGATAACATTAAAGCAGATGAAAGGAATAAATCTGTTACTGAATACTGTACAAAGTCAATAACGAAGCAACCTTTGTATTGGAGTAGGGTAAATTTGATTGTAGAAATTTTACCATGATGAATTACATGACTGTAATTGATTTATTTAAACTATTTTTGTGGAGTAAATCTATGTGGCAAGTATACAGTTTTAAGGATATTGCTCATTTAGATTTGTGTGTCTGTTGGGTTATAGTTCAACGTCACTTTTGCAGTTTTAGATAGAAAATTTCTATTTTACATAGATTTTTTTCTGGAAAATTACTACATATACGAGGTTTTCCAATTAGTGATGGAATATATGTATTTAACGATAGTTCTATTTAAGGCTAATGTACCTGTTTATCATGTATTATTCCAAGAAGAATATTTCTATTTTTTAAATTTATTCTCACCTCGAATAGTGCCAACATCTTATGTTTCTTTAGGTAGAACCATAGCTCAGGATCTTTCTTTTGCAATGGTAATATCATGATGCTATGGATCAATACTGATATGAAATTTATTGATCAATCACTTAAAAGATAAGGATAAAATGTAGCAAAGCCGCCAAGAATGTACTACTGTAATTGATAATGTTTGCTTTTACTTTATATGTGACTAAACAACGATAGATAAGTTGATAAGAGAGAGAGAGACCTTGTATAGGCGTTGCAAATAAGTTTTAGTTGGTTTACAAAGGCCATCATCCAATGTATCCAAATGGGCTATTATGATCCTTGGTTTCCATAACAACTGTGACCGGCAATACGTTGACGCTTGCGTGGAGTATGTTGAGTAATTTTGTCCAGATGTCCGCAGTCCGCAATCCTGCATGTTGATTGTCGTTTTGCTTTGCCAAATTATGTCAACTGGATTTATAGTATGCGTCTACTTGAATTAATGCAATCAATGATATCCATAACCCTGCTATAATATCATCAAGGCTGCAATGTAGCACGCTAGCACTGCATGCTGTATCAGTAACGACTCAAAGATAGAGAGAGCTGACTGCTAACAACTGTTTGTTGCTAAAAGTGTGGAGGCTGCCGGTCATTTTAGCATCACCATCGACTACTAGAAATGACTACTATTGATTTCTAATAGAGAGTACAGTATTGAACAATGTGGATCCATACATGCAGTATTACCATTGACAAGTAAGAACGATTGGAGTTCTGTACAGTGTAAAGATTTCAGTGTTCCAATATAGGCAAATGATGGTAAAATAGTCAGTTTGCTGCACATTTTGAGCAATGAGCAGTAGGAGCAGTTGCTGCTATTGTCGAGTTGAAAAAGAATCAAGAGATCGAGGGGAAATGATCGTTCGCTTTACCGCTAAAGCCCGACTAACTTACCGGTCATTTCAGTGTATCGTATGCCTGTAACGATACAGTCTACTGTCCACCATGGTCATTGGACTGAAGGGCTAGGCTTTATACGGTAGAGTATGGCATAACGCTTTCAGGTAGTTCTAGTATACTGTACAGTATAGTAACATCGGTACTTACTGTACGTTATACAGTTAGAGTATCCAGCGAACTCAATGCGATCGTACCGTAGGCAGCGTCAACTCCATCCACGAGTGAATGTCAATGATGTCATACGAGTAAACAGGTCAACGTCGTTGTGGGTGAATCGTAGTCAGAGTGTGTGTGTGTATGATATCCAAGCAACGACGTTATCCAACGATTCCATCATGGAGGCGGACATGAAAGAAGGTTTCCTATGCCCAGAATGTAAAAAAGATTTAACTTCGGCAGAATTATTATTACAACATGTTACATTAGAACATGGCAAAACGAAGGGGAAAGTTCTGCCCGTATTTAACGAGATCTATTATGACGATGATCGCTTTTATAAACAAGAAATCGGTAAGTTGTTGGGCCAAGTCAAGTTTGTCATCTTGGCAGTAGGATAAAATGGATGGCAAGCTCTGTCTTCTCTTTCGTTTTCTCTTATTATTTCATGACAGTCTTTGACCTAGCCCATGATCAGACTGTCTCTTAATCAATGTTAGCCCTATTATGTAGAACAATTTTCAAGTACCGACACACGATCGTAGTAAAATTGATTGGATACTGGGCGCCTTGCATGACGTCAAATTCAATTACCTAATGCTGAAGGCAACACACCGAAATGCCAATGGCTAAACTAACTTTGTGCTATACTTTCAATTAAGTATATAATTCATATTAACATCATTGAATAGATAGACTGGCTTTCATCAAGGCCAGATTCCATATGATTTCCAAAGAATCTTTCTGTATATTATAGATCTACTTGCAACCAATCACCAGTCGAATGAATTATTTGCATTTTATGGAGGATGCTATCCAAGAGGGGAAAATACAATCGATCCTGTAATCCATCGTTCATCCATTTCTTCTATGAATGATATCCCCATCTATTGCATCATGAGCGTACAATCACTACCATCAAACCAGTGTATACAGCCGTGATCGTTCCATTTGTAGACGATGGATGGATTGATCTTTTTGTCTCTATCGTAGGCATAATCAACTAATTCTATACCTTGTCATGACATAATTAATTTACGGCTTTTGTTTCCTATCCTCTTCCTCGTATGAGAATCCATTCCCATTTTAGACTTTCATTTTATGCATCAGTATCGCTGTCTTTCACTACTCCTTACGATAGAGAATTCCATTTCATTTACTGTTATTACTGGTGTCCAATAGGTTAAGCTATTATTATTTCTCAGATAGTCCTACCTGATAATGCAATGGCGTTATTTCGTAGTCCATAATGGTATCTAACAATAAAATTTCCATACATAGACAGTAGGAGATGAGCAACAGCACTTTGCTGTGGTTCAGGGGAAGCTAAACTACCATTAAAAGCATGCAATAATTAATCGTTATACTATAGAATACGAAAGGACAGAAATAACGAGCGACTGCCTACAATGGAGCCAATAAATTCGCTATTTCTATACTTTCTTCTGTGAATTTGCCACCTTTCCTCTATCCAATGGAATGCCATTATAATGATTTTATTTGACCCGCATGCAGTGAAATAGTCACACCAAATATATACGGTGTAACTATAATATTGATCCATGATAATATTTCTACATTCTGTTTATATCGCTCTCCTTTCAGCAATATAACAATATACTGGTATGCTGGAAGTAGCCAGGAAGAGAGTTACTTGTACTTTTAATTTGCTCCAGACCTTGATTTACATATTCTGGATGGAACTGTTAAGACAGTCCAGCTTAATAATAGACTTGTGATAGCTCATCATCAAGTAATAATCTCGACTAGCAACTAGATTAGAATAAGACAGTTTTGCTCCAATTGGCAAGAGTCTTTGACCTTCCTCTTGAAATGATCTTTTATACCTACTTTGTACAAGATACCGTTCATTCTTTTACTCTCTACGAGCATCAACGAATTGTTATGCTACTATACTTTTGCATTATTTCATGATTACTTTTACAGTCATCTTACCGGTACAGTATCATTATGATCAAGATGTGTACGTGTTGACTAACATAAAATATAGTTTACATTGGGTTTGGAATAGGAAACTTTGGGGGTTATTACTTCATTCTTTTTTAGCACTGATTGACAGAGCCGTTATTTTCGCACAAACTGGGTGATCCTCATAGGTGTTTAATTACATTCCATTCCATGTAGTTATTAGCTACATGATAATAAATGTAAAGGTTTTGTCTTTATTGCAATAGCTTGCTATTTTTCTTTAGCCCCATGCTTATTGCCAAGATTATCTGATATTGTAACAAAATAAGTATTTGTGATAATCAATATTTTTGGTGTTAATAGTAGATATTTACTCGTATATATAATTCAGTTTGATTCTACCCATGAAATCCTTGTTGTTTGCACTCAAGTTGTATGCGATTAGCGTACACCAGATGTTGGCCTTATATTAATCAAATACAAATGAAACGTTTCTTGGAAAGATATAGGTGGAGATAGCATTTCTAGTTCTCTACTTGATGATAGATATAATACCCCCATTTTGTTCTACAATTTGATAAAATATTTAAATTTGTTCACTATATGCCATTCTTGGCTTGGTATAAAATAGAAAGCAACGCAATTGAATAGATTGCGATATAGGCTGTTCTAGATAGGTCTTCATGTTTGGGGTAGTAAAGCTTTTCTTACTAGATGCTAGTATTTAAAATCAATCAATTACATTAAAATGGTGTATTTATTAATTACAGGTCTAATCAATCGTGTAACTGAAGAATTTCGTCGCTTACGTAATCAGTCTATTGACCATGGTTTTATGGAAACGAATAAATTAGTTTTTCGCCTAGAAAAGGTAATAAACCTATCTTAGGTCTTATCTTTGAACATTGCGACCATGTCATTGTAGCATAGTATAGATAGATTAGTTAAATTATGACACACTTTCTGACTTACAGTACAATTGGATAATCTCGATATGATCAAAGCTTAAACTGTTATTTCAGCAAATAGTTGCAGTAATTATTATGTCGTCGAACTTAAAATCTACACAAGAAATAATATAATATAGTCTGAACGCTACATTTGATGCCCTAATTGTATGTATACTGAACTTCATTCTAGATTAATGATTTTATGTCTGATCGTATAGAGGCTGTCATTGTTACCCTTCTATGATATTCTAAATAGTATTGTTCTGCAATGTGTATCCGTATAACTAGATCAACAAAGTATATTGCTTTTATACTAGCACGAATCTAACCCAAGTATTTACTGTAGAAACTGGCATCGCTTTTTACCAAGAGTATAACTGATTTTTTTCAATCTTTAGTTACTAAAATCGCTAAACGAGGTTAGCAAGGTGAATCCACTTTATCGTAAAGGTAAGCTACATAGATAACTATGATAGCAAACAGTCGAATCTCTCCTGATTTAAATTTTCGCTAAAGTAGAAGAATCATTTCTCTTGTTTCAATATAGCTGCCGAGAAAAAAGTAGTGCCATGGACACAAGATGATGATGTATCTGCTTGCCAATGCTGTGGTAAAAGTTTTAACATTACTAGGAGAAGACACCATTGCCGGTTATGTGGTGTAGTCATCTGTGCAAAATGTTCCTATTTTATCCTTGTGTCCACTGCGAGTATGCTCAATAGATAATGAACTAGAGTAATTAACCATTAAAGATTCTGTAATGAAACTGATAAATTCATATTTTACTAATATCATAGAATATCTAGTTGAACCAACTGCCAGCTCTCGTGCTAGTAACAATCAGAAAGATGATGAAAGCGAACCATTTCGAGTTTGTCCAAACTGTAATGTTCGTTTATCAAGGTAAATAGGCATATATATTTTGATTCACAGAAACCTTTTAGGCTTAAAATTAACGATGTTGTACCTTTGGTGATGTATGTCTATCACGTACAGTAACTGCAGCCGATACTTCTTGTATTGTAGTATTTTGATATTTACTTTACTTTAAATAAATGATTGAATCCATAGTATTCATCCTTATGATCGCGGATTATTTACTCATTTCGTAATTACTGACTAGATAACTGTAAATGATCAAAATGTAACTAAAGGCACATAGTTTATTGGTCTTATAGGTTCGCCACTAGCAATAACATGTTTGTGTCTTATTAACTTAATAATAGGTATATGCAACATCTTAAGGAAAAATTTGAAAGCCCTGTCATTCTTGTATATTATGAGGTAGTAATAATTGTGTTGTTGTAGCAAAGTTAATACAATATTATGAATACTATATATGTACCCGTATGTATATGTTATTCTTTTGTAAAAAATGTGTACAGTACTTTATGTAAGATAATAATGGATACATAATTTGTAATTTAGAAAATGAAAGAAAATATGGATTCTATTACAAAGGGTATTCCAGATTACGAAAAAATGGCTAAATCACTCAGGTAAAATAGTCTTGCGGTTTCTATCTATCTAAAGATGTTTTTTGGTAATGTTAGAGATGTTTATATCAAAACATGTCCCATACCCATACCGGGTCTGCTGTGTTACCAGCTTGAATCTGTATATTTACGTGCATATTGTATCTACGATTATTTTAAAACTTAGTGCTGGAGGGAGTGAATATAGTTTAGAGGTCGCTGCCAATCTTCGCGTTAAGTTACTCAAGTTATTTGAACAAATTGATGGAATAAGGTAATGATATGATATGATTTACTGAAATAATAAATTTACTCTCTTTGTACTGTATGCTAATGAAATAAACATACACTTACTATATTATGGCAGCAAAAAAATCGCCGTTTTAGATGTAGACATGGCCGATTCCGCTACATTGTTTAACTCTGCTTCAGAAAAATTGCGACGCGGTATACGACAATTCGCAACTAAGTTTTTACAAGATAAAATGTTAACATTACCTGGATTACCTACTGAAGAGGAATTGAATAATCTACAACGGCAGCGAAAAGCAGTTATTCAAAGAAAGATTGAATTAGAAAGAGCCGAAAATTTAGTACGAGCAGAATATACAAAAAACCAGGCGTCGATGTCTCCTGATAGGGGAGAATCTACATCTAGAGTTGAATTTTCTAAAAATCAGCATTCTGTTGCTGTCAAATCAGATATTAATACAAATGATAGTTTCCAACGAAGACGAGTTGCTTCCAAGAATGACAGTACGTAAAAGTATATATCGATTTGTGCACTTGTCTAGCTTGTGTTTTATATCTATACAAATATTAAGGGTTATATACTATGGTATGTATTTTTACTGCAATAGCCAACCATGATTGGGTTGTACGCGGATCAATTAGTGCTCCATCGGAAGATGTAATTAATGTCTGGGAAGAGCAAGCTAAAAACTTAAGAAAATACATTGAAATAGCTAGAAGTGAAGGAAAATATGACGACGTTGCTTCATTAGAACGCAATTTATCTGAAATACAGGCCGAAATCATGAATCAATAACAACTGTTTATTATATTATCATATAAACTACAAAAGTTCTTAAATCAGCTGATCGTAAATTTTTTTACAACATTTATGATTATTATTAGCATTTCATACGCTTTAAATAGTCCTACAGTAATATAAATAGGAACTGGATAAGCTATGAAAAAGAAGGTCTGTTAATCAGTATATAACATATATATACAGTCTTATATAAAATCATGGATAAAGGACTAACTACGGTAGCTGTTATTGATTGCATACATAATTTTAGCATTAGTAGTTCGTAACCAGGATTGATTTTTACTTATGTACAGTGTATATTTTAATTGTTACAATATTGTAAATGCGCCAGAGGACAGTACTTTATGCAATCTGATGACAGCATTCTATTAACATTCATTACTTCTCAAATTGTATTCTCTGTAAATTAATAGGCCGATTTGTAGATATTTGAGTCGTCTAAATATACTAAATAGCTGACAACATTATAACATTTACATTGTATAGTAAAAGTAGGTGCGTAGCATGTCAATGTGCACGAACTCTGCTACTGTATATATCCTAATAGTTAGAATAATGGATTAAAATCATTCGATTTTGTTAGTATACAGGTTTATTATACTTAAAAATAGTGGATGGATCTACTAGCAGAGATTTAAGGCAACTTTGATTTATAAATAATAAATGGGTTGCCTGGTTGTTACATTCTCGGTCTCTAATGTTATATTAATGTGTCATGTCAATTAACTGAAAGTGGCCAGTAATAACCCTTTAAATGTATAGCTACATGTCTAATGCAGAGGGACAGTATTATCAATTAATAGGATGTTACAAAAGTAATTTGTCTTTCAGTAAGATATTTAAGACATATTACATACGTCCACCGAGAGGACAAAGAAGCGTAGGTTACGGTCGTACAGTATTGACTTGAGAAATATGGCGTTTTGAGGTAAGATAGGCTTCGCCCTGTATAATTTCACCGACACCTCGGTTCCGGTGAACTTTCTTGAAGAAAATTAGCGGTAACCTTAGCAATGAAATTCATGCAAACGAATTTTATTGCTAAGATTACTATTACGATATTTTTCATAAGTTGTCGGTTATCGGTAAACATAGAAAGTTTGATTGCAATTGAATCGTTTTACTGCACGTTATTGCCGCTACTTATTGCTTCTTTCCTTTTTTTTACAGAAAATACAGTAACTCGATAATTAATACATAATTAAGCATTGAATGAATTGAAATGTTAAGATTTTGCAAGTCTGTGATCAATTTAAAACTATTTTAATATGATAAAATTTCTAATTTGGTCTATCAATTAATTAATTATTAGACCCATATTGCTTTGCATTGCGCTGAAAATAAGTGATGAAGTTTTTAAGCAATATATCGATAATACATGTATCTTCCCTGATAGTAAGCATAACGGTAATATCGTTAAAATGGCACTCTGCACACAGTAAGATTAAGATTAAAATTTAATTCTGTGGTTAATCAGTGAGGTCAAGGCATTATCAAATATGAATACAGCAGAAAATATCATAGAGTAAAAGGATGTCTATTCGATCTATCAGAATATTTAAGGTATGAAGCTTTTACCGAGCTTTATCATATTGAAGTTACTGTATACCGTAGATACCTTGCGTCATAAATTTACGCTTTATTAATGCAGTACTTTATCGAAATGGTTTATATACAGCCGTATTGGAATCACAATGTACATTTAATTGCTAAAATAATGTATAATTTAACATGGTAATTTTGGTTTCTATTGTCCTTTCTGCATCCACGGTTTCTTTCTAAATTTCTCCGATAATAGCCTTTTTGCTGGACAAGACACCTGACCTGGAATTTCGCACATACAGAAATGGCCTTGTCGAGCATCTCCAAAGTTTGCACGGTTATGCTGGCTAGCTCTGGCCTGTTCTTCAAGCAATAAAGTTTTGCTATAACGAGGATAATACTATTGTTAGTTGTATCGAGTAAAATATTGTTATCCATATTGCATTTAAGGCCGATATTGCGACCAAGTTACATCATATGTATGAGCTACACATTTTCTAACCTGTCCTTTTTAGCTACAGACTCAAGTTGCATGACCAGTTCTTGCATAGAAGTTTTTTCAGCATCAATAGTCCATTTCCTTCCATCGTCTGCAAGAAGTATTTTTAAATTTTTAACGTGCACGTACAATAATTACAGAACTTGATATTTGATCAAAATGCATTTTTTTCCCAATTCTAACTGTAGCTACGTTAAACATAACATAAAATGAAATAGAGAGTCTATAATCGTAGTACCAAATGAACATGGCGATTAAATTTTGTAACACTATCTGCAAAGCTTGCTATTAATAGAACTTATTTCATTTTACAGTGAACTTATCAAACTGTACCCTAGCCTATTTATATGGTAAACAATCGATTATTACTCCCTTCGTGCATTTAATTTATTCCTTAAAGGTTATAATGATCAAGTATTGCACATAACCCAATTGATTGGAAGCCTACATGCAAGATTGATAGTTTTATTAGACTTACCATGGAATAGGGTTATGTTCGGCACGGGTGCGCGATTTTTAAATTTTAACATTTGGACTTTAGGATTGTTGTATTGTAGTTGCGGCAGTTTATATTTTACAAATTCCCTATAATTATAGAATTTCTCGGTATTATGAGCAGTAGACACCAATGATAGCTGAAAATAAGGTTAATACTATATTCTTGATGTAAGAAATTTATAGGCAATCAAGTTAAAGCTTTAGTAATCATCCTGTATAATTAATTGAGCTATTCTTCTGTGGAAATACAGTAGAAGACAGCCGATACGATAATCTTGACATAGATAGTGTAATCAGTTTGTAATACTGTACATAATGACTCGAGTACAGTAGAATAGGCGTCTACACCATTGACATTATACAAGATAGGGCAATTTTATGGACTAAATTTGTCAAGTGGCCATCAAGAGAGAATGATGATGGCATTGTTGCTCTCAGAAGAAGGAACATACGTCCTACTTACCTCAAACCTTTGCTTATACCTCCGTGTGTATTATAGGAAATTGTGATACTATTCACTGAATTCTTTAACGGTAGCTTCCATTTGGACAAATAATCCAGTGATCTGAGGAATATTTTGCTTTTACCCCTCATTTTTCTATCAATAATTTGAGTTTGAAGTTATGGCTGAGCGCTGCAAGTGGCCCCTTGGATAGAGAGCATGGAATGAGCTGTAGGCTCTCGTCTGTCCACAGTCTGTCCAGTCTAAGGCATGGGCGATTTTCGTACAGATCTGTTCGGTACGTAACACTAACTCTATACCTAAAATGTGCAAAACAAGTTGTCGCCCTTTAGAGACCTTCTCGTCTCTTTTCAACACGATACACATACGACTTCCTTTGTCATTACCAGATAAGGGCATGACAATGTATTTTACAGCCCCTGTACCTTCCTATACCCTATACAGTAAGCAGTTTACGGCATAACACTGGTCGCTACTGCACCCCACGCACCTGGCCACACAGCTTTCTTAATATTCTAATAGGGTTCTGTATGGCAATAAAGTGTAGTATGGTCAAGCTTACTGCCCGTCCACTACCAGGTCTTCCATAGTAAAACCTTTTATGATGCGTGGGTAACCGCGAGCCTCTTCCTCAGCAAGCTCCTTCGAGTTCTGCCTCCACTCTTCCATGTCCGTATGGTCGTCATTGCTTAATCTGAAAGAAACATTTGTAGCCCAGCTAGTATTGGACAGATGTGTTAATTCTACAACGATAAAGCAGTAGAGAATTGTTTAGACGTTGATAGACTGTTAGGTAGCGCTACTTTGGAGGTATAATCACTGATCGAAGGACCAGCAAGGAGGTGAATCGAAGAGCTGCTGTCATGGCGACTAGAAGTGCTAATAAATTACCACGTCTTGGAAGAGCAGCCATCAAAAGGTCATTCCAGCATTTAAATAGCGATAAAGTACTACTGAATGAGAATGTCCAACAAATGAAAATAGTAGCAGGACGGAATAGTCGAGGATCATTTGGAGCTAGGCAAGTATTCTTCATGTACGCGTATGCTTAAAAATGGGACAATAAGAGTGTGTACTGTATGTGTTGAAGATCGTTTATCCTACTGCTTATACTCGTATAGCATTCTTAAATACTCCTCTCATCACCAGCAACGGAATACAACTCTGGCTGCATATGCAATATATGTACCCTTATTTTTAAATAATTACTATTGCTACTTGATGTAAAATTGCTATGCATCCATTGTAATGATGCAAGTGGTCGAGGACTTGTTGCTGCATCTTGTTATATTGTATCGATTTTTACATTGAGTATCGACGCTGTGATACTTTAGACATGTTTATATATGATCGACTTGAGCTCGGTTTGTTTCATTTTCTCTAACTTTGATAATGCATTCTTGCAGGTATTTTTACTATGACAAAGTTCCTCAGCTAAAATTTCATAATCCTAGCGTTCTATTCTCTAAAAGTAAAGGCGATGTATCCGCTATCGTTGTTGAACTAAGTAAGTTTGTTGTAGTGGTATAAGGCTGATTTCTTCAATCTAATTATCTATTTCTTGCCTATGGGCTTATATAAAATGAGGCCAATGACTTTTTATGTACCATAGTATACAGAAAATTGTACCTACCTTTGAGATCAGGGATGTAATAGGTCTACTACACGTATACCCTAAACTATACTTTAATTCATACTATAAGCTATGCAGCAAACTCAAGCTATTCCAAAAGTATACCTAACGATTTTCAATCTACCGCGGTATTGCCTATCCCTGTTTGAGATAACATGCATAGAGTAATATGCAGTCCACGAGAAGCGATTGCATAATTTCTATATATAAATTAGTGAGCTGAGTCAAACATCCAACTGTAATAATTCTTAACTCCGCTTACCTTAACTGATAGCTTATTCTTACAGTGCAAGTAATTGTAGAAAGTTAAAAGCTAGACTTTATATCTAACGTGTATCTTCATATATTACGGTATAAGATGATGGTAATATGAAAACACTGAATATCCAAGGCAAGGATCCAGAGGAAATTTTGCAGTGTGTTAAGGACAAATTTGCCTTCACTGACACGTGAGTTGACTTCAATCGTGTACTTTAAGTTCCTCCAAATGTCTGCGTGAATACTATAAAATACCATCATCTGCGTCAGGATTATTCATTATTTTACTTGTGCATTAGAAATTGTATGTATATAAGTTTATTGCAAATAGTATAAGCTTTTACTAAGAATTTTGCTAATTTTCACTATCAGTAAACAATCACCGAATGCGAAATAGCAAGTGGAGGAAATCAATTTGGTTAAAATTGCTGGTAATGATATCTTACTTGGTTGCAGTGTACATGCAAATGAATTCGATGTTTTAATTTATATTACTGTGTTCTATCAAGTAATGTTTAATCAAAATCCGCATATAGCTAGACTGGAAACTGTCTTTGATATCATCTAGAATGTATTTATATAGATCACCGAATGATGATAAAATTTACTAAAAACTTCATGCTATGAATTAACGTGTTTAAGTAATATTTGAAAAGAAATATTAAATCTAATTGTATAATATTATAAATGTATAGTATTCCATTTTTGCAGGAGTTATTTTAGCTATCCTATTGTGACGAGTTAATGTGAAATGGTTGCAAATTATAATGGATAGGAATTGTGCGTGATAGTAATAAACATTAAAATCTCCTATGAGCATTTCCAGCGGTAACAAGCTATAACTGAAATTGTAATTGTACGCAAATTAACTAATAATGAATTGCCATTGATCAGTTATTCTACTTTGACTAAGATATACAAGTATATTATCATGCGTACAGTATACAATCTGAATGCAGATATATGCGAATAAACTTGTTTCCGCTACCACAAAATCAGTATTTTTGTTATTTCTTTTCTATGGACATTTTAATCACACGTAGGTCACTAATAATACAACATTATATAATTTTTCTTTACAAGAGCGGCAGTCGTATTAGATTATATATTTGATAGATGCAATGATTCATCAGCAAAGCAGTTCATTTATTAATGTTTACAACATATTTTGGAGCTTTAAATTTTAGATAAATGTCGTGGTTGCCACATTACCAATCAGAAATACTGCAAATACAGTATATAAATATATACTATATAATACATGTACGCAGATGATTTGACTTTAAAACAAAGGATAATTTTAATTTCTACCGCAGGAGTTATGCTGCACCATGCATCACTTGAGAAAGATATATTCAATACTTAAAGTTGTTTTATCAAAACTTAGGCGCAAAGCAAAATAGAATTCGATTAAGTTAAAAAGTGTTGCCTTAATAATTAGTTAGAGTTAATTATATACTGTACATAATAGTATACTCGTATCGCCATTATTACAGGTATGCAATACTTTAAAGCATCATTTTTCACTGCTATTTAAACTATATTTTAAATAAAAATTGGAAATGTCAGCAATTTATCATATCTCGTACGTATATATGGTAGGAATAGCAAGACACGAATATACAAAATATACGGCAATTATAACATAAGAAAAAATTTCATAGCAAACGATGAAATGATCATCAAAAATCGTGTAAATTAGTTAGCGATTGGTTTCATACATGTCCTACATACGAAATAACATGCTTTTTAAATAAATGATAGCACTGTATTATCGCAATTTCATTACAACTATTTTGAGATTTATGGAGCAGCAATGGTAGACTCGTACTATTCCAGCCAGCATAAAATTGAAATCTCACAATGGCAAAATTGCATGAAAGTATAAAATCAAGATAGTTATTGCATGGCATAAATTAATTAATTCGCAAATAATGTCACCAGGCTTAGGCCGTAAAGCTTATACGAAGTTATCGTACCATATTAACATTATTGCAATTATTGCGAGAGGGACTGTAAAAAATATAATTCAAGTTTAGCTCTATTTATGTCAATTATATATGTACTACACATCCAGTTTTAACTGTAAGATTACCCGTATGTCTTGTACAGTCAAACGAAAATTATTCTAGTTACATTAATTGTACATGCTACACATATTAGAACAATCTATAAAAACTTATCCTAAACAGGAAAAGTAAATTGCTGCAATGGATTTACACAATGAACTGTAGTACTTTAACAAGTATTGTGTACAGATGTATCATCTGAATAATTTATTGATAAAGCGTTAACAAGCAAAGCTTCCAAGGCCTTAGGGCTTAAAATATCTACGAGTAAGCCCGAAATCTTCAAGAGACAGTCATACTGCAATGCAAGGATAATAGGTAATTCAGAGTTAAGCGACCTCTTGTAGCTTGACGATGGATGTCACGGTTACTATGTTGATTTAGTTCCCATAAGCTATCGTGAAGTCCAGGTGTACAAAACTAAAGAAATATCAAGTTACATTTTTTAGAATTATTTTGCAAACTTTTTAGGTTAGCGAAGTAGCTATAAAATTATATTACTTACTAATATATCCCGCAATAAAGTACGAAGTTGTCTGTATTTAGATTCACTGCTTTCTACGGCTTTATTTCCCGTTCGTGCTCTTCGAGTCCGTAGTGGTGTCGGTACTTGTCTTAAAAAATGCCTAAGACCCTCTAGTAAGCTCGTAACTAAGGTAACAATTCTTAAAAGCAACTCTTCATCTGTATCTATCTTTAACCACGTTGATATTCTCTTTAAAGTCTGCAATAACACAATTATAATTGAAAATGTATGGTAAGCAAAACTGCATCAAAGATATATGTTATCGTTTCTATGAAAAAATTGGAAGGTAAAGAAGTCGATGTGAATTTTCTTCAATGCCAATAATTACCTGATGCTCAACCAAGTGGATAATATTGTTGATGTTCCAAGAAAATATGAGTAAAACCAATAGTGCGTGCAACTTAAAATAAAATTAATTATTACGTTAGTTCTAGTCCTATATTCGGTACTGTAGCCTGATTAAGATTTCATATGTATGTATGCATAAAGCAGTTTAGATTGTGTATAAATATTATCATAATGCTGTACCTGCATAGGCTTAACCGATGATTCAACCATATCAAGTAGGTATGGAATACAACTAATAATACTTGAATGAAAAGTACGACATGTTGATAAGTTAAGTAAAGCACTTGTAGCAACCATCTGCATGTCTTGATTGGAATGATTAACATCAGATTTTGTCCATTGCTGAATATGCGAAATCACCACCTTTTTGTTCATGGATATTAAAATGTTACATATTGACAATCATTGGTTTTTACATTATCAAAATGAAACAAAGCAAAAGATGAAGTTAAGATTTGTACATAAATGAAGCATTATGCTATACCTTGACTGTATCAAGGTCTTCATCATTAATTGCTTGTATTGACATCGCTTTAAGCGTAGTCTTACGTAAGTTTTCATTTTTGGACTCTAATAAAGGCTTTAACACGTCTTTACCTCCAATTTTAGATAAAATTTTCTATAAAGTGAACTTGTAATTAGTAAAGGTAAAAATATAATATTTAACAGTTAACAAGTCTAATATTAAACCAACAAATAGTTTTATAGATATTTTATTTACGTATTCTTACTCTTTGCTCGTCTTTAAATTCGCTATTGCACATTCGGTTCAATGCTAACTCAACATCATCAAATTCAGGATAAGATGAGATTTTACTTTTTGCGGTAACAAAATTCACTATCTTCCTTCCTAATTCAACCATTTCTGTAGAGTCAACGAAATATTTACTTATAACATTACGCAGTTCTTTATAGTCGCACTCTTTTTCTACCATATCACCACCACTGCTTGGTTGATCTGATGCTTTCTTATTACTATCCACACTTTCGATTCTTCTAGGTATTTTAGAATTTCTACTACTGCTACTACTATAGCTCGTCAAACTCTCACTTTCATCTTGTACTTTTGCATCCGTGTCTGAAACTTTTCTTGACAATACAAAAGTTACATTATTACTCTTAATGGCTGAATTCTCGTTACTTTCACTTGATAATGGCACAACAGCTGAACTAGAAGTCATTATTTTATGTTGTTTCTCGATAAAATTACTTCCGACTCGATTTTCACTATTCACCGTAGGAGGAATCTTATGACGTGTAGCTGCAGCGTTAGTAGTCTGTAACTGATGTAGTAACTTTCTATGATTCACACTAGAATTATTAGAAGAAGTTATACTACGACTATCACATGAGATTTCATCGCATACGTCTGGCTCGCACTCACTGCTCTCTTTTCCTGGATCGCAAGCCTCCCAATCTTCCTCCTTAATCCACTCATTTTGGTCTATACGCCGTTCTTCCTCGACCCACTGTTGAACTCGATCCCACTTCATCTGGCCATCACTATCTATTTGCTCACTATCTTGACGACGAATCGGTTCCGATGAATGTTCATGTTGTGCATTTGATTTCTTTCTAGAATGTATGTTTCGTTCACTTGAGATTGATCGCTGCTGGCGATATTCGTGACCAGAATTGCGAGAGATGTTCCTAGTTTTTCGATTTTCTAAATTAGAATTTATTGTATGGCTACCTTGGGAGACTTCTTCGTGTTTTGGAACAACTTTACTACTAGTAATTACTCGGCGTGAGCGCTGATTACTATTTCTATTACTACTATTAGTTGTCGAAGCACTAGAGTCTTTACCGCGACGTTCAATTTTATTCATTGTATCAGCTTCAATATCATTTAGCTCTTCAATGGATCGATCACTAAAATTTTGAAATAAGTCAGTCCAATTTAAGCAGGATGACTCCTGATTGTCAATGATAACTTGCTCACATATTTCATCCTGTGGGCTAACTTTTTGAAAGTAATCTCTTCTTAGCAACTCTTTATTAGCATAGATTGGATTATCAGCGTATTCTTCTACAGTTGTAGATGTTATCCTTTCTTCTGTATTTGACTTTTCGTCGAGTAATCTATAGGAAGAACTCATGGGCGCATTTGTTGCTAATTGGCAATCAGTACTATTACATTCGGTGTCAATTGAGAATTGCTGCTCTTCTTGTAATGTTGATGAAATTTTGGGACTACTTTCACAGACAATTTGATCTGAATTTAATTGTTGGTCTTTGAAATCGTGCTGTCGATTAATACTTCGTTTCTCAGCTTTCCATAACACTTTAATCACCGTGATGATTATTAAAAGTAATAGAGGGAAGATAAAAGAGAATAAACCTAACAATTAAAAATAAAACAACAATTACTATTATACAACATTGGTAATTCAAGGATTTCTTATTATCACATATCACGGATATTCCTTTGTTGTAATAAAAAAAACAATATAACTTTTCGATTAACATGTATTTTATACCGTATTTCTTGATAATAAAGCCATATACTGTATTGCTTATGATATGTTAAGGTTTTAAAAGGCATTATCCTTTATTCTATGGACAACAACATTATATTTGATATCCATATAAGTAGATATTCTGTAAAGTATTTGGTAACGATAAAGTAAAAAAATTATTGGTATCACGACTTTACAAGAATATCGTTACTAATTACTTTATCGAAGAAGGTTATGGACCGTACACTTTTTTACGAGAAATTAGTGAGTATAAGATCTGCTGATAGCCTACAAACTTGTATAGAAAAATGGGTACTATCGACGGTGGTCTAATATGACATTCAAACAATTTTTTTGGTGGAGCATAATAAAAATACGCACAGTACAGTATATTAGTTTACAACGTACGAATTTATCCAACGCGTATGTACAGAACTTTAAATCTTAAATCTGCGGTATCACGCGGTGGCTACAGTATATAGGATGGATATAATACAATTTATAAATGATAAAATGCTTGGTAATAAAATTGATCGACAAAAACATGTGTGAAAATGCTAGAAATTTAAATTAAAATTGCATGTAATCATTAATCTTGATGTACCAGTAGTAAAGATGATGGCATCAACTTAAAAACGAGTTCTCAGACATGGATAGCAGCAAAAATATGTAAGCATTGTCAAAATAATAGCGTTATAAAATAGACATGGATTTAGTCAATATTACTTATACCGTCATTGACATTTAGCATCACTCTGGTTTTTAGAAATGCACAAGGTAATTGAGTGAATTATTAAAGACGAGAAGGAGACCGATGTAAGAATGATACAATCAAGGAGATTTGAAGAATTAAGTAACGCAAGGCAGTTAGAATCGATCAGTTATTTATACTCGCATACACGTATACCCCATGCAGCCAAGGTTGGAATACAACATTAGTGCTGTGGTTGATCATACAATTATTATCTAATTTTATCTAATGTATTTAGCTTTATCTGATATTCATCAATGTGTATTCGAACAATAAAATTTAGAACTAGGAACTTTTACGCAGTTGCGTCTAATCTTTGTGTCAGTAAGGCAAAACCGGAAACACTGTAAGCAGTTCAATGGTCATTTGCAAATGCGATTTCCAGTACAAGAGAATAATAAATATTTATCAAATCAGTCAAAACATTGTATGATATTAATGTTATGCCCTATTCACGTATTGGTTAGAATTCGCTTTACTTTCAGACGATGCGTAAACTCTGCGCAGCTCTCTTCATTATGGAAATAGGAGGAGTACAGACAATCGAAATGAAGGTAGACATCAAAAAATTAATAATAGTTTTACAAGTCTTAATCCCTCCAGTACGTGCTCTTTACAACGTGCATACGCGTATTTTGAGTGACATTAGCATCTGCACTTTTTATCATTTTAATGGAGAGGAATGCCCCAGCGTCTAGCACAGTAATATCATGGTAAGACAAATTGCATGTGATAATTTAGACTGTACGTCATAGTTTGTGATTTATTCTTGTCATGATTGCTTACAGTTATAAAATAAAATATATAAATGCTGTCGTTTATATGTATGCTTATACAAAATAAAAGAGTGTTATCGTCAATTTGACTAGGAAATTTCCCATGTTGTTTCAGTGAAACATCAGACGTAATTTATGAAAAAGCATGCTGTGGCATCCTATACTAGCAGAAATTGACCAAAGGTAGTTGATAGGTATTTCAATGTAGGATTACTTATACGGTATAAAAACTAAAAATATTGAAGCTTAATATCATTTCGATCTCGCTGGTAATTATAGTAGAAAAGCAGCTTATGTGCAAGTAACGAGGAAGGAAATTTTTACTATCCTGGCTGTAGTTATGAGAGAATTGTGAGGTAAACAAAATTTTCGCCCGAATGTAATGTTGAATTTATGGTTCAAATACTTAAAATAGGAAGGTAATACGCGTCAAATACTTGTAATAAGGGTAAAATGTTCGTTTCAGAGATCTAGCTAATTGATAGGCTAAAAATATAAAGCGTAACGAGGACACCTGCCAGCATTCATCATATCACTGCATTGATTCCACGTTTTAAATTAAAGTATAGTATTTTCCTAATGTTCGAAATTATTCATGAAACTTTGAAGTTAAAATACAGTATTCAGCTTTTTTCTAGTTATTCATTGTAATGATCATTGTAATCTCATTAGTCAATAAGTAAGAATCTATCATTAAACTGTAAATATATGAAGGTATCCTTTTAAAGAATTTTATTAATTAAACTTGAGAAAGTCTTTAACTCAAACAAACAGTAGAGTATAGTACAATGATTATGTATTTTATTAATTCATGATCACGTCAATCTTGAGATTTCTATTACCAATGCATGACTTGAAACATCGTTAATAAAATAAAATAATAACCGAAGAAGATCTATTATTATGTCGTAATTTGCATCATCAATTCTAGCCTCTATCAAGATACAGTAGGCGAACTATGCGATCACTTTCATTTACTCTTGGTTATACACCTTGGTCGTATAGAGCAGCAGTGAAAAGAAAATGCTGTACAGTATTTCTCGTTATATGCGACTCATTTAATAGAGAAGTTGATGTAGAGCATTGATATGAATACTCTTGGATTTGAAGGTAGGAAGCGATACTGTACGAGCGTATATCGGCAAAGTACGCGTACGGGATATTCGTGGATGCCCTAGGCAATGATAGCTTTACCCCCCAAAATATGTCGTATAAAATAAGGATTCTTGCAAGCTCAAGTACTGAAAAATGGAGCACATGAACTATTGTCAAGTGCTGGCATAGCAAATATAGTGATGTAAAAAAAGTGAATCAAGTAGGATCAAAAGTTTCTATATGATGCAACTACACTCTAATCTACAGTTTGTAAAGTTAAAGCTTCGCCTTTAGTCACGTCGCTAGGTTGAGGACTAATCAGCTAAGCAGCCAGTGCAACTACAAGCATGGAGCAAATGGCGAGGAAATGGTAAGCAAAGCGGCCATCAATCAACCTAGTTTATTTAGTTTTAATGGAGTAGTCTCTGAATAAGCCGTTTGTCAACAGGCTGCGCAGTGCTTTTTCACTTTAGAGAATAGTGATTGAGATTTTAATTAAAAGGATTAACCACATGTTCAATAATTTATATATAATAGCAAATGTAAAGAAATCAGTAGCGAAAACAGAAGATTTCGTAGATTGCATATTGTACTGTAGCCTATCTCCAGATTTATCTGGTAAGCTAAAAGATTACAACATTACCGATCATTCTATTATTCGTATCCTTTCACACCGTATACCACCATTTCAAAGCTAAAATATCAAGATGTGATGTTAGAGAGATATGTTGGATCTTGTAGATGCTCCCATAAAAATTGTCAGATTTCACGGTAACTATACCGTACTCTGAATGCAATTTGTCACTGCAAGGGTCTTATCCAGTCGATGCTAAAGTGCATACAGTTTACACACATCGCAATATGAAGTGATCATTGTTCCATGCATCCCCAATTAAGAATTCACAAGGTGAAAGTTATTTATTTATTGAGCCAGGAACAGTGCGATCAGCGGGACGATTTTGGAAATACTGTAGATACTACTTTGCTTATCTAGACATGCAGTATACAGTACATGTAGTACACCAAAACGGCATCGTTTCTTTTCACGAATCTCCTTATTATAGTACAACCCCAGTAGAATACTCATACTTAGTTGTCTACAGTATTTCTGCGTCTAAAGAATTCTTTAGGGTCAATAAAATTGTTTTTATTCGAAAGGTGGATCATACTGTGTCAACATATATACGTATTGTATTCACATGACGGATTATTTTAGTGCGAATTGGCTTGTAGTGTAGTGTACTTTAACTTCATATAATACGACATGCATTACTTCCAATAAAAGGTTTCGTCTCCATCTCCATGTACAGGGTAGTTTAACTGTGATCTAGTGTACAATCTACACTTCATGTTGGATTTCTTGGCGTCTTCACAATCTTCACAAGGTTTAGAGTAAAGCGATGTTGAAGGGTTCAACATGAATTACGATCAAGCATCCTGATTTCTCTTCTGGTGAATGTCTAATATGGCAGAAAAAGTCATGACCATCCCAATGCGTCATACTGTGAGAAGGATAGGGTACTTAAGGATCAAAATTTTTAAAATACAATATTGTGAGTGGTTACGCCATTGCTAGATCAATAAACATCCAATCCAGCCTACTATACGTACCCGTCTGTCTATGCAGTAGTAAGCCCTGCTACAAGTATCTCAAGATTCTTGTTCACCTTGGCTCTATCATTATCCTGGGTAGATTTAACAACAGCCACATCGAGGGAAATCATGATACTGCCATTCATGGTTTCTGATAAGTAAGATCATGTTAAGCATTCCACCACTACCACAATAAGCTCAACTAACACAACCCAACTTTATAGAAGTTTCTCAGAGTAACAAATAAGTGCATTAAGACTAGTAAGATCATGTTAAGTATTCCATCACTACCACAACAAGTTTAACCAACACAAATCTACTCTATAGAAGTTTCTCTGACTAACAAATAAGTGCATTAAGGCTAACCAGAATTACTAATTTTCTGGTTACTTCTTCGTTGTTCTGTTGTCATCTATGTGACGAATAAAGTGAGAATGTCCTTTACCGTGATGCAGCAGCATAGATTACTCAATGTATCACATCCATATTAGTACAATCGCATCCGATAAACAAGTTATACACACGGTCTACTGGACGATCAAACAGCGAGAATATTGATGGCAAGATGAGCAATCTTGAAATGACCATTTTCTTTTTAAATGTAGATTTTAATACTAAAAATGGAAACAAATTTCACTCTAGTCCTATATGAATGTTTTAGTAGTTTACTACTCTTCAGTGTATAGTACAATCCATCCATCGTTGCCATAGAGAAGATACTGCAGTGGATTGCGTTCTGCGCTGGTATACGGTCTAATGGACGATCAAACAGCGAGAATGTTGATGGCAAGATGAGCAATCTTGAAATGTTCATTTTCTTTTTAAATGTAGATTTTAGATTTTAATACTAAAAATGGAAGCAAATCCCACTCTGGGTCTTATATGAATGTTTTAATAGTTTACTACTGTTCCGTGTATAGTACAATCCATCTATGGTTGCCTTATTAATGGACGATAAAACAGCGAGAACGTTGATGGCAAGATGAGCAATCTTGAAATGTTCATTTTCTTTTTAAATGTAGTTTTTAGATTTTATTACTAAAAATGGAAGCAAATCCCACTCTGGGTCTTATATCAATGTTTTAATAGTTTACTACTGTTCAGTATATAGTACAATCCATCTATGGTTGCCTTATTAATGGACGATCAAACAGCGAGAACGTTGATAGCAAGATGAGCAATCTTGAAATGTTCATTTTCTTTTTAAATGTAGTTTTTAGATTTTATTACTAAAAATGGAAGCAAATCCCACTCTGGGTCTTATATCAATGTTTTAATAGTTTACTACTGTTCAGTATATAGTACAATCCATCCATGGTTGCCTTATTAATGGACGATCAAACAGCGAGAACGTTGATGGCAAGATGAGCAATCTTGAAATGTCCATTTTCTTTTTAAATGTAGATTTTAATACTAAAAATGGAATCAAATCTCGCTCTGAAGTCCTATATCAATGTTTTAATAGTTTACTACTCTTCAGTGTATAGTACAATCCATCCATGGTTGCCATCGAGAAGATACTGCAGTGGATTGCGTTCTACGCTGGTTTACTGTACAAGTTGGCAGCAACTCATGAAGCCATTGATGTGGTACTTCGTTCCCATGACTGGTATTGTCGAGTGCACTAGTATAGTATGGTATTGTATAAGGCATATCGTCTTCCCGGCAAAATATTAATCCAATTAGCTGCATTATTTCAAGCATATCAAAAGGGTTGAAAAGATCGGATGATTGATTCAAAAGTAATCAACAGTGGTGAACATTTCAATGATGAAGATGATTCAGCTTCTGTTGAAAGATAGTAATGGATGAGATAAAATGGCGATTAACTGTCAAAACGAGCTCGATTGATGTCTGTCCTCCCTGATGTTATAATCGAAGTGTGTACACTGTACAGTACAGTACTACAGTAGACTACACTTCATACGGTATTGCAGGATTTTGCTAAGGTCCGTTAGCCATTTTTATTTATTTTCCTTGATGCTGTGACTATTTTAATTAGCTATAAAAGTGAAATCGCCTGCTTGTCAGATGGATTGATCGCTATTAATGCTTGTACTATTTCATTAAGCTACCCAATCTATCATCCATTATGAATTCGAATTCTACAATAAGAATACAGTACTGGTTTCATTTTGACGACGACTAAACACTGATCATGTCGGGGAATGGATTCATCAAAAGTGACGTTGTAGTCATTTAATCCATGAATAAACATGTTACTACTGCATTTTAACCAGATCGAATGGAGAATGCAATGAGAGCTTTTGTTAGCGAATAAGTGATTCTCGCTTGAAAATATGGCCGATTATCAATGTTGTAGTCAGTAATTGAAGTATCTTATTAGAAACAAAGTACATAAAACAAGGTCATATAACCGATCAGCTGTGTGGCAATCTTCGTCCACCGATTCTGGTATTCACAATACCTTACATTAAAATTGATTCAGTCATTTTTTGGGGCGATGGATCATCTCTTTTTTGATACACAATGTATATCCATGTTAAGTAGCAGTAACATACAAATTCAACAACAGAAATAATGCGTGAATTGGTACATCAATTCCGATATTCCATCAATTCAAAAATGCTGCTGCAGATTGGCAAACCATATCATACGCACAATCTAACAACGTATGGTGTTATACCTTAACGATTGATGTCGTCAATTTTAGTTGGCAATGTCGCCGCTACCGTACCGGACAGGAGGGAGAATACTGCGATTTCTTTTAGCTATCGGTGGCCATCAAAGTTGCCGAAAAGACGATCATGTTTGAATTATTCATACGATGGATTTCAAGCAGCCAAGCTGTTGCAGTCATGAGAAGATTGGCCACTATCGCACTGGCGTGTTTTGAGTATTTTTAGTATTCTATTTTTTGGGGGGGGGTTAATGATTGAATTAGTTTGGGGTAAACACCAATAAATGCAGACTCGTCCTGTAGACTTGTACACTCCTGAATGGCATACTATGCAAGTGTGCATGCCGTATGGGCCATACAGTCATGTGAGTACAGTCTGTTAACTACATCGATCGAATTGTACTGTACTACTCTATCTAATTTTGTTATTTTTATCTTGTACGAAAAGCCACAACTCCAATTTGGATTAAGATTATGACGTCAAGATTGAATCAGGATGTTTCAATAGTAAACGACAGTGCAACGATTGTGATGTACTGCAGGATCGTAGAGGTAGAGGAAAAAACTATTTTCCTATTATTCTTACCTCTATGGAATGATCAGATTTGGGAATTTGTCGTCGAGTTTATTCCCCATGAATTCAATGTAGTCAAGGTACAATAAGGTAAAGTATACTGTAGACTAACACTGACATGAACGACTTGCTCATAAAGGTCATTACTAGTAGGGTTACAGAATACTACTTTCTACTGTACCACTCTATCTAATTTTGTTATTTATTTATCTTGTACGAAAAGCCACAACTCCAATTTGGATTAAGATGACGTCAAGATTGAATCGGGATGTTTCAATAGTTAACGACAGTGCAACGATTATGATGTACTGCAGGATCGTAGAGGTAGAGGAAAAAAATATTTTCCTATTATTCTTACCTCTATAGAATGATCAGATTTTGGGAATTTGTCATGGAGTTTATTCCATGAATTCAATGTAGTCAAGGTACAATAAAGATAAAGTATACTGTAGACTAACACTGACATGAACGACTTGCTCATAAAGGTCATTACTAGTGGGGTTACAGAATACTAGTTTGCAGTACTACTACTGTACTGCAAACTGAAATGTTTTACTGCAAAGTATGGGTTCAACTGGTTAATTATGTATAAAGTTATAACAGTATTTGGTATTTGGTCGAATAAAACAGCATTGATTAATGGCTGAATCTTACTATTACTCCTGTATTTTCCCAATACCAATTTCACAATTTGATTGTGGACAGGTCTACAGTACTGCAACTCGCTTCCACTAGTCTCACTGCTGTACTGTACAGTCAGTAGTTTCTACTCATGTTATCGATCACAGCCATCCATTTCCTATACTGTATATTATTCAATATTGGTTGGACAACTTGAGCACAAAGAATATCGTTGTTTGCAGCCATGTTTACAGCCGTGATTCACAAGTCCAAATTGCAACAAAATCGAAGCACCTATTTTGTTGTGCACTGTCATCCTGAATTGTACGGTATGACACTGTGCACTACATAGTGTGCAGTGCAGTTAAAGCGCTATACACTACAGTATTACTAAAAGTACAAGTCTGATTTATTTCGATGGCACCCTAAGAAAATGCAGTGGTGTAAGTTAAATCAGGCCCATATCTGTGGAGACATCCTTCTACGAGAAGATATATACATCAATATTAATATTCTACAGGAATTTCAACGGAATACAACTTTGATTTTTGAAGGAAGGGATGCCATTGTAGCCAGATTCTAGAGTACACAGTGTACAGTACACTGGACGATCATACGGGAATACTGTACAGTCCATGACCGTCTGTCTGTACCGTCAGTACGGCCGCGTACTGTACGGTACAGCACAGGACGAATTTTCTTTTCCCAAGATGATTCAGTATGAAACTTGTTGACCAATAGATTTCCGAGACCACTATTGGGACCGGTACAAGACGTCCATCAATCACTTGGCAAACTGTCTTGCATCTGATTGGCTCACTGTCAAATTTGAATCTGAGCGGCCGCATTTAAGGTACTTCTCAGGTCAGTGGTTGTATTCTTGTATTGCATACATAACCTGTCTACTGTGTCGACTTGCATACAAAATACTGGTGTAGACAGGAGTGTTTCCAGCTACAACCAGTCGACCCGTTCACTGCTTTACCAACGTCATTTTGAAAACTGACACTACAACACTTCACGCATTCCCCTGACGTTACTTGAAAGTCGCGGACGTTCGCTATCATTCCAACAGAAAATCTCTCTTCGCCATCATCGTCGTCTCTTCCATCATTTCTCTTGTGATCCATTTTGGCACTGTTAGCCTGCGATAGAGAAATTGGTTAGTGTAGTATCCTCAATTTACTGTAGGCTGATTGATTGTACAAGTTCGATCGTCGATTCTTCTTGGCTTTGCAAAAGGTTATTCCAACTTGCATTTTCTCCTCCTCTTTCTTTCCAATGATGAACCCCCAACTTTGATCTCATTTTCTATCCATCTCTAGGCAACGTCTCCTTGTGATACAAGAAAGTGAATATCCACTCGTTTCGCTCAAATTGGTTGGATAGAAATTGAAATCTTTGGACGGCAAAGTAAGGGATTGAATAACTTTAAATCTTACCTTCATCCATGACATGCAGCATTCAACGGTAGCTTAGGTCGTTGGTAGAATTGACCCTTTATCATTGGATCCACTTACGATTATCATCAAATTAATTCTGGATTGGTATCAATATTGCTACGGTAGAAAGCTTAACCTTACTGTACTGCCATGCGAGTTGAAAGCGTATCCCCTGGTATCAAGGTAGTAGTAGTAGTCAGGGAAGGCTTTTATTCTTTCTACTTTCACCATTAAAAAAGAGACTCAAAATAGAATGTCCATGGATCGTCCGTCAATTGACATTAGCCAAGCAATAAATTAGAATACGCGTATTTCAACTCTAAATCTTTTTCATCAATCGCCTACATAATGCTTTACACTTGTATAGTACGTATTTTAGTATTCGAACTATCCTGCTACCAAGGTCGTAGTCATCCTTTTAAGGCTTTCTACTTGCTAACATTACCACTAAGAAAGTTCCATTATCGGATTCGCGAATCATCCATTTCGATTTAGCGAAGCAATAAGTTGTTGAATTTCAAATCTGAATCATAAATCGCATGGATAATGTTTACACTTGTGTAGTACAGTATCAATCGAGAAAGCTTAAGGTTGCTTGGTTACTGTATGCAAGTGGAAATTCTATCCTATTTCCAAGGTAGTCAAGGTAGTAGCCATCGATGCCTTTATTCCGTCGACTGTAACAATGGTAAAGTCAATATATCCACCACGGATCGTTATAGAATGCAATACAGTACTAGAAGTTATGAATTGAATTTTTAATCTTTACGGTTGTACTGTACACCAGTGTGTATTTGAATCGTTATTTTAGCTACTTGACAGTATCAGTATCAATCTACAAAGCTTAACATTACTTTATGAAAGTTTAAATTCTATCCTTTTGCCTAAGATAATGATGATCCTTGAGCGCTTTATTACTCCTGTTGTAACCATTAAAAGTTAGCGTACCTACCACTGATTGTTATTAGATACAATAACGTTATTGTAACCTCGACGATGACTAACGAGCTCATGTTGTAAACATTAGATTGAGACCGATATTCTTTACCATGGATAAGTACTTAAAAATTGAAAAAATTGGCGAAGGAACTTACGGAGTAGTCTACAAGGGTAAGAACAGGAATACTCAACAATTGGTGGCATTAAAGAAAATTCGTTTGGAAAACGAAGAAGAAGGTATTCCCAGTACGGCTATTCGTGAAGTTTCTCTCCTAAAAGAGCTTAAGCATCCTAATATCGTTGAGTAAGTACGCCGTGATGAATACACACTTGTTAATGCAGTAAATATCTTACTCGACTGTACTTGATAAATGGTTCCTATCAACGTACCTATAACTTTTACAAACGTTATAGACTTTTCATACCAAATGTGCTTCTATTAGTTGTGCGTTCAAAATAATCCGCTGGATGGTTTTAGCAAAATTTTTTTCTTCTGTCAAAAATGCATATATGCGTAAAGACCGCTGCCTGACATTCTTTCTCTTACTAATTTTAGCTTAATCGAAGTTTTATATGAAGAAAGCAAATTATATCTAGTGTTTGAATTCTTGGATATGGATTTGAAAAGATACTTAGATACCTTGCCCAAAGGCAAAACCATTGATGCAATGCTGATGAAGGTAATTTCCGTTATCGTCATTTACTCTACAGTACCAGTATTGTACATGAGGTCAGGTTTTTTTGGTAATGCCTGTTATTAAATAATACATACAAGTTTTTAAAGAAACGTATCAAATGTATGTAATATCAACATACGTATAGAATGAATGATATTAATGACACAACACTTTCTCTTCAATTCTTATATTAGAGCTACTTGTATCAGATTCTTTTGGGTGTGGTTTATTGCCATTCACATCGTGTCCTACATCGTGATCTGAAGCCCCAAAACTTGCTAATTAACTCTAAGGGCTGTATTAAATTGGCTGATTTCGGTTTAGGCCGAGCTTTTGGTGTTCCAGTACGAGTTTATACCCACGAGGTAAAATACATTACTTCATCTCTACTACTTACCATTACATCTATTCTGAATTCAAATCAATGCAAGACTATAGCGGGCATATCTTAATTCCTTAACGCGTACTTATATACATATACCGTATATTACATGTAGGTTGTAACCTTGTGGTACAGAGCTCCTGAGGTCCTTCTCGGTTCTACCCGTTATTCTTGCCCCTTAGATATTTGGAGTACCGGTACCATCTTTGCTGAAATGTGGTTAAGACGACCTCTGTTCCAAGGCGATTCTGAAATTGACGAACTATTTAGAATTTTCAGGTAAAATAACATGCCATTGATGACTATCGCATATGCTATTCACTTACTTTCTTGCCCTCTTTGAATCAATTAATTATTGTTATTGCGTTCTATTCTATTCTACTAGAATTTTAGGCACACCGGATGATGATATCTGGCCTGGAGTTTCGTCCTTACCGGAATTTAAGAGTAGCTTCCCCAAGTGGAGTAAACAGAGTTATGATACATTCGTGCCAAACATGTCTGAATCTGGCATCGATTTGTTATCGGTAATGATCTTTTCTCAACGTTTCTTAACCTTAAGTTGCACTTATCTAATTTTCAAACAATAATATTACTGTAAATTAATTAATGGTAATTTGCTATTCCTTTTCGAAATCAGAAAATGTTGATATACGATCCTGCCAATCGTATCTCCGGTAAACGTGCCTTATCTCATCCATACTTTGACGATCTAGACAAATCAACCTTGCCTACGGATCGTTGGAGCTAACTTTCACAATAATTCTATTGTACTCTACTTTGCTGTCATGCGTCAAAATAAGTGTGGCGTTTTGTTTCCAGTATTAATTAATGATCTCATTTATTGTATTTTATTATGTACTGAAGTATACGTACTTGATAATATTTGAGATAAATAGGATAAATGTAATGTATAACTCTATCCTTTCTAATAGCATAAAATGAAATACGCTAATGCGATGTAGTTACATTGCTCTCTGCTCAAACATTTTGCATAACATAGCGTGGCTCTATCAAGATTTATAACATGAGTGGTATTGTAAATCTACATTTAACTTGCATGCCATCTGCAGTAATTTATATGCTGCAGCTGTAAAATTTCTTTACGTATGATGTATACATAACTCATATGCGCAACCATACTCGTAGAAATTACGTATAACAATGATTATAATTATAAATTGAACTGAATTGTCAGCGTATATATTTGTATTTTCAACTACTGCACATTAAACAGTTTCATTATGATAATTCCATTGTGATGCTTTGAATATAACCCAGTATTCTATGGCGGGATGGGCCATATATTCATACTTACACTGTGCGTCAATTTAGATTTGATCATTTATAGCCCACAGTTGTGCATATTTTGCATATTTGATTCTATCTCATGCATACGTACCGTATTTGTGACGTTGTAAGTTCACACACCAAGGTCGTCGTCGATAACGTACTTAAGTTAATAAAGTACAGTTATTGACCAATCCTGAAAGAGGTACAGACTACAAACTACTGTTTGGTTACGATTTAATAGCTTGTACACACGTAAATCCATATTAGATATAGTCTCAAATATACGAGTATAGATACACGTACATTAGCCTTTCACAATCGTATAATTACAAACATTTTATGAAAGTACTTATTTATAGGAATTCGTATGAAATTGGCCAGCCATAACAAGCTATAGCTGCAACATATAGATTGTGGATATGATAAATTAAAATTAATCACGCATTGGTATTCTACATTTAGGTGTATTTAACGGTAATATGCATACAATCTTTCAAATTTTTACGTAAATCTAGATTTATCAATCTTCAATTTATATAACTAGTAATTTCACTACTTCGAGTGTTATAAAGCGACTATCAGCAATACGCTATTACTTATCTTATCACAGAATCAAAAGTTTTAATACGGGTAATTAATTACTCCCTATTGCATATTAATAACTAGTAAACGGGACGGTCAAAATGATCTTAAATTGACTCACAATCTTTTATGTATTTACTACGAAATATTTTCGCGTCTTTAGTCAATATTTACGTAGCAACAGACTGGATAACGTCTAAATTCTACGGTGATACTAGTATAAAAAAGTATAGAGCAGATGTATTAGTACACGTCACATCTAACAAATAGATGCCATACGGAAAGTTACCTCAGATGTGAGATAAATAAATCTGTGGAATTTCATTCCAAAACGGTAGTTATTACATAGTGCATAAAATTTAATTAGTTATGCTAATTGTAGTCTTTATTACAAGATTCTTGGATGTTTTCGTAAACAGCTGATCGACATATTAGTAAGGTAATTGTTGTTTACTGTATATTTACGACTTTACTTTAACAATCGCTTAATTTTACTTATGTAATAAGCGTAATCCTAGATCATGGTAACAAGCAAATTTGTCATACTTGCAGCATAATAAGAGATTGTACAGTGTGTGTATATATACATATGCATCGATCCGGGTTTTCCTCTAGTGGTCCATGACCTGGCACACATTGTTAAAATTATCATTTATGTTGGTTAGTTATAAAGTAAGTTTTTCGAACGCGATCATTTTCTAAAATTGCAACATAGATTTGACCTTGTATGTATCATTGGGTTAGCAAAATCAAGGCCTCCATAAAAAATATGGTCTTCAGGCTTTTATTATGTTCCGCCCACTATTATTCTTTCAGTCACTGCATTTAGTATATATTTCGCTTTATTTTACAATAGATTATCAATATGAATTTTTCGATAGTACGGAGAGTAAGAAAGTAGAATATTTGTTAAACCAGACAACATGATCAAAGCTGCCATCACGACCATTGCTATAAGGTAATGAGCAATGCTGAAACAAGAAAGTAAATATAAGTCTTATCTTATAAAGGCAACCCGTGATAATTCTGGAAAGGCTGTTATTTTGTCCTATATATGATGTGGGAGGTGTTTAAATAAATAAAAAATTGTACCTAGTTCCAATTTCGACCCAGCTTCCTTGATCCGATACATGTAAAAACTGATGCTAATGTTAATAAAGCATATGATGTTATTAAGAAGTGTCTCATTGATTCTATTCGACCTTATTGCTGGAGTAAATAGTAATTTAATGCAAGCAATTATGGTTACCACTACATATTGGATTAGCATTATCGTACTCACCATTGATATTATGTCAGTTAAACAGACCATTATTAGAAATATGCTGTAAATAAGAAATAAATTTCAATCAGATTAATGTTTAAAGCCCATTTAAGCTGTAAATACTTTAAAATTAGCATAACTGGATCACATTATAACGCCAAATTCGAATTATCTGCAATGTACAGTCAAGATCTATAATCACCATTTTAAGCTGAATTGAAGAGACAGTTGTAAGCTACGTACAGCGGCGATTATCAATACAAAAGGAATCGATATCTATTATCATAATCACATAAACGTTATTAGTTACAAGTTGAGAAACTTGATTAAATATAAAGATAGGCAAATATGCCATTTTTGATAATTTGAAATCATATTATTTACCTTGCAAATATACAATATGACCTTTGCTAAAGGAGTATATACGACAAGAAAGCAATATGTGGGTGCAGGATCGAGGCTAAATTCATCAAAAATAACAATAAAAGTATCCCATAAAACCGATTACATTTCTTTGTACTGTAGAAAACAATCGCAAAATAAAAATTGATATCCATAAAGTTTATAAATTGAACTTGAGTTCAAATTTACGGATGTTAACAAACACACTGCGAAGATGCATACATGCAAAGCCTTTACCTATTTAAACTGCCAATGTTTGTTATGCCAAAAAAGGCCGTAGTAGTAAATAAGAGCTAATGTTTTTACGGATAATACATATTAATTAGAACGTTGAAATTAAATACAATCACAATTGACTTTCAAAGTGGTCTATACCACCATGTTTTACTTACAAAAAGTATCGCAATTCTTAGATGTGACATTTGCAGTTTTTTAAAGTTTTCGACGTCTAAAAGTAGAGTATTACGGTATCAATAATGATATGTCAGTTGTTAACCAGATTATTGTCGCGTATATTTACCATGATCAAGTAATTTTTTCATAGTCTTAGGTGTGCCATTTTCGAAAAAGATCGACGTTAACTACAAAATATAGGTTGGAATATTACCAATTTAATCAGAATAATCAACGAATCGAAGATATTACTGACCAATCGAGGCGTATACTTTGACAATCGTTGCTCTATTCTGACCCAAGTAACCATTAGGTTGCATAACGCAAGGCAAAATAAACTATCATATCTTGCAGTGAGTCAAGGAAATAACCAACATAAATGTAACATTATTCTCAGTCAGTCAGTAAAACTGTAATGTTGTGTGATCATGGATACGATATACTAAGTAAGATATACGTTGTCATTAATGACAAAAATATGCTCCAAACACGTTCTAGAAGAATTGGAGGGCTCAATAGCGGTATAATACAACTTGTTCCTGAGGATTACACGTTTAAGTTGGGCGACAGTATTAATATGTAGTAATTCACAACAGTTACGCGCAATTTGTAACCAGAATTGAACGAATTTACCCAAAATAAACCAACTAAGGTACAGATTCAATACTGGTATCCTGAAGTAATCTTCTTTGGCCTTAGCTGTGCTATTGACTACATAAATAGCAATAACAGCTAATAAAATCTAGTTAGAAAAATTAATATATCAATTGTAAGTATAATTTTTGACTTTAAAACTGTACATTTCTATTACATTGTCAAATCGTTACTTGTCATCTTGTTAATGGCATAATAAACATAGATACTATAGGATAAAAATCAGCCTAATGATATTTTATGCATTTGAGTAAATACCTGAAAACCGATGATTGAACTTTTAACACGATTGTGCCTAACGAAAGTTTTATTTATTTGAGTTACCATACTTTCACAAGCATGTATAATTATATTCTAATAAGTTAATTGTGCGATATTACCTAATATAAAGATAAATTCCTATAACGCCAGTCACAGCACCAGTCATAAATCTAAATAGATACTTTCGTTAAGATACAGTGCTTATGCTATACGGGTAATACGAGCTTTAGTAACTTACACATAACCATATTTAGCTATTCCTTCTATAGGAGGAAGGGAAGGAAAGATCCCAATTGAAATGCACGATAACAGCCAGTAGCCCACAAGAAACTGTTAACCGTATTATTAGATGTAAGCACTGTAATCCTTTATCGAAATTAGGGTCTTCAGAGTTATTTATGAGTAATTCATTATTTATCATTATATGGTACATTTTCTAACCTTGTCTTTCCTTATTAATGACGTAGTTAAAGGCCAAAAACCTTCAATGAATACGATTACATCAATCAAATTAATTTTTTGATGTAATTTGCCATTAAGTATTTTATGGCTGATATTTATTAATAATAAAACATCATCAATGTTGCTAGCTTAATAATTACAGTTATTAATGCAAATGATGTTATTATACTGTACTGCATTATTGTTATTGGATTATTTTGTTAGCCTTATATGTTGTACCCAGACAAATGAAAGCAAGTGTTAGAGTCCGGCGATTGTTAAAGCTGATAGCCTAATTTATAACAAGAAGCAAAGTAACATGGCGTGCTCGGCTTAATAATATAGAATCTAATACTGTGTACTAAAGATACCAGTAATTCGGAAGATAAAATGGTAATTAGGGCGGAAAATATAGCCTTGGAGCATAAAGAACTTGTAAGCAGATATTTTGCCAAATTATATATGTTTTCATGTCTAAGCAGTAAACAGAATGTAATAATTAATAGAATATATAGGATATTAGCTATAGCAATGACTGCTATCAGATATTAACTAACTGATTAATGACCCGATTCCAGAGAAATAAAAGGATACCGAAGTAAGCAAAATATGTAGGAGAGGATTTTTCAACTAAAAAATTGAATTCATCAATTGTTAGTATGCACCAGTTAAACTTGAATCCGTATTAACTACCTAACTTACCTATTAAAATTGTAAATACACCTACATAAAATAGTGTAAATACCAAGTTGATCCTCTTACTTTGAGATTTATTAACAGTAGCTAACTGTAATTACAAATATTAGTTGTTTGAACACATAAATTAATTACTTTCAAATATTTCGGACTACACAAAATAATGAATCAATGTTATTACCTTTAATCTACTAGATTCTAGGCTTGTATATGTCTTTACAATAAACAGTAGGACATAAATGATCCAGCCAGTTAGGCCAGCCATAACTGATGCACTATTTATAATAATAAGATATAAACAAAAATAGGATAATTTTACAGTCGTTACGATACTAGTAATCAAAAAGATTATACCAATTTACGATATCAAAGCGATTAATTTCTGAACCTTATTACTGCTCGATTATATGTATGGTAATAATTTATCCCTTCCAGAGCCAAGCGGGCAAGAGTCTTACTTGATCTTATCTGTAAGAATACGTAAAGGTGATTAATAGCAAAATATTTCTAGCGTCAGTGATTAGCTTTTACATGTATCAATGGCAACCAACATATATTAGTTTACTTACTACTTCTTCGAAATCACCATGCTCATGTAAATTTTCAAGCTTACTAACCCATTTACTCTGCATGAATAATTAATCATAATACATCAATAACTGGAAAACTAAAATTTAGTTTACTAGTTCATCAACTGTACACACAGCTGCATGACGGTGGTCAATACTGCGCAACTACATGTTAAATCAAAATTTTTTTCTGTCACCTAGATGTAGCGATTACAAAGCAAATTACAGTACTCACCGTAGTATCACCTTGTAAAGGCCTAAATTTTGCAAAAATATGCAAATGTTATAAGTATTTCAACAAAATATGAAATAACAATAACTTGCAATACTGTACCTGTAATGCCTTAAAAAGTGAAATATAGTGCCAGCACTTTTATTTTTTCTTTGCATCTGGTGCCACGATAGCCACGATAATCGTGTTTATTATTAATAATTGTTAGATCGGATCTTAAAGTTACTATTCTCTTATTATAAATTTTTTGTTATACTCAAGATATTTATCTCTTTCTATACCTCGAACTGAGCGACGAGCTGTTTTGCATTAACAATCGTACTTTCGGCAATATAAGACTTACTTGCATTTAGATACGAAATGGGTAAAATTCCCTACAAATAACAAATAAGAGATGTCTACAAAGTAGCTCTTGTTTGCGTATTCCAATTTGTTTGTTTGTGCACCTACCATTGAATTAATCGGTATAGCTATTCCAAGCAAGCTCGACATTAAAGGCGGTATATCAATCTACAATAATAATTATCTAAGCAATTACTAACAACGCGTGAACATTTTCATTTTTCCAGTTACTGAAAGATGTGTAAAACTAATTATAAAATATAAACTTGCATTTATATACCTGCTTGATGTCTAATCTCCTATAACCCAGTAGCTTCCATTCTAGATTGTGCAAACGAAAAGCAAAAAGTTATTGTTGTCTTTAACATGAGCAATATACGCTGTGTAGAACATGAAAACTTTTATGCACGATCAATTTATTCATAACATACCACTCGCTAAACGATCATTATAGTCATCAATTGGATTCGGATGTACCGGCCATGCAATTCCGGCTCCCCACGCTATAAATGGAGAATACGTTTCTTGTATTCTACCAGAACCATGCGACCCTACAGCGTTGAAGAAGTTAAATTTAGATGAATTTTAATACATATATTTTATAATAGTAACTAGCACTCTCGTTACTGCATTAGTTCACCTGAATCCATCATCCCATGATCTGAAGTAAAAATAAAAGCCGTTTTTCCATCATGGCCGAAAAAATCTTCAATAATGTTAACCATCTTCCTGACTGCAGTATCAACATAACGAATATTTTCTATGTATTGCCTAGGTTAGGGACCAATTATAACGTTAAAACTTGAAACAGCAGAAAATTACAATTAAATACTAAAGCCAAAAATTATTAAAATATCAACTTATGTTCATACTGGGAGTACGGCTTATAGTAATGGCCATTAGTATCAATTCCAAGTAAATGACAAAATAGCATAATTCCTTCTTGATTCAATGCTCGTTTGAGAGCCTGGTTAGACTTTGCCTGGGTAAAAAACTTTCTGAAGTTTTCAATCACCCACTTGTCCAATACAATACCATTATAGTAAACAGAATTTTGGAATGGTAGTGAGTACATAAACGTTGTCATCTTTCGTTTCGCAGCTCCTTTATATAAAGAGAGAGTCAGAAAATGTAAAAACTTTTTAGTCATCATCATAGATCAAATTCAATGAAGTAGAAAGCCCTTGTTATTCAACGTAGTCAAGGTAGGCTGGGTTCAGTTATATATGCATTGTTTAAATTAAAGAATGAAGGTTAATGCTAGTTTATATTTATAAGTAAATTATTCGTAAGTTTGTTAGTGCTAAGTTTTCACTGTTACAATAGGACGGCTGGGGAGTACATTCAGGACGGATGTATGATAACATTTTTATGCCAGCAGTTTCAAATCAAATATTACATTAGTTCTTTCTGTTTATAATAAATTAATAACCTTTATTAAAAATAGGTAGAACATCTGGACTGCCCCATGACCATGTATGAGTACTTCGATTAAAGACTGAATCGAATTTGACTGGATTTTCTTTCCAACCTGTAACGATACAAAGAATAGGGTATCTTTGATCTGATTGATAGTACGGTTTTATATTTGTAAATATTCATAAAAATCATTAACACATTACGCACAGTTCGATGTATTCGTTTATTGTTTCTATGTAACAATTTAAGACATTTTCACATGCAGTACATTACAATAATTCAATTGCCTTACCTTTCTTGATGGCAGTAATATCCTCAAAAAAGCCAGCGATTAATGCAATATGAGCTGGCCTAGTTTCTGTTGGTGCTCTGGTATGAGATACGCCCCAACTACCATATTTTAAAACTTTTTCCCTGGTAACATCAAGCACAGTAAAATAAATTTCCCTGTTTGTATATTTATTTCAAGCTAAATTATACATATTTCAACTATATTTACTGATTGACTGTTGATCTGACGTCAGTTCATAAACTGCAATATCGATCAATGATAGTATTTTACGATTTCAGGTCAGAAAGTGCGAAGGTTTGCATAATAATGTAAATGTTTTAAATGTCAGAATGCTGATACATTGCAACCTAGTCAACTAAATCTAATGTGCGATCAGTGTTGATAAAGTTCGAATTGAACACTACGCATCTCGTCCAGAACTTCCTCGTAATTTAATATTATGATCATATTACTGGTCTGTTAGCAAGCTAGCAAGTAATTATATAGGTAGCCTTTAATGCATACATAATTGTCACTTAAGGTGTATCAGTAGGATAGTTAACATCATGATAAACTGGGAGGAATTTTTAAAATTTTAATCATATGATTTGCTGCTTCATCAACTGCAACTGCTTATCCGCTTAGGACTGGTATTCGATTATGCGATTTATTAGCGGGTAAATTGATTGGATGGTGCTAAGAATCTGATTTTTGAAATGTCAACTCAATCCAAATTAGCAATTGCTATAGACACCATGTATCATGCTCAGATTTTGTCATTAATTAAACGATAGTTCAATTTTAGCTAGCAAGCTTGAAATTTCAATAGTAGTCAAAATTTAAACTGTGTTGTAGTGTTGCCACTTATTCCAGTCTATAATCTATTCTACAGTATGCATCGATGTAGCTTGTTGATATGCGACGTCAAGGTCAATATATCCATAAGGAAATAGAAATAAGATATTCTGGTATTATAACACCAACATACACATGATGCCATCATGTCTGGATGATGTGAATGAATAAATTACCTCAAAAATGGAGCTCTTGCAATATTATCTTGGATATGAAATAGCTTATCAGCTCGTAGACCATCTCCTACAAAGAGGACAAGACGTTTAGCAGGAGGTCGTTGACGAACTGAATGTCCTTGCATGCCATGGACCAGTGGCGATTGGATATAACTTTCAAATACAGCAATGATGTAAATTAGATGTGTTAATATCCCCAAAAGGATAAGCGATGTCATTTTTAATCCAGTTGAATAGTGGCAAGGAAAAGCGACATTAAACCTTGCAGGAGTCCATTAGCTAGCTGCATTGAGTATTCGTATCCGTTTCTATGGAATCCGCCGGAACGTTGTACGACGTCGCGATTGAGACGTCAAGAGGGTCACTCGCTTAGCAGTCTAGGGTACTTTATACTACCAATTCTACCATAGTATGCACTGTAATAGAATCTTCCGATACTATTTTCACTTAACTCTACAGTATATAATGTAGAGTTTCGGCTTGTAGTTAATGAAGGAGGTCCAGTATAGAATGTGTTCAATACGGTATAGTAATTGTATAGCAAGACGCTCATGTTTGCGTTCCTATATCAAGAACTGAGCTACTTCTTAGCCTATTTACCATCATAACACGTCGATCTAATTTGTCTTCAAAAACATATAGAAGACAAATTGGATGCGCACATCATTTAAATTCGTCATTAGCAAATTAATGCTATAAAAGAAAGCAAGTTTCTAGCTTGAAGATTGGTGTTGTATGACGAGATTGCTTTTCTAATTCAGCACCAACTAATCTATACAACATTGGATCATGTTTAAGGTACTCCATAAAGAATTGTATAGATGACGACATCTAATTTGCAAGTGAAGTCTATAAGCCATCGTAAACATGATATCTCTTACCTATACAGAAACAATAGTCTCCAGATCATTATTGATGTTTCATAAGGATCTATTGAATGTCATTTTTTTGAACGAAACGTCAGAACGTCTTTACGTCACTCTCTAATTAATGGACGTCGCTACGGACGCCTGTACTGCTATAGCATAACGCGAACATGATATCTTCAAGCTATAAGAAAGCAGTTATTTACGAGATACTTTAAATTATCGTAGTCGCTTTAGCCATGTTTCAGTGATAGTACTGTCTTGCAACAAGAGAAAGCAGTAGAGTACCGGATATTAGAACATAGGAATTTGTATGGAGGAAAGGAGAGTCTAGAGGAGGTATTTTCCTTTTTGGTCGTCGGCCTAGATGATTTTCAAGTAGCTGGATTGAATTATTCCTTATTTTCCTCCTCTAGATTACTGCAGATTCCTATTCCTACCTGCTCAACGGATGCAGTAAGTGACAATAAATGCAGTAGTTTGATTAAATTCTCTCATTCACCTCCAACACCTTGTAATACAAGGAATTCTTTTCAACAGCTAGCCGTTTCCATGGAGCGATGTTTACCTGTAGGTGATGACCATCATGGTCGAGATAATATTCCATCGCTGCAACAATCTGTACCAACTTCCGCTGAGGATTACTTAATGAACGTTCGGTAAGATAGCTACTAGATAGATGATGTTATTCTACACATTGCATTACCTCATCGACTGTTTGACACAAGCAATGGTGCATCAATACAGTAGTCCTGCACTAAGATTCAATCAACCTCAAGTAGGCTACTGTGCAAGATTGGATGATGCTCAATCGATGTCATACCAGAATGCTTGATAATGACATCAGTATACTGCTTCCTTATAAATCTGAAATATGGGCAGATGATTAAAAGACTCTGAGATAAACTGCAATGTCGAGATAGGGCCACAAGCAATCTATGAATCTTTTTTACTCCTTTATCCAATGAAAACCATACTTTAATGTAATACGCACTTTCTAACAGGGTTGAACCAATGCACTTGCTAACCTTGCAGTACAATGCTGCTAACTTGAAGTTGGTCTATATATTCAGTTCGTATTTTCTGTCGTACTAGTTGATTTCCCCTTGCATCTACTGTATGCATGCAAGGCCAAAAGTGAATGCTATTTTTTGGTCTACATACTGTATTCAGCTCGTATCTTCTGTCGCACTAGTTGATTTCTCCTTGCACCTACTGCATGCATGATGCAAGGCCAAAAGTGGATGCTATTTTTGGTATACACACAGTCCTGTATTCACTTCGTATCTTATGTCGTACTAGTTGATTTCTACTTGCATCTACTGTATGCATGCAAGGCCAAAAGTGGATGCAATTTTTTGGTCCACATACTGTATTCAGTTTGTATCTTCTGTCGTACTAGTTGATTTCTCCTTGCATCTACTGTATGCATGCAAGGCCAAAGATGGATGCTATTTTTTGGTCTACATACTGTATTCAGTTCGTATCTTCTGTGCACTAATTGATTTCTCCTTGCACCTACTGTATACATGCAAGGCCAAAAGTAGATGCTATTTTTGGTCTACACACAGTCGTGTATTCAGTTCGTATCTTCTATCGTACTAGTTGATTTGTCCTTGCATCTACGGTATGCATGCAAGGCCAAAAGTGGATGCTATTTTTGGTCTACATACTGTATTCAGTTCGTATCTTCTGACGTACTAGTTGATTTCTCTTTGCTTGTACTGTATGCATGCAAGGCCAAAAAATGATGCTATTAAACCTACAAATGTAGAGATTACATTATCCATGTATAACGACTAAATATCGAATTTGTAAACAAATCCAAACAGCCTACAATCATAAAACTTTACGTTTATTGCAATCGACAAATTTAGATACCATGAGACTCGTACCCAAGTACCATCAATAAATTGATAACATTAAAGGTAGCACATGAAACTGTTTACATACAGAGTTAAACCGGTTAGCTATCAGAATGCTTTAACGCACGATCCAAGGATATCCAGAAATTTTTTTTATACTACTCGTATACCTCTATAGTATTTACTTTGTTCATAAAAATACATATTAAATCTTATAAATTACATATGCAGATACGCGGTGTTGTATGATAATCATTGATGATTGTAAAAAAATTGCACCTTCACTGCCTATAATTTAATTTATTTATTTCTAGTAAACTTATTGTTTAAAGTATTATAACCTAATGGATAGAAATGATCGCAAAGATTTAGTATCTAAGTTTCAAATTTATCTCCTTGATAGTTGGTAACACTATTAATTAAACGAGATCGTGCGATTCAATTTTACTTTTATAGGCATGAAGCAAATAATTGTCCAGATGTTGTCGTTGCTGAAAATTTCGATTCTTCACGATTTAATTCTAGGCGCACAGTAAACTACACGAAGGTACTAGTCTTTAAGATGATTAACATAAGATGCAAATACAGCCAATGTATCTACAATGTAGCTACACAGTAATCAATGTAAATCTATGCCTATAATTGCAATTTGAAGAAAATTATAATTTAATTCAATAAGTAGTACAAATTATTCATTCATTTATTATGATTGTAATAGTACAATTAATTATATATTTACTTATATACTCTTTATATTTCCATCATTAACTTGTGAATCAATTAAAATGTCTAGAGTAGCAGTTTACTACCAACTCCTCCATCAGAAGAAATACAAGATTTTCTAATTCACACATTTTCAGAAAATCGGCAGGTACAAGTTATACTGAACTGTATAAAAATGATTTTGTTATTTTGAGCTGTCAAAGTTCCCTCCCTTGCCTAAAAAATACTGTACGCGGCTTTAATTGCATACATAGCTTCGGTAACAGAATCCTAACGACTCTAGCTACTGTCAGTGTTAAACAAGTATAAAACATTTATTGAATGTTACTACTATAAGCTGATTTTTTATTTTCTGTTTTATCTACTATGCAGAAATTCATGCAATACAAAGCCAAATTTATGAAAAGCAACTCCAAGATCGATATTAATTTTGTAAGACGGTGTAAATTTTACCATAAGTGTTATAGTGAACTACTTTTAAAGGCTATTTGTTATTGTACTTTTCGCTAAGCAAATTAGCTGCTTATTCTATTATAGTATCTTGCCAGGAATTTTGTCGTGTACATTCGTCATAACACTTTTCCATCCATCTTATTTCCATATAAATGCATGGCTTGCTTATGTAAATGATCACTGGACTATCAGCCGGCTATGAAGGATGAAAATGGCTGGCTTACTTTTTGCTTAGGATCAAACAAACATGTAAGTCAGACTCATGTTAAACTTACACATGGATATTCAGTTTAGGTTACAAAAATCATGGAATGAAAGTCTACGTTAATAATCATTAATCAACTTTGATAGAGAGGAAATCCTCCAACACTAGCTTTATTGGCAAGCATGAAATATGTAGGTTAAAAATTAATTATAATCGTACGTTTATCGTAGTATGGTGAAATAATAATTAGAATTATCATCGAAGTTAATAATATGCTTACGGTGTGATTATTTTATTTTTTTTCTACTGACTTTAATGATCATTCGAACGATGTAGATTGAGTAGTGTAATACAACAGTTGGTTTACTATATTAATTTAATTTTAGTTATTAAGATAAATTAGGCATACTAGAAGAAACTACTTATATGGATATTATTGTAGGCATGTTGAAGTTCGTATTTCATGCCTTTAGAGTTTAATTAAGATTTCAAATATCCTTAGGCTGTGTTAATAAAAGCATTCGAAAATTTGACTGAAGGCTTTAATCAGAAGGAATTTACAGATCTCTTTGTAAGTGAATAATTTCCCGCATATTTCCTTACCGTTGTGCACTACTGCTGGTGAATGTTTTAGAGTGCAAACTATTTTATATCTTTTATAATAAGATATCCTCATACATTACTTTATCGCAGGGACAGTGGCTGTATGCCCTTTTAGTATGCGTTGAAAAGCCACTGCTACCGGAGACTACGTCTATGCTAAGGATATTGGCCAGAAATTGCTCAGAACGTCGTGAAACTCTGGTAAATAAAGTAATACTGATCATGACCTATATGTATAACTTCATATACAGGTACATCTGAAAATATTCTACTGTATTAGGCTACTGATGATCACCTAGTGTCCGCATTAAACCTAATCATTGTCATTGTTGCAAGGTAAAATTTAAACGACTTCATAAAAGTTACTTTCTGATACGATTATACGCGTATTTTGCTAGCAAGAAGGTATACCAACTCAAGGTACTATCTGCTTTATGATTTGACAGATACTTTTCTCAAACGGACTTAATTTGATGCTATGGTTCGATATTTAAGTTCTTCATTGGAATGATGCAAATTACGATGAATTAGTAATCATCGTACGTAGTGTAATATAAAAGTTGTCTTTCTACCTTTTTCTTCAATGAAAGTCTCACTATTATGGTAATACTTTATTTTTATTGACTCATATCTTCAATAACAATTATATACGTACATACTGTTATAAGTACTTACAAATTCACAGTAATAGCATTTTGCGATCACGTAAATAGAAATAAAACTTTAAAGGTGTCGCTATTCCTTATGATAATTTAATCTAAAATATAAAGAAATATTATCTCAATCCCTTCTCTAAAACGGTCAAAATTTACACGTACTGCACGGTCAATTCTTAATGCAGCAAATGTTAAGCAATAAATAATGTTAATAGAGATTTTATAATATAAATTAAAAATTATACAGTAAAACCGAATAAATAACTCGCATAATATACACTGCCACAATTTTAATACCAGGTAACAATATCATAACTATATCATTTACATAGATTTGGATAATACATAAATAGATCACTTGAAATCGGTGACCTCCAATATACTGTTGCCGTAACAGCGATACTTGACGCACAAGACTCAAAAACTTCGGCTTGAGACTGCCGTAATAAAATTTTATCGATTAGCAATGACAACAATTCAAGATTTGTAAAATGAAATTTTGGAGTATTTCATACAAGTTCAAAGACTACAATTTTTTCGCAATCACCACATATGCGTAGTTACTATCTTTAAATATCTTCACAAAAAAATCACTTATAGTCTAGCTTCTTAAGTTACATTTACAAATCGGAGAGCACTAACAAATTTCCAGATCATAATTGCAGCGTTGTGAATTTAATATAAATTCCATGAAATAAATAACGTAAACACATCTCATATGTACATATCTCTATCTTATATATTATACTTTTGTTTTCATAGTTTTTACAATAAAATTGCTTTCATTGATACTGTTGTAAATTAAGGGCATACAAGTAACATTGCATACATTAATAACAAATATTTTCAACATTTATGACAAGTTATTAATGGCATTACGATTGTTGTAGTTAATCTAACACTTTTTTTCACGATGACTCGTTTGAAAGACTTTTGGCAGAAGGATATTTATTCATTCGTATCATAGCCCGGATACCATTAATTTCAGCAATTTTTTTAGACCGATTACTTGCAGCCGAGTTATTCATAATAGTACCAGAGACATCGTTCGTATGACCAATTCCGACTTTAATAGATTTCTTTAATCGCTTCTCTTCTAATGCACCTCGAGTAGGAAAAGGATTAAAGTTTGCGGTTGCCAACGGAACGCCAAAGCGCGATTTTTGACCAGAATTTGATACTCCTTTTTGCGTACTTTCATCTGAATAATAGGATGATACGGTATCAGCACTTCCAAAAACGCTACTTACAGATACACTTTCAGAATTTGTCCGTTTTATTTGGCTGATTAAATTCCTCTCTTCGTTCGTTGATCCACTATTTTCACTAAAGTCAGTCATAGACTTAGATCCGAGTTTTTCGTGGTCTTCTTCATCGATTTGCTCATCTAAGGATATATGACGCGAGCGAGGTTTATCTACGTATCCTCCTATTTTTTGCTCTTGTGGATAAGCATTCATACTTGAAGATTTTCCCCCACCATATAATCGATTCCATTTTTGGCCTTTACTAACAAATAAATGATTGATAACATGAGATTCATTTTCTTCTGACCCTTCGAAATTTAACTTCGGATCATCTTTAGGTAAAGAGGTCATGCCGGAGCTTTCCGCAACCAGCTGCATATTCTTTTGTTTTTGTCTCATTTGCGAGTATTGCTTTCGTAAAGCCTTTAGTTCTTTAGCAACTGACTTCTTCAAAACAAAGGTATTATCAAATGCTTGCTTACGCCCTGCAGCGGACGACTCTTCTTTATTCTTTTTAAATTTCCTTTTATACTTAAATAAACCATCTGTATTTTTATCTACATTTAATAATAAGATGATGGCATCAAAAAAATTCAATTTTAAATCTTCATCCGGTATTTGCATTAGTTAAAATTATAAGTTACCCAGCTTCTTCATTTTAAATACTCTAAATAGTCAGTTATTGAGGCACAATAAAAATTACCTTCTTCTGGATATGGAAAAAATCCTCCTAAGCACTTCGCCGGCGGAGTTTGTGGACATTCAACGTAATTCTCGTCATCATCATCACTATCACGAGTACTTCCGGTGCTACCTGATGTAGAATATTTCGATGGTACTTCTGAAGTTGAAGACGTAAATGGCGTAATATTGTAAGTATATTTATCACGCAGTTCTTCGATGATTGGATGAGGGAAGGATCCATTAGAATATATTTTCTGGACGAATATTAAAAATATTTTGTGAATTGACAATTTTCGAAGGCTTAAGACTTATGTTTTCCGTAAATTTACGAGTTATGTCGCGGTAGTTTAAATAAAATTTACCTGAATTAGTGCATCACGATCGATAATTCTGCCCTCTAACATTTTCTGTGAAATGTATCCCATCATACTATAAAATTCATGAGCATTTTCTGCAGCGGAAATACGTCTATAAGGATATAAATATCCAGTTAAGATTACATTACATTTATACAAGATATCTGCAGTATTCAAATTGATAAAGTAAATCCGACTGCGCTTCTTGTGCAACGTTTATTCAGAGTACTTACTCTCCGAGTATCGACCACAACGCTAAGGATGTACGAACCAAGACAGTTGATCCTTCGAGAAGTACACAATCCCAAATTCTAAGAATTGTGTCGCGAGGCAGGCAAGTAGCAAAAATCGTTAGAAACCATTGCATAGTAAATACGTTTGTTAAAGGCGGTTCATAATCGCTGCCTGCTTCTTCTGCAGCTTCTGCTTGTAATTTATCTAAATGTTGGCATAAATCTGGCTCTTCTTCTCTAAGTAAATCTCTAAATACGGCCATATCGACTGATAGTGCTCGCAAGTTGTTAGCGAAATAATTCTTAGGGAGCACATAATCGATTAGGTAAATCATAACCTATGTTGGATAGAAATATTTTACAAGATCTTTAGTCTAGGTATTATCTTCCTGATTTTAAGGGATAATGTAAATAACACAAGTTATGCGGAACAATATAAATTCAATCAATACTTTAAAGAATCAATATTACAGCCAAAAAGAATACTGTCTACTATTACTGTATAGCTGAATGAAGTACGTTACTAATCCTACCCTGTCAATCATATTAGCGTAAGTAAATAAAAGCAGTTTTGCATAAAATCTTAATAAATCGATAATACTGTATAACAACTTATTTTGTTTACTCAAGCTAAGGGGCAGCGAATTTATGAAAAATTGACATTTAGTTCCAAGAAATGTTAGCAAGATATACAATGACATATTTTTCGAGAAACATGAAAACAATTTACCAAACCGCGATGTCAATGGCGTAAACTTGATCGTCTTAGATTTCTTATTATATAAGTATTAACTGTATGCACTGTAACCATACAATTAGCATTTAATGCAGCAAGATATTTTTTTTCATTACCTTCAAGGCTTGTTCCTCATTTCCCTCAAATACATCTAGTATTAGCGCTGCAATGACATTAAATCCTTGGCAATAGCCAACAGCTTTGTTCCATCGTGCATAACCGAGTAATACCCTTTTTAAAGCCGCTCTATTTTCCGGCCTATTTTTATCACAGAACTTGCTATAGCCAGTTCTATGCAGGTCCTGAGTGAAGGATATCATATCACATATTAGTACCATTGTATAGCACAGAATTAAAACAGTGAATATAGCAGTATCGCCAAAATCAAACGTAAGCTATGAAAGGTAATAAATAACCTTCACAATTTGTAGCCCAAGCTTATCATCATCTCGATTGCTCTTTTCATTGAATGCAAATTTTGCTATATGGCCCCATTTATGACCAGTCAGTTTGCTTTCAGCTAATCTAAGCCAAAGCTAGTAGTTAACGATAAAATTTACCGTAAGGCGATTAAAAAGATGTTTTTATGCACAGAAATTAAAATTTAAAAGAGTATCAACATACAAAGTCCCAATTGTTCTATCCTAAAATGTATACCTTTTTTCTCCACTCTGTTGGAATGCTATTAGGCAGTCGTACGAGAGCTTTACAGCTTTCTACCCACTTCGTAAAAGTCGCAAGCATAAAAGATCCAATGATGCAGCAAAGATTCCAAGATAGAAGCAGGAATAGTAAAAAAATGTAAAGCAATAAATTAATAAAATTTAGACAGGAAAAATAACGCAACAACTCTAGTCAGAACTGCTAGTCGACTTGTAAGCTATATTTAATAGCATTGCAAAGATAATTTACCTGTCGAAAGCCATCTTTACCCCGAGCGGGATTGAGTATAAATTTCAACTGGGTATCCTCACCTTTACGTCGTCGTAACGAAAATTTACGTATTAGAGGCATGAAGCACAAAGTACAAGTCGGAATGGTATAATACTAACAAATGCAAGTGCAACGGTAAGAAATGTAAGGTATAAAATCTTTATCAATTCTGAACTATTTCTCCAAGTAATATGACACAAAATATTGCGTCGTCTCTGTATAACAGGCATTATATACCGCACATAACATGCAAATTAGTAGCTTACTGTAATAAGATAAGTAGGCCCTAGAGGGTATAGCGATATAATTGGCTAACAGCGCAAATTTTTAATTACTGTTTAAAGTTGGTACGACTAAGACATAAGTAGGACATTTGCACCACTTTAAACATATAGATAGCGCCATGGCATTTATTGTAAAATTTAGGTAAAAGTAAACAGGTGGCATTCTCCATTTTTTACATTTAATGATAGACAATGTATTTCAGGAAGCGATGGAATAAGATTGGCTATCAGCGATAGAATGTAAATTGAAGCCCACACAAGGCATTTATAGCTACAATATCTCAAATAAACGGTGACGTCAATTGTCTAAAGGACCTTAACCTTCATTTCGGGGACCATTGACCTCTTAGTTTAGCACTATTTACTTTTATATTCCTAAAAAGGTTATACAGTATAATGCTAAAAGAGACACTGTGATAAAAGTGCAATCCTCTAACTGTTCACAGTATGCTGTTCGAAAACAATGATGAAATCCTGTATAAAATCATGCACTTATTGCATCAATAATGTCAATATTAAGTTATTATCTTCTATATCGTATATGATATCTTGATCATTGAATAGACAAGTATAATTATGTTAGTCTTTTATCCTTCATTTTCTGGAAAAGATAGGTAATTATGTTAATTCTTTTTATCCTCATTTTCAGGAACAGAAGGGTAAATTATATTATTCTTTTATCCTTCATTTTCGGGGAAAGTCAAAACGTTTAACCTCCTGTGTGATATCTATACAATGTATAGTTAATATTACAAGATTCTTATTAAGACCACATATAACTTAAGCACTTCGTATTAAATTCCAAGACTACGATCCAAATGTTAGCAAACGGCCGATAGTCAAAGGTAGCACAGTTTCTGTGCTTTAATGCGATATACTGTAGCACAATAAATACTGTATGTTAATACTTGATAGATTCACATACAGTATCTAGCAGTTCTATTAAACATGTATGAGAATGTCTGCAACTTTCCAATAACATTATGGTTCAATAAGATGCTGCATAAATTAATCGATAAGTAAGAAATGTGTACTCTGCACTCTCTACAAAAAGACAAGTAAAAAATTTTTAGCACTGAAATATTAAATGGCGGCAATTTCGAGAGCAAGACGATTTTGATGAAATTAGCTAATGACCTAAAGCATATTGTTTCGTGGTATATTGTGCATGTGAGTGAATTACTTTACATGCTTATCATATGCTACAATGAGTAATTATGATTACCACTTCAAACAGTACGAAATCAGGTCATAGCATACCTTGAAAATGAAATTATTCTGATTTTTAAAGTAACCAACAACTTTAAATGCCTTACAGTCTTAAATTGTGCTATAAAACTGCTGATGCTAGCTGAAATTATTAGTCTCATTACAACAAGATAAAATCTATTAGTCATACAGTAGATTACTATCACATGATAAACTTGAATTGATCAGCTGTTCATTGGTATTTTTATGCCGGATATCGACAAGACATGAGTCGATTACCTGCAAAGAAAAGTTTTATCACGTTGGGTTCGGATCTATGTTACGATAGTATTTAGTATATGTTCGAGATTAATTAGGGCTAATAAATTAACGTTATCATGATGTATTTACAGACTTGCAATCTGGCATCCCAAAATCGATTGCCTTACTTTATTTACGAGGCTGTATTACTACGTTGTACAAGTCACAAGAAAGATTTTAATGTAAAATGTACATAACTGTACATAGGACTTTTCACTTTTGTTAACGTGCAATATTTACGCGTCCGTAATTTAAATTTCTATCGCAATTTATGCACGATGTTGTACCCAAATCACAAGGGATCGTTATAATAATATTATGAAAGGCTTATGTGGATAAACATGACGGATATCTAAGCAGAACGCCTAGTTGATGAATTTTGATATCATACAAACTGGCTCCATTGAATGATTTTTGGTCTAATCAATAGTCACTAATGCCTATCGATCGAAATATCAAATTAAAGTTAGCCCTTGATCGCTTAGCAAGGGTTAACGGTAAGACTTGCATAAATTTATTATTGATATAACGTTATTAACGACAAGACTTGATTAGCTCAAGATATTTCATTTACGGAAAGGAATCTAATTAGATTTACGTCATGACTTGTCAGGAATTCAAATAAATTAAGGTAAAAACGAAAACACTACATAATAGAACTTTGCCTATTTCACTTCGCCAAAAGAGTCAAAACAAAAACATTTAAGCCCAAGAGAAAATAATTTATCTTGTACCATTAGTAGATCATTTTAAATCAGTTATGTAATCTTTCGAATCCAGCAGTATGATGGACAATTTCATCAAATTCTCATCCGTTCTATTCCGTCTTATATTACGGCTAATCACATAGCGAGCGATTTTATGAAGCATAAAACTGAATGAATAATTAAGTAAACTATGACAATGACTAAGGGAATCTATTCTAAATACTTAAAACCCATCAGATTGTATGTAACTGTATCACCTTAATTGCATATAGTATCAAACATTGAATATAGTGGAAATAGACAGATGAAATGTCTCTTAAAAGCATGCAGGCAGTATTGCTGATTTCATGGGTAGGGCCAACTGTTCAATATAAATTATGTACGCTGGCTGATGCATGTCAACAAACAATCAATACGATCAAGATGTTAAGAATAGACATGGACACAACGTTAGTACATGTCAGCATCTCTAAATGCGTCGTAAATTGAAAATATATCACGAGAGAAGCTAAGAAGCGATTGATAGCTACTCCTTCAAACTTCTAGCTCTAAACTACACCAATAACATAAGTTGTACTTTCCAAACGAAGAATAATATAATCTTTCTCAACATACGTACAGATCATCATTTTCGAAATACTAATTAAAATGTATTCTAAATAGATAAACTAAGACTGTGCCGCAATAATCATATCGTCAGAATATCCTCGATTTACTTACGCCTTTTAAGAGAACACGCTTGAATAATCGCAGTTAATAGATCGCAATTTAAGTTCAGTCGAGTTTTTCGACGATCGCGTCTTTTCAATTCTTTAATTAGCCGAGAAGATATCTGAGTAGTTCTTGCTTGTAACTCTTTCACCGTCGCTTGTAATACTTGAATACCTAAGCGAATGGTATGGCAAAAAATGAATTTCAAAGATACAACCGGATGTTGTGTGAAAGCCATTTAAGTGATTTGGCCGCTAAGGAAGATAAATCAATCCTAACATATTTACACATACACTATACGATCAAAATCGTACAGCATGACATAAGATTCATCAATCCTGAAATCTATTCAATTGGAAGACATTCTGCTTTATTATACAGTAGAGAGGTGAAAAATGGATATTTTCAACCTTGCCAATAAACTTGGGAATGGGCCACAATAAATTCAATTCTTTGTACAGTTCAACGACTCGTATTAGGTCCTTATTCTACAGTAGCAAATTTTGTATTCCATAAGCTAGTTGTTTGTAAGTATTTAACTATCCAAACTGCTTTGGTAAATTATTGTAGTATACAGTATTGATGAAGTTGATGATGATCTTACGGTCTATTGGATGAGATTGGGAAACTTTCTAGTACCATGACTTGATTTCCTTGGTGATGAAGTTATGTTATCACAATGTGCAATTATAATAATAGAAACAACTCCTTTCCCTCCCTAATAGTATATAGTAAAAATAAAAAGAGTAATTCTTGACAGACTCATGTTTAAACTTCCACTTCTTTATGTCAAATTGAATTAGATACGATATTCAATATGAAATGATTCTTGTCCATTGTGTATGTTGTGGTGGAGGCCCAGTTATTTCTAGCTATCATCACATATGCGACTAGTTGACGAATTGTACAGTATGTCCCATCTATTTAGTTGTAAAGTACACATCATCTACTAGTGAATTTTCAACATTGATCCAAGCCAAATATCCCAATGGAAGTCAAGACATGGCAGAAGAATCAGATCGTATAGACTGTATGATCGCTGTTGGAGTTTATTGACGTATTGTTGTTGGCTTACCTTTAGTTTTTAAAATTTCTTCGGTCAATTTAGCGTCTCCAAGGAATGAAGTTGTTCTTCCTACACGAACATGATCAGAATGGCTGGCTAATAAACTATCACGACCATTTAGATCATCTCCTTGGCCAACTTTCTTGTTATAAATTTCACATAGTAAACTATCGACAATGGAGACTTTTTGATTGAAACTATTGGTAGCAGCGTTATGACTACTACTTAGTTCACCGGAAATTGAACCAATGTTATCCAAGCGCCACTGTTGTTCATCGTCTTCATCTTCTTCACTTAATTCGCTATCATCATCGTCGTGATGATAGAGCAAAGTTGATTCACAATCTTTAACACTTAAACTTGCGCTAGAACTATCCGTTAAGCTATTGGTTAATAAAGTTTCATCGAAATCGAATATCAATTGATTAACATCATTCTCATCGTTGGCCATATTGAATTCAATTCCATTGATGTCGAGACTGTGCCGTGCCGTTCCACCGGGGTCTATGGGGGGGGGGGTTATGATGGGGGTTGGTGTCCTACCCATGTCGTTACAGTACGTCGGTAACACGGACGTCATTGTCATAGTATACTGTATCATACAGTGCTAATCAGCATATACGTTAGGTTAGAAAACGCCTGCACTGACTTAGCCTATGCGCGTAGTATAAGACGATCGTACTACACATGCAGCTCACACTAAAGAGGCTCAAGTCAACACCGTCACCCGTAGTAAAGTCAGAGGCAAACCTAGGGTCACTTTGTAAACCACTAGCGTCAGCTGGCACAAGCACGCCAAACAGGTCTAGATCGTACTATACATGCAGCTCACACTAAAGAGGCTCAAGTCCACACCGTCACCCGTAGTAAAGTCAGAGGCAAACCTAGGGTCACTTTGTAAACCACAAGCGTCAGCTGGCACAAGCACGCCAAACAGGTCTAGGTACAGTACAGCATTCGCAGTGCTGTACCGCGCACAATACTGCCAGTCAAACATGCATTTTTTTTTTCTTTCACCTGTCAGGAGGACAGTGGAAAAACAATCGACAGTCAATACACTCCAAATCGAACTCGTGTATTAGACACGAGTGTCATGGTTACGTCATAGTACTGGAGACCATGGTAGACCATCTGTCTTATTATTGCGGTTGATAAAGACTCAACAAGGGATGCTAAGGTGAACTGGCGGTCTTAGGCCATCGCAGCTCACTGCAGAAGGAGCTTTGATCTATTTCAGCTGGATTGCATCTGCATGACAAAATTAATGCTAAGCAATGCTGTAAGATGGCATGCATTCATAGCAATGGTTGATTGGACTAAATGCGTCATTGTAGACCATCTGTCTTATTATTGCGGTTGATAAAGATTCAAGCAGGGATGCTAAGGTGAACTGGCGGTCTTAGGCCATCGCAGCTCACTGCAGAAGGAGCTTTGGTCTATCGCAGCTGGATTGCATCTGCATGACAAAATTAATGCTAAGCAATGCTGTAAGATGGCATGCATTCATAGTAATGGTTGATTGGACTAAATGCGTCATTGAGCAATGTATAATATGCAACATAAGCAGTAAATCAACAATGGAATTGGATGGAGAACCGGGGCTTGATGAATTCAAGGGTTTAATGTCTCCAGAGCAAAGAGTACTTTAGCAATCTCGTATTACGTAATTTTAAATCGATACGGTGCTCGTGTTAATAGCGGCTAATGTTCTAGCCAGCTGCAGTCTTCCTACAGGCAACAAATTTGAAAGAAATTCTAGCATACAGTACTGGACAGTATGGTCAGACCATACGGTCATGCAGCAGCTTTTCAAAACAGACTATAACGAGAACATAGACGATACAGCTAAGGTCATCATTCAAAGAAAATTCCAATAGCCAACATCGTACCCTGCTAGAATATACGATCTAGACTGGAACTTTCAAGAGAAGACATTCTTATAACAAAATCAAACAGATAGCCAAGCTGAAGATAAATATCGAAATTAAAAATGGTTCTTACTAATAGCCTATTTTGTCACTCGATGACCCAACTCAAACATGATTGTTGTTGTAGGCAACGTTATGTAATATTACCAAATATTGAGGCCACTACACGTAAACTCTAAAGTGGCAATAATATCGCGTCATAATTTCCCTCATTTTCAAGAAATAAATGCGGTAAAAGTTTACTAATATAGGTATACTTATTCTTGCTGCGGCTTTACTCGATCAATAACACAAACTTATGAGCAGAACATCTAAAATGCCATAATACGTACGAGTATCAAAAACTCCCCTATAGTAAGTTACTACATGTACGCATAGACGTATTCGTTGCTATATTAGAATCAAGTACAGTATGTATATTTGCATATCTCAGGTGTCTCTTGGATATGACTTTACTCGTAGACAACAGACAAAGTCATCAATTAAAGCATTAAAAACACTACAGACATTTTAATGATACAACTATCTCAAAAGTAGCATAGGAATTACTCATTCTTAACGACCTTATAATAGTTATAAAAAAAATTACAAATACTTAAAGCGAACATCGCTATCACCGAACAAATCAGTTTGCATTGACAAGTACTAGATACGAGCAATTAATAACATTTCCATCCTAATTGACTTAATTTCATAATAGACTCGTTCGTAAATACAAACATGTTTCGTTACTAGCCCCTTTCGGCCACGATAATTATACATATACTATATCAAGACATCGGTCCCACCATTACAGGTCAAGCGTAATAACATTCTACAGTCAAAAATATTTACGGTATGTATTGATCTGCAGGCGCTTGAAATGAATACGTAATGAAAGTAAGCATTCGTACCAACACATTATTTTACGTATATCCTCTGAATAGCCTCTTAAGGCTTGACGAAATTGAACGTCTTCAAAACATTGATCAAAGTAGCCCTAAATTTGTCAATGAATATGCCATGAAATTTCATCCTGATATTATTTTTATCCATGATGGTATTGAGTATTTAGCTTTTAATCGTTATATTAATAGACTATACAAGTATAGGTGTTAGTAGAACGATAAAGGGATGCGTTAATACAATCAGCCAGTAAGACTATACAATTAAATGTACTTTGCGCACAACTAAAAATAAAATCTTTTCCGTTAACTAATAACAATGAGATTCACTAAGTGCTGCACAATTGCGATATTAGCGTGATTACTGTTGTCGGTATTAAATTAAAAACATTTTTAGTGAATACCTATTGTCATCACGGTACGTTCTAACAATAGTAGCTAAGCGAACAATTTATCCTTAAAATTATATTCAATAGATTTACTTTGTTGCCTAGAGTCAGAAATCAATAATGTACATGTATACCACGGTAATCAATTAGTCATTTGGTAATATAAAGCTTTGCGATTCTGTCTATGTATCATGTGCTTGTAATTACATCATCATATTATAGCATTAATCAAGCCATCCCAGCGTCATTTCCTTATATTAATATACGACAATAATCGCGATAAAAGTTATCGATGCAAGCATAATAATTACTACGCTATATAATCTATAACCACTACTATCAATTCTTCTAAACACCCTCATAGAAAATGAATTAGTTTATTTAATTTTGTTATACAAAATTGTTTTATACCTTTCTTAATAACTAGTCTCCACACATTATTACATTCAAATCGCAGGTGGACAGAACAGAAATAATTGTACTCTTCAACAATAGATATTAATAATTCGTATGATTTTTGCCCATAGTCCTCAAACAATGCAGAATATGGCTTTGTGCGCTGTTGTTTTGACGTAGAATACCAATAAAGTTTCCTACCATTTATTACCACGACATTAGCATTTCTTGGATCAATATAAAGATACTACTTAGGAGATGAAACGAAAATTAGTATCGTAACTACAGTTATAAGTTTTACCCATAATTATCGATAGTGGCAATTTTGGAACTGATTTTTATCAGGTATGATACCGTTTCTAGCTTGTCAATGTTTTGGCGTGATTGCTAGGATATCTAAACTCCGATTTGTTAAAGGTCATTGTTAAGAAATTAATCTCAAATATTTCTTAAAAACGATATGGTAACTATTGCAATTCTAGCCTGATAACTTAAGGGCTACTACATATAATGTAAGTACAGTGAAATTTTAACTACATAAAATAGGAAGAAACTTTGTTATGTTATTATTTTGCCCACTTGGAATTCGTTCAAACTTTCAATTTTCTCGAAAAATAAGAATGCTCTTACGTTATTAACCTTTGAAATTAAGTTAGATCGGACATAATGCACCAAACATTATATCGTAGCAAGCGTGAGGACATAAATGTTAAACTACCTCCACTGCCTTCTAAGTCAAGTGAACATATCCGTTTTCAAAGTTCTCCTCCATCTCCTACACTGACTACATTCCCAAGAATCAACGGTAATTAAGTAATGGTTTGAAGTGTTGTACCTTTCACAGGGCTTAAATTTCACATTATAATACAGATTCAATAATTGTCTCTCATCTCTCACTTCAATATTTGATATACTATTTTAAGCTACAGATGCACGAGATCGCAATCCACCAATAACATTAACATCAGCAAAATTTCCAAACATTCATGGCAAGTGTTTTCTTATTCTGAAAAATGATTCATATTAATATTTACTTATTAGCTAGTTTAACTTGGTATTTAGATTTGATATTGGACATGAAGTACTTTAAAGTTGAATTACTCAATATTTGTTAATCATTTTATTTACTCATATTACGGCCATTTCAATTCAGCTATTACCCTACATTTTATCATTTTGCTATCCAGTTATTCCCATGCGGTTGCTAAGATACGGCTTTATAAATTTGAAATGCATCGTATTAAATTAACTAAATGGATGAATTGACTAATCATAGCAATACTGGATTTTTAAATTATAATTTATGGGTCGTTTTCAACGCAATTTACTTACATAGTAGTATTTAGAGACATCCTGCTTACTGATGTGTTTATATCTAAACCGCTATAAAACGGATACATTTGATAAAAGGACGAAAAAGATTGACTCTATCCATGATCGAAATACTCGTACACACGAGGGCATTCTAGCTTAATAGGAACAGTTAAGCATTCAAACTTTTCAAAGCTAGACCTATTGGCATAACTGAGAGTGCTTTATTCACTTAGTGTGTATCAAAGTAATAGAATGATCTAAATTTAAGAATAATTATTTACTAACAACCGTACTGTATAGTACTAAATAAATACTTTTTATTGGAAGCGAATACTTTCGCTGCAATATCATCTAATAAATCAGTTCTATGCTCGAGAAAGTACGGTAAATACTAGATTTGGTAACATAAATTAAAACCCTAGTTGATTGTACAAGAACAATTAAGGTAAAGAGAGATTTTTTTATGTTAAAACTATTATTCACTAGCTACTGCATCAAATTGAATAATTATTTCATCAATTCTGAAATATACCTATACAGAACATAGTACGTTAACTTTGAAGTACAGTAGTAAGCTTTCAAACGCTCGAGCAGATACTCATCTGAGCGCTTGAAAAGATTTTTAAGGTCGAAATTATTAAGAATAGTATATTTATATTTAAATACGCCGTACTTAAACATAGATATTAGTATTGAGACCTACGTGATCTGAAATAAAATTCAGCACCAACGATGACAGTTATCCGTAACAAGATTGAATGGTCTAAAAGAAAACTTTATAGTAGACTGCCGTTGATATAGGGACTCTTGTACTGTTTGACTGAGCATGTAGCTTTGATTTTTTCACGATAGTAAGAAATACACGATATTCTTAATAAAAGTAAAGTAGTGTGTGTTGCGCAATTCTAACTATTACCTACATTATAATTTAGAACAACAGTCTGTTAATAATGACAGCCCTAGAAATGAAAACAGAAATGTTAGAAATCTCTACGAAAACATTCGGTTTTGGCGTGAAAAGTATTACTTACAAATACTTAAGCATAAACTACCTTCATTACAAGGACAACATGCTTTCCTGGTAAGATTACCGTACATTTACAAGATGCAGTTTGCAATAACTGCAAATTAGAGTAAGAATTTTAACTTTACAAAAATTAATTCAACTTCTCGTAGAATGAAATCTCCATAATATCCTTCGGTGCCATTTAGATAATTAATTTATTTAACCTTTACTATGTTCGACCATAGCAAAACGAATCAAATCAAGTATATTCACAATATTTCAATATGATCCAAGCACCACCATATATGAAGAGACTGAGATCGTCTTCAGATGTTCGTGATAGGAAAATACACGTAAGTTAGATATTGTATGTTTATGCTCATACATTGATTTTAATTATACATAGATATATAGAATAGAGTAACGGATACGAAATAATGAAATAGCTTTGAAGTAATAAAGACTGTATCGAATGTGTAAAGATAAAAATAGTAAATCTAATGCTGGGCCATTATTTTTAATCTTAGCCAAAAGGACTTTGCAAGTATTGTCAATCTCGCGAAAGGGACAACACTAACGTTAAGGTGAAGTTCAATGCTATATCATATAAACCACCTCCATTAGTGAAAAAATCCACAAAGATGATCACTTTTCTCTATTTTTAAATCCTTACAATAAAAAATGCTACTGTCTATCTTAACTTCGAGGAATTAGCTAATATCAATTTAACAGTTTCAATTGATTAATTTATAGTAGCTTAGTTGAAACTTAGAAAAATTCTTATGATATAGGATCTATACTCAACAACTGACGATAAGCAATCGCCACTTCAAGATGATTTTTCTGTTCAGAACAGACAGGCTGTTAAAATTAATAAACTCAAATTTGATGTAAGTATAAGTATCATTCAAAGAAAAGCGATAAGCTACGGTACATTATTATTTTACTAGTAAGGAATCTTGAAGTATCAAATATTTTGACAACTGAAAAATTTATAGATTAAATATTTTCATTATAAGAGTTCAATAATACTTCTCTAGGACATGACTGATGTTAATATTAGCTTATCAGCAATCATAGAAAATACTGAATACTTGAAAAAATACGTTGAAGAAGAATTCTCTAAAAATGTCTATATGGATCAAAATCAAGATTTAAACCAAAAAGATGATATTGATTCTGGTCATAGCTCGGGGGAAAGATACGATTTAAACAATTGTAACACTTTGCTTTATAGTAAAGCTGCCGATAAAGTAGAACGCCTCAGCTCCAATTTTATGCAAAATTATGAATATAGACGACGCCGATATGATCACCAAAAGCAGTGGTTAGAGAAAGAATTAGCTGATAATCATGTGTGTCCATGTAGTTGTGGTAGGCGTAAGATAACGACAGCTGAAGAGATACTTTTAGCTGACATTAGGAAAATACGACATTTTCGACGACCTAATAAGAAGAAAATTATTCGTCGGACTAAAAATCAACCCGGTATAAGTCGTAAATTTATGAAATTGCTAAAACAACGACAACGACTAATTGCACGTAGAATATCTCTCACTGGTAGCTTAGATGGAAACTCCAGTGATAGTAATGACGAAGCTAAATCAGTCACAAGTACAGCCCCTAGTACAGCAATAAGTGTAGCAAATAAAGCAGCAACTGAAAGTGCTATCAGTGTAGGTCGATCCTATCATAAAAGAGGCGTAGAAAAAGATCCTGTGAACATTTCATCTCGTGGATTTAAAATGACAATTTGGAATATATATAATAAACTACTTAAAAATGCCGCTGCTGCTGAAGAAGAATTGCTTCATAAGAAAGGACGTAAACGATCGAAAAGAAGAAAGTTTAATTACAAACAGAAACAAAATGATTTAGCGATAGAGACATCGAAACATTTACATTTGACGGCCGTCAAAAATAGGCATAAGATAAGAGAAGAAGCTGCTACGGTTACCAAGCTCATTGATCGATTACCTGTAATCCTAAAGGAACATCCACTAAAAAGTATAGAAGGGAAAAAATTAGAATCTCGGAGTGTCATGTTTAATTTTAAATCTAATTTTAAGAGCGGTGATGAGAGCAGTGAACTAGAAGATCAGCCAATTCGTTCCTCGTCATCAAATTTCGATGATCGACAATCGTCTGATGATCGTAACAAAAATTATAAAGATATCGTAAAAATAAAGAAAGCAGTTGCTACTTTAGAAAAGTCTGCGACAAAATCATCAGGCAAGGAAGAAAATGCTGCAAAATTGAAAATTGAGCGTAGACCACCAATAAAACTAGCTACACATATCAGGAAAAGACAACCTAAGACACAAGTAGCTTTATTTCAGCCAGAATCACAAGAGAAGCAGGTAGATGGTAAGAAGGATGGAAAGTATTCAAGAGATGAGGTCCAAAGTTACATCCAAAAAGAAGCTACTAACAATCATAATAATAGTCTGGATGAAACCAAAAAAGGCTGGAAAAGCAAGAAGAGGAGATTTGAAAGATATCGTAAGAGAAGAGAAATGATGCAAGAAATTTTTAACAGCAGTAGTAGCGATCCAGAACTTAATGCCTATTTATATGGTACGGATACTGAAACAGAAAGCGTCAAGAGCAAAAGATTAAGCCAACTGAAATCAGGTGAGATCGTAACTTAAGCAACCCACTCTGCTTGTTAACCAAGACAAATAAATAATTACGATATAATTAGTGATTAGGGTCGATTTATAGCAATGCACAGGTGTAATGCCTTTCTGGATGTCCAATAACTGATCATCTCTATTGTGATAGTCGTTTTGTAATCAAGGGTATAATATATATCATATTTCATTGATTGATTAAAGAGTAAATAACTGCATAAGAATTCGGTTCTTTTTAATTAAATGAAATAAATATAAAAAAATATTTTAACAAGATCTAAAAGATAATTTATACTCGTGACAATTAATCCAAAGCAGCATATTATACTTTGCTCATACATAGTTGCACCGTTGCACAGTTGCCCAGTACCGATGTCACAGTCATAGTAAAATTGAACCGTAAATTATAAATACTCATATCATCAATTTTATCCTTTGCAATTTAAAAGCTATCGCAATTACTGCTCTATTTGCAATATAGGGATTGCAATCAGATTTCAATAGTAGGTAAATTAAAAATCATTCTCTACTTGCACTAGCTTCTGAAATAATGCCTATTCGATCATCTGGTCAGAGGATAACATCGGAAACTGTAGAACCACAAGGAGTTAAAAGGGCTAGTATTGGTAGCCTGTTATCCGATTCGATCCCTACTGATTTTGAAATGGACATTGCTGATGATGGTAACATTTCTCCTTACTTCCTAAACAACCATGACTTATGGTCTGGCCCACCAAGATCGTATTATGATGAATTATTGCTGGAAAAAAGTGATACAGTAGAGCCTCGCAATATATATTCACCAACCCATCTAAATCAAGTCGATCCATACAAAGATAAAGAATGGGAAATTATAGCCAAACTTTGCGACGTGGAATATATTTTGACCGGTAAAGAAGGTCATATGAAAAAATGGTCCGACTTGATCCATATCAATCATAAAATTACTGCAGAAGAACGTCGTCGACGTAAACTTCAAGCAGCTAAAGAGAGAATCCTATTAAATAGAAAGTATAAAAAGCACATTATGAACGAGCGTAAAACAAAAGATAGTTCATCTGAATGTGATTATGTGGATTCTGATTTATCCAGCGTGGAATCTTTCGATTCTGATGTTTCTATACCACAGGATATCATTCAGGAAAGCAAATTTATTTCACGCAAAGCTGGTATACTAGAAGGCAGTGTAGGCTTAGCTGCTGCTCCAGTTGCCGTCAAGAAGAATCGTGGTAGGCGGCCAGAGAGAGGGAATTGTGATAGCATTAAAAGAAGAAGACGGTATTTTTACCGATTATGGCTATCTGTCGAGCCAGATAAGGAATCGGAAGAGGAACAGAAAGAGAAATCGCCAGTTGCTGATGAAGGCGAGGATCAAAATACTGAATTGCCAACTCAAGCCAGTGTACCAACAGTTAGCCTAAGCGATATTCCACTGGTCGAATCATCGAGTGGTAATCGTATGTGGTTGAATAAAGCTTATAATGGCGATTTAGTTAGCGATTTTATTCCAGAAAAAAAAGTTATACCAAAGCCTTTTCAAAAGCCGATCAATGATAGGATCAATTATCGACGTAAGTTTTCTAGGGGTAATTTCTGGCAAACCTTTGCTATCAATAGGAATGCATGATTTCGCTGATTACTAGTTAATTGCCTTATATTCAGGTTAATACAATTTACATCTGCGTTTGGTGGCCTTTATTTTTTACATTCGTCGATAATTTCTATTTCATGCTTGATCAAGAATTGACATTTTGAAATGATTTTGGTATTAAAATCTATTATTAGGTCGTAATACAATATCAAGATCGTTTCCTAATCTACAAGCGATACCTGAAAGGAGAATAAGTCAGCTACAAAACGAGAATAATAAGCAAGAAGATGAATTGGAAAGCACCATATCAACACATCATTTTCAAGAAGAAATATCTGACCCATTGCACGATATTAGTCTTGCTTTAGCGAAACATCCACTAGGCCATGATAAGACGGATCATAATGTTTCAGAAGGCCATAGTGAAAGTATTTCAGCCAATAAAATATCTATTTTAGAGGCTATTAAATCACACCAGTTATACGAACAATCGTTAGAGGTGGAAGTTGAAAGCAGTTATATCAGTCATGAGGATGGTCCAGATTATCAAGTAAATACGACTGAAATGGGCGAAAAAGTGCCCACACAGCGTGCTACTAGTCGAGTTGATAGCAAGCTAAGTGACAGCAAAAGCAGTTTAAATAATTCTGATTTTAATCTCAGCGAATTATTTTTATCACAAGACAGTGTGACATTAAAGGAAGAATTAGAGGTAATCGGTCAAAAATTTATAGATGGTAGCCCAGACGAAAGTAAAGAATCATCTATTATCATCAGAGAACAACATAAAGATTCAATCGATTTAAATAAAGTAAGAGATCGCCGTCTATCATCTATACGGCCAAGACAGCCTAGTGTAGCAAGTGAATCAGTCGAGAAAAGGCTAAGTCTGGATTACTGGGTTATTGTAGCCGACTCAGCAGAATCACAAACCAATGATGAGGATGAAAATCACGTCGATGTTGATGAGATCCAAGTAAGATTTTGACCGGTTTTGTGACAGTAATAATGTCGATATTCTTAATATAATAATTAAATCAAGTTTATTGACATGAACTAAAGTGTTAAGTATTTGATTCTGCATGCTCTACATCTTGTAAAGGATATTTTAAAGCAATACGAAGCATTGTATACTGAACAAAGTAAAAATATGGAAACGGATGCTATAAAATCAATTTCTGAAAGGTAAAGTGAATATATCATCATGTTATAGTGCTGTGCTGTTATAAAATAAAATAAATTAATATCTGAGTCCAAAATCAGTGCTATGTATAAATTTGATATCCATCCATTTATGATAAATTTGTGGATCAATTATACAAATCATCCATGGGAAGTGTTATAGCTACATCTTATTTGTCTTTAATAAATAGGTCTACGGAAAAAAAGAGAGACATGCAAAAGCGTACGGCCAGCGAAGATTCCTTCAGAACGTCGATAGTAAAGAAAGAAAGTCCAGTCATACGACAGCAGAAGGTAATCATCATAGAAAGATCACTTATTAAATAAAATCGATGGCAATTCAATGTTTTAAATCATCTAAAAATAATTCCTTTTTCTAATTAGTCTGAATCTGACATAAAGGTATCCAATTACAGAAAATATACCGAGTCATCACTTAGTCAGAGTAGCGTTTTATCCTTGGCCGAACTAGCTAGCGAAGGTGGTAATAGTAGTGAATCTAGCTATGTTAGGGTAGTAGATAGTGCAACAAGGAAAGAAAGTTCAGTCTCATTTGATGGTGAAGAGATATTATCCGCTGTGGAAGAAATAGTCGATAACTTTGTTGAAAGGGATGCGATGATGCCATCGCAGGAGGTTGCCGATATAGGTTCTGCTAGTAGAGAAGGATCGCCAGCTACGGAAGAAGCAATCTCAAGAGGTTTGAAAGCCAGAATTATAATTCTAAATATATATTTCTTTCAAGGGTTATGAATTGAAGTGAAGGGAATGAAATTATAAATAGATGCTTAAAATGTAATTACTATCATAGAAACGTTTACGGAAAAGGTTAAACTTCGCAAAAGCAACAGAAAAACAGGGAGTGCGGCAGAAAGACGTAATGCAAAGATTCGTGAACGTAAACAAAAGCATTTAGCCTATATCAAAGCCCGAAGCAAAAGCATTATTAAGTAATTTTTAACGGCCAATGTACCAACACTACTGATTAGTTATCAGGAAATAACTGTAGAGCAATCTAACTATATTATCTACTACATATAAAGTAAAAATTTTATTTTTATCATGTATTACTGCTTCAGTACTTTTTAATCAAATTCTTGCACATAATTTCGTCTTGATAGCTAATATTTAATCTATTATCATTAATACTTATAGGGAAGCTAAGGCTGAACAGCATCTCTTTGCTAAAAATTTAGGTAAATTGAAAATAAAGTAATTACTTTATACTAATATTGAGATGCTATTTTAATTCGAGTCGCCATAGTTTATATAATTATCGGCATTCTGCTGTGAAATGTTCTAATATCTATTAACTCGTTTAATCGTTTCACTAATTATCCACTAGATCCTTCAATTGATATTCTCAATTACTTCCATTTGGTCAACAAAAAGAATATTCATGTATACGCAGCTGCATTTGCATTGCATGATAGAGATGAAGACGGTTATATCGCCGCTGAAGTAAGCTACATAATGATCTTACCATAACGTAAATATAATAAATTGAATAGCTATAGTATTTAGAATGGTGATATATCATGGTTAATGATGTGACAGAATCTAACGTAATAATTATTGTATTTAAGACTATCGGCTCTGCCCTAAAAATGATACCAACTTTATCTTCAGTAACTCACTCACAATTAACTTACGTCTTGAAGGTAGGCCATGAAATGTTCTTATACAAACTGTATTACTTATTGAAGATTGCTATCAAAAAATGATGATAAAAATTTTATGCAATCACCTCTTTTCAATAAATCTATTTTCATTAAGAAATTTACAGAGAAAGTTATACTGTAATGATTTCTTATCATTCTTTAACAGGTATTGGAAATGGAAAGGTTGTCCGAAATAGATTTCAAACTATTTTGTGTTTGTGCTGCACTGGTAGAAAGAGTTACCGCTATGGAGTATGCAATCTGATATTGAAAGAGCTCTATACTATCTACTATTCCGTAGTGATAAGAAATCCTATATAGCCTTCAGCAGGAATAAATCTGTCACATTTGTTTTCAAATAAAGTCCTAACGAATTATTTTTACAATCTAGACCTGAACTTCAAAATATACTGAAATTGCTGAACCTTGTTCCGTTGGAGGCTAAACTTATGCAATTTAAAGTAATACCTGAATCTATTGTTCACAGACACAGTTACATAAATTAGTTCGTATAATGATAACTGCTGTTGAATTAACACTTAAATTAACATTTTATCACAACAGAGAATGTTTTATTGCAATAACGATGACAACGGATACTACATTCCTGCTGATACCTTGCGAATTGAACTGAAAGCTGGAGGATTATCTAAAGCGCAAGAGAATTACATTATCAATTCAATGCTACCGAATGAAGAAAACTTGGTTCGTTTATGATAATAGCGTGTCGTAATTTATTTTACTACATTTTAAGATTATCATTATATTGTTATGATAGTAATAGGTTACCAGCGTAATATACCGTCTTAAACTTAATGCACATCTGATAGTATCTTATATTTACAAACCTAGCCATAAAACGATAAGATTTAGTAATATAACATTGCTGCTTTTCAACATTGTTACAGATTTCCTTTATCAACTATGCCGCTTACTTACCACTATTCTTTGTATTGCATCATAAAATATGCAACGAGCCATTAGCTAGTTTATCAAGTGATTATCTCCATCAAATTAACCCAGTTGAAATTCATGCCGCAAGATATTTCAAGCCACGTATTCCACCCGCAGAAATATACATCAAGGAGAAATTAATAAAGCCATTGATCGTTACAAATACTGAAAATAGGCAAAACTTTTTAAATCCTGGAGAGCCGAATGAGTCCGGTAAACATTCCGTTTTACTTGAAATTATGACTGGAAGCTTTGATTATAACTCTTACATTGAGAGCAGTAGTGAAGATGATAACGATGAAGACGATTAATGATTTTAATGCTGCAGCCATCTACTGGTACTTAGTTTACGCTATATGGAAGCTAGCATTAGTGTATTCGTATAATTCATTGCCTGATATAGTACATTTATAATCAGAACTGCAGTAATATTAAAATTGTAATATTTGCCAAATTTGCAGTTAGGTAAAATAATGCCTATAGATTATAATTTTAATTGATAAAGCACCACTATCTCGATTCGATGTCATCATTGCAATACTGATGGACTTAGCCGATCTGTATGACTCCTAAAGTATTCTTTTTCAAAACGCCTATGCAAACATAGATATTTTATATTAGTTTTCGAAACATTTAAAGTTGAATAACTTTTAGTCTTACGTATTTATTAACATTTTACTGCCTAAAGTAATAAAACATGATACCAAATTGTAAAAGAATGCCTCCGTGAGGCAATTTATGAATAAATGCTTCAGCCAGTATCTAATACTTTCTCTTTGATTTATGAATCATCAGATCATAATAAAGACGATCTCAGTCTATTTAATGCCGTTGTTGATAGGCGTTTTATTAAGTTCGTTAACTATTGCTACATTATGTTGATTAATTCCAATGAAATATCACTAAATCGTACCATTGTATGACTGTACACAGCTACATTTATATTCCACTATCAATTAGAATAAAATGAACAACTTATGAACCTGTTAATTCAAAAACTATGGTACGTGTTTCAAATATACGAATTCAGTTACACAGTACATTCTTCTTAGGAAACTTTACCCTCCGAACTCGAAACGGCTTTAGTTGTTAAATTCTATACACCTGGCTTATCCTAGTATGTTTAGACTACGTAAAGTATGTAGTGACTCCTCAGAAATGATGCTACCGGTCCATGATCAAAGTTAACAGCGGTTGATAATATTCCAGTTAGTAATTAATTAATGAGAAGATACATTAATGAAATAGCATGGCAGCCACACTATGTTCGGCTAGATATAGATTGTACTGCGGTATGGCTTCTTTAATATACCTAAAATCTTATAATAATTTTTAATCTATTATTAGGAGCTTGGTGATACAGTACGAGGAATGTTAGTCGACGTGTGAATACGTTGTTTAAATTTATTATCTTTCCTATGTTTTATTAAATGAGAGATCTTCATTGATGTCACAAGAGTAGAGGTACCGCTGTTATTAGCCTATTAAATTTAACTTAGCAATCGCTTCCGTTCCACAAAAATTATAGAACGCTAATTCTATATCAGAGTCGAATTTGTCTTGAAATACTCGTAGAAACCCGAACAGTATTTAAAATTTTATATTCTGTGATTAAAGCATGGGCTATGCCGCGAAATATCATTTACGCCACTTTATTTATTATACAAATCAACTATACGCCTTGTAGAAGGCTAGTTTGTAAAGGTAAGAAAAAATGACCTTGCTTTCGTTCTTACTGCCCGATCTCTGGCTAATGAGCAGAAAACTAGTAATAAGGAAAAAAATATCTCTTCCACATCTACCCTTGACGGGACTCGAACCCGCAATCCCCGGCTTAGGAGGCCGATGCCTTATCCATTAGGCTACAAGGGCGTACCACCAATTGTGGGCTATTTTACTTTATATGAACAAAGGAATAATTTCGAACATGCGTAGAAGCTTTGGAATCGGCATTGTTAAAATTAAGGCCATCCAGTTGAGATTATTTAGCTAAAATTTCGAATTTGCATTTGATAGTTCATATAATAGATCATAATGTTGGTGTGAAAATCTACTTTGGACTAATATCGAATCAAAGTGGATAATTAACAAGAATTTTTTTTGCATTAAAATGAAAGATGAGCAATACTCGCAAGGCGACGTAGGCACGCGCAAGTCTTTACTGTTCTAGAATGACCATAAAAATAGTTCGCTTTAATATAACACAAATAGGATCTTTGCTACTACAGTAACTAAAAAAGATTGGGGAAAAAGCCAAGCTCCGATGCGAAGCCATTATCTGATTTTCAAGGAAATAGAACAGCCTATTCAGTTAGCGTCTTACTGTATATTGCATGCAGTTATTAATGAACCAGTAACGACAGCAATTTTCAGTTGGAGAGTACAGTAGAAGCTTTTGGGATTTGAGGATATTGCCGGTTTATCAAAGTCTCTTGAGAGATTATTTTTGTTTGCGGATAATTCTCCAATAACCTTCTTACGGTCTGCATATTGCAGTCTGCTAAACAAGTTCCTTGCAGTTAGCACTAGCATTCTCACTTATGAACTGCAAATAAGATTCGATTATAATTATCTTTTCTTCTTTCATAAATTGCAATCAACAATGTACTGTCTCTGACTCTCTAATGTTCAATTAATTTTAATTTAATGAACTACAAAGAGCCGATAGAGTTCTCATCAACCTAGAATACTGCATAACCTTTTACGCGAAGTTTAAATTTTTAATAGGTAATCACAGCGTGCAGCCTGTAGGAGAGCAGGGACGGCATGGCTCTAATGTCTTGATATCATAAACATCTTCAACATAGTTTGAATAATATAAAGAACATTATATACAGACTCTCATTATAGGATCGACAATCTTATGTGCATACTGTTCTATCATGCGGTTGTGGCCCCTTCAGCCATACCGTGGTCTGCACTGTATACCGAAGTTCGAAGTCCATCTTGATTACGTGTTTGAATACGTCTTTGGTTTCATAAACCGTCTCCTTTAATTAATTATAATTACTGTTCTCGAGAGTCCATAGATATCCAAATCGTAAATGGGATATACTTTTATCCTTGTAAGAGAAATATTGCAGTTACTTTAGTTTGCATTAGAAATGAAATGAGAAGTCTTTGCCAGTTACAAGGGAATTTAGGAACGAAATTACTTTACCCAGCGGCTAATATCATTAATGCGTCACAATGAGTACGCGTAATGCTCGGGATCCGGAAACACTTTAATCGCCTGTATATGAACCAGCACTTAAATCAAGGGCTATTACTATACTCGTATACTAATTAAAATGTTGCTGGTAGTTACAATTTTAAAGCAAATAATTGTTCAATTATTCGTTCAATGGGAATTTGTACGCAGCTAAAACGAGATTGTGTAAGCTTTTTACCGGGAAAAATAGTCATGTTAGGCCACGCTATGTTAAATTCCAGTCTCGGAAATGTAACTTCTAAAATTAATCACGTTCTTACACGATAGCCTAGACTCATAATTCTCAGTATATTACACACTAAAACCGACTAAATGATACCAGAATAACTACTATTAATTCTAATGTAACTTTTACGCAAATCACGTCAAATTGTCTATAGTATATTGTGCCACTGTGTTATCATTTACAGTAGAGAAATTTTAGAAAACTACATGCATTTCATTCTTCTATTCAGTAATTTCAAATGATAGCTATATATAGATCTTGATGAACGGCGGTTTTAAGCCACCTCAAAAATCTGCTGCAAATCACCAAAATATTCACAAAAGCAATTTATAAAAAGAATCTTTTGTATGCTGATGCCTAGGTCGATAAGCAATTCCGGTTGTATCTTTGTGGTTGTAATTTATATATAATGAAATTACTCTGCATAGCCAACAGCCTTAGCAGCATGAGGCAACGATCACATGATTCTTATATAGTTTATTTACAGTATCTTTTATTAAATTAGGACTAGTAAGAATTATTTCATAGATAAGTGAATTAAATTAGAATGCTTGTTACATTTACGAAATAGGTCATTATAGAAAAGCAAATGTGATCTTCACTCTAATTTAAGAGCGAGAATCTAGCTGATTTTTGTCAGAAGGTGCCAAAATTTTTCTACACTTTCAAGAATTCAATTCAAATAAGAAAAATGAAGGAAAGATGATTAATATTACATGTCATATTGCATATTTGCTTATCAAAACCTTTACCAACATGTCTGTCATAAATCGGTTTCAAGTTATGTACTACTAGGAATTTATACATAACACAAATCTAGTTACAAGAATTAGGTATTCTAGTATGCTTAAGGCAAAAAATAATTATAAAATTCACAAGAAAAAGTTCAAAAACTTGAAACAAAATAATACGAGAAGAACAAGTAATGCTTGTAAATAACATAAAATTACCCAATATAAAGGGGCATAAGTTTGGAGCAATTTCGAGCAAGTACGACCTCTTGTATTACTTGACTGTGTTGCTAATTATAATTATTAAAATCATTTGCATGGCAAATAAGTATAAAGAGTACGGTATAGGTCCATTCTAATGTAAATCAATATTTTTATAATAAAAAGAAATGCTTATGGTATGCACATAGAGGATTGAAGGTCAATTGTAGCCTCTATACCTCGGCATTAGAGGCGGAACAGTAGATTGACTGTTTGCTGGATCGGTTTGCCATGCTAAACATGCGATAACTTGATTTGAAGATTGAATTCATTGTGATATTTAATAAAGTTAAAGCTGAGTAAAGAGAACGAATAGTGGCTAGGAGTTTTTCCGTAGGAATCAGTTTCATGTGATTGAAGAAATAGTTGAAGAACAAAGCATGAAGCTGAGATATTTACTTCTCGCTTGGGCCATTACAGCCTTAGGTAAAGTTTTAGTTAAATCTTTAATAAACCATTTTGTACTTGTGCACAGTATTAAATTAATCACCGATATTTATGGCATCTGTTGCATAGATTTGTACAAAACTAGTAGCAAATCTTGTTTCATTACTTTATGCAATACAATGACCATAAACATATTTTTCCTTGAAAAATGGAAATCGTTTCTTTAATTAAAAGTATTGTTCAATCGTGACTAAAGAATATGTTATAAATCAATTTAGTAGACTAAACCTAGAGCTGATTATTAATTTACATCACGAATACATACGAGATTCATTCTAATAGATCAATTTACAACCAATACTTGACTATCGAAGCAATGATGAATACAATTTTAGCGATCAATTCAAAGTCTTTTTTTATTACTAATGTTTGGCTGGAAAAAAGATTCTATAGTTTCTATATTTGATATTATTCGATTATAATATTTGTACGAAATAGTTAGTCCTTGATATGACAAATTTTAGTTTATCCTTGCAAAAATATGTTATTCAAGTCAAGAAGGCAGAACGTGAGAACTAATGAGAAACTAATGCCAGTTTGAGTAATAATCACATCGAAATAGGCTACTGATCAAGTACTTCTAATGCATGCATTTTGTTGACTTATTTCTACAAAATTTCGAAGTGTAAAATAAGTATTAGCATTATACTCAATTCAACGCTCTATAATAGATAATATCTTAGTTAGTTTAAAGTGACGGTATATCATTTAATAAAACCAGGTATTCCAATGCAGGCGATTAAAAGTCACTAACATTAATTAAGACGACATACTCTATTTACTATCCTGGATAGTAAAAACTGATAGCGAACAACCTGTTAAAAACACTGTTATATTTAAGGAGAATGAAATATCTGAATCTCAGACAATGACGAATTTTCATTAGGCCAACGCAAATTGACTTTGGCTACCATATCATTCGCTTGATGACATGAGTATAGGTTAAATGAGACATATTCATTCTTGCAATTTTTTAAATTACGTTAACCTTATTTCAGTTAAGCTAACCACCGTCCAGTGCCAAGATTGTCTTGGTAAGACGTGTTATCCACCAAGTGGAGAATTATTATTAGGCCGTGGCGATCAATTAACGGCTACATCGACCTGCGGTTTAAATGGACCGCAACGCTATTGTAGAGTAAGTGATTTAGATTCGGAGAAGAAATGTTTTACTTGTGATTCTAGACCTGGTAGAAATGAGACCGAGTCTCATCTTGTCAGCAATATCGTTGCTACATCTGATACCAATCGAACATGGTGGCAATCAGAGAATGCCGTTGAAAGAGTAACACTAACGTTGGACTTTGAGGCAGAATTTCAAATTACTCACTTAATAATGACATTTTTAACATTTCGCCCTGCCGCTATGATAGTATCCAGATCTAAAGATGGTGGTAAGAATTGGAGGCCTTACCAATATTTTGCCGAAAACTGTGCAACAGCCTTTCCTAATATACGAGAAAGTATAAACCAAAGAACTTTTTTTTCTGATGTTATATGTACCAGAAGATATTCACAACCGAAACCAGCATCAGGTGGCCAGGTAATTCCGATCAATCTTCCTGTAATAAATGATACAGAAATGACATATGTATGAATGAAAATTTCACTTGACAAGATTATTACAAATTTAATTTACGAATAGCTTAGCTATGTACTAGATAATTTGATTTCAGCATAATAATACTGGTTACAACTATTCATTTAGGTCGTATTTATTGCAATGCCTCCTGGAACAACTAACGATTATGGCCGCTCGGATCCTCGTGTTTTAGATTGGATTACCGTTACCAATATTCGTTTTGAATTTAGCAAATTACAAACACTAGGAGAAGCAATCGGGCCGCGCTATCCTGATAATAACGAAAAATATTACTATGCTATTTCTAGCTTAGTTGTTTATGGTAGCTGTTTGTGTTATGGTCATGCATCGAGTTGTATCCCAATGCCAAACACTCCACCAGCAAAGCTAAACATTCGCGACATGGTAAATAGTATGACTATATTTATACTTTTGTAGATTATATTCATTTATTAGTTAGTATTAAGGAACATAACAGCTTAAAGGCTAATACGATAATTCATTTCCCTACTTCAATAATTTTAACATAAACTGTTTTCTCATCGATTATCAGATTCATGGCAAATGCAGTTGCCAGCACTTTACTTCTGGCACACAATGTAATGTTTGCTTACCAGAATATAATGATCAGCCATGGATTGCTGGCTATCAAGAAAATAAAGGCTGTTCAGGTATACTCTAATCGATATCGAAATTTTATAGAAATTAATTTATTGTAATTAGAGTTTTAATAGTATCGATAAATGTCGGTATTAGTTATAGAAACATCTTTAAATTATATATGAAGCCGCATATTTTACGTAACATGTATTACTGATGGATAAATACTATCTACTTTTCTAGGTTGCAAGTGTAACAATCACACATCTACCTGCAGTTTCTCATCTACAGTTTATGAGCGTACCAATAATGCATCAGGCAGCTTTTGCACTAATTGCCAAGATAATACACGAGGCGATCAATGCAATCAATGCCAGCCTAATTACTTTCAACAAGCAAATAAATCATTGGACAGTCCTGATGTTTGCGCAAGTAAGAATATCGAGAACTATACTAAATTATTTTATAATTTCTTAATCTGCCTAAGTGAAATAACTCGCTACAGAACGTACGTCATCATTTTTTGATCTAAATGTAGTTTTTCAGCCCTTTCATGATGCTCAACGATTCGATAAAACATATTACTAGCAATTAATTCCAATTTTCATACATTACCGCAAATGTAAGAGTTTATTATCAAATTTGGGTTAATATTCCTTATTGATCGAAGAGTAATGACGCAAACGGAAATTATAGATTTTATTATAATGAGTTTAATACATAATTCTGTGTCTACCGCTGGGTAAATTTAATCTCTAAATATCGATATCGCACGACTAGTTCAGGCTTTGATATCAAGATATTTTCCAATGTTTTCATGCTACCTTTTCATAAATATAACTGTTCGGTATAAATGAATGCCTTAGAACACAAGCCATGTACGTCATATTGCTACTAAGATTGCATCGATTTCGATCCGAACTTTTACATAAACTACAGTACCATACCATATATCCTAAATCTATCATTAAGAGAAATAAAATTTAAGCTCGTGCAATTATCACACTTATCATCTTAAGCAGATAGAAGCAATCGTATTATTATAGCACAATCTTCACTAATAGCCAATCATTTTTAATTTGATGGCAATGACATTCAGAAACATAACATATACGGTATATGACAGGTCTCAAAAATGATTGTTTTGCTCTACTTAATTTGACTACTCAAGCTACTAACTTCTAGAATTGCAATAAAATCAGTTTAGATATCGGTTCCATTAACTTATGATTGATAAAAACGCTTTTACAATGATAATATTGGCTTCAATGACTGTCGTCGAGACAGTTTATAAAAGAATAATTCTGTCTTATGAGCATTGCGTTTCTACAATTATAGGATGTGATTGCGATGCAAGAGGTACTACGAATGAGCCTTGTAATCGATTAACTGGAACTTGTCAATGCAAAAGCAATGTAATGGGCAATAGGTGTGATTCTTGCAAGAGTAGCTATTATGGTCTAAACGATACCAATCCTTTGGGATGTTTGCGTATGTACAGCACGTTAAGATGAATAATTTGATTCTGATCAGAATAAAAATGCATTGACATCTTTTAATATCAAAATCTTTTATTATTTAGCTTGCAATTGCTATAATGATGGTACCGTAGATAATACTGTCTGCGATGTTAACTCTGGCCAATGTAGTTGTGAATTAAATGTTGATGGAAGAAGATGCGAAAGATGCAAGGTGAATTTATGAAGAAATGTTTTTTAAGAGATTGAGTCCAGGATTATAGCATTACAGTACTTAGAATTTACTTCCCGTTGCAGCTACCAGATTAAGTATTTAAAATCTATTCTGTCATCTAGGATACTTACTGGGGTTTGACATCTCCATCTGTTCAATGCCGACCTTGTTTATGCCATCCTACAGGATCTTATAGTCTTTCTTGTAATGACAGTACTGGACTTTGTCCATGTAGAAAGAATCTTGTAAGCCCAAGGTGTAATCAAGTTACCGCCAATCACTACTATTCTCTGATGGATTCAATCAGATTTGAAGCTGAAGAACAAAATGTCTTAGATGTTAGAGGGGTAAGTAAAGAAATTAAGATTAGAACCTGCCTTAGGATATCTGATTGTCTAATTTATTTGGATCAGATAGTAACGTTTTAATCAAGCCTTCTCATTGATCTTTAATTCAATACCCTAGGCCAGTACTGTTCAAACAATTAATCATTTCTACGATTATCCGTATAAATTATACTCTGGGACTGGATATCGGATAATACAAACAAATGGAATTGTTCGGATTGTAATTTCCGTCTCCTATACATTCATGTATAGTCTGTTGGTCCGCTTTGAGCCTACACCAGTAAGTTATTGAGCTATATTTGAACTAGAAGTGAGCATTTAGTACCTGCGTAAAGTTGCAATGAATCTTTAGAAACATTCTGCTAGATCGTAAATTAATATTCTATCAAACGTAATACACACAGGGATTAAATAATTTTACTATAACGGTCGACATAAAACGACCTCCAAGTGGTGTACCTATCAATTGCGATATTCCTTCATCTCCCCTAAAATTTCAAAACACATCGGTGGACGGTGCATATATTACCATACCTATTTGCTTCGGTCGTGATAAGAATTATATAACTGAAATTCAATATATCAATAACGAAAGAGTTGACGTGCCTTTGAAGTTAGATTCGGTTTGTAATTTAAACAACTGTTGAATAAATTGTGAATCTATTAAATTTACTTGAATTTAAGAATGAAGTTAGACTATCGTACTTGAAGAATTATGAGATTATTTAGCTATACGTACCTTCATTTTATGCCATTGATAGATTGTGCTCTGGCCTTCATTGACTTCGCTTGCATCAGTAGAGTTATCCACAACGCTGGTAAAAACACTTGCCTCTGCAGAAGCTGAATATTGCTCAGAATTATTATATAAGCCCTACAATGTTAGTGACTTATCGGAAACTTGCAAAGAAGTAATGTTTACCGTGTCTAATATTCTTAACGACGGCGGCTTAGGTAGGCTTACAATATCAAATTTGGAATTATAGCTATTGCATCACATAGTCAAAATACAGTCTATAAGAAATATAGGTAACTAAAATATTCGATATACATCTTCATCCTATTAAAGTTTGTGACTGCAATCCAACTGGTACCATTTCCGGCACTGCATGCGATAAAGTTGGTGGCCAGTGCAGATGTAAGAAGAATATATTCGGTCGTCGATGTGATAAATGTTTACCTGGAGCCTACGGCTTTGGTCTACCTGACGGATGTCGAGGTTGCACCTTATGAATTGCAGCACCAAATTTTACATAGAGATATAATCTTTTGCATTCAAGCTAATTTAAAAGAAATTTAGATCATTATCGTGCCTTTAACGAGCATTTAATACCTTTCACTAACAAAAATAATGTTCATTGTATCTTCTAATAATTATAGAATGTAAATGTGATCGTCAAGGCTCCACTAATTTTGAATCTTGTGATGCTAACACCGGCCAATGTAATTGCAAACGCAATATTGTCGGCTTAAATTGTGCACGTTGCCAGTATTTTTATTATGGATTTCCAAATTGTCAACGATGTGAATGCTATGGACACTCTGCATCTTGCGATCAACGAAACGGAACTTGCTTAAATTGCTTACATAATACTGCTGGGCCTACTTGTAATCAATGTAGAACAGGTTTTGTGGGAACAGCAACAACTGGAACACCTAATGACTGTGTAAGATGCGAATGCCCAGGTATACAAATAGAAATTATTTGATTTAACTCTGTAATGCATTCTTTATTATCATATTAAAAATTATATCTTTATATCGACTATTAGCATATAGTAAATTAATGCGTCTGGTGTTATAAACCAATTAGGTGGCTCTAGTGGCAATCAGTTCAGTTCTACTTGCTATTACCGATCGACACAAAGTCGAACTACGATTGTATGCGAAAATTGTACAACTGGCTATACAGGAAATAACTGTGAACTATGTGCACCAGGATACTATGGAAATCCTACAAGCGTTGGCGGCAGATGTCTACCATGTCAATGTAACAACAATATTAATGTTAACGAACCAGGTAGCTGCCATAATCAAACCGGAGAGTGCTTGAAATGTTTATACAATACCGGTGGTCCCAGCTGTAGCCAGTGCCGACCTGGCTACTATGGAAAGGCATTAACTCGAACATGTCGACGTGAGTAATTAAATTAAGTGGTAGTGGGCTTTATTTCATAGGTATGGAATTGTAACCTTACAAAATTATCGAATTACCTAAAATAACTTCTGTTTAAATTCCGGTAACCAATCAGCCTGCCAATGCAACGAATATGGAAGCGTAGATGGAAACTGTGATCCTATAACGGGACAATGCACTTGTCGCTCTAATGTAATCGGTAAAACATGCGATAAGTGTGCTACAGGATTCTGGAATATCACCAGTGGAAAGGGTTGCCAACCATGTAGTTGTTGCCGTAATAATTCTTTACAAGCCAATTGTGATGCGGTAGGGTGATAATAACTATTCCAGTAGAATGATGACGATTTGTTTCTCAGATATCGATTTGCTCCTAATTGTAAATAACTATCTTCAGGTTACTGGTAAATGCAGTTGTATTAAAGGATACAGTGGCGATAAATGTTGTGACTGCGAAGATGGCTTTTGGGGTAATCCATCGACTACATGTTACGGTCAGTTTTTACCAAAGTCATTATTCGTATTGCTCAAAATATAATAACTAAGTGAGTTTAGTAGTCGCTATCATCGAAAAAGAAGTTTTGAATTAGTCTGCAATAAAATAAATTTTTTCATAAATTTGACTAAGAATTTTAACATGTAACGCATAATTATTATAACCTCTAATAATCGGATTTAAAATAAAATTTATAGTCTGTACTGCAGTTTGCATTTGAATATATACCTGACTTGGTAATTGTACTCATATTTATGGATGATTTTAATTTCAATTAGCTTGCAACTGCAATAAAATGGGTTCTCTTAGCACTGAATGTGATCGTAAAACTGGTCAGTGTTATTGTATAGCAGCAGCTGGAGGTTTCAGATGTGATCGGTGTGCAGATGGATACCAAGGAACATTCCCTAGCTGTAGAAGATGCCATGTTTGTTATTTTGATTGGAATAAAAGAATCACAGACTTTAATGACATTGCTTCTACAGAAGTCGAAAGGGCACAGAACTTAATTGCTAATGGTAGCTTCATATTCGGCTTTGGTGGGTTACGACAACTGGAGAACGATATGACAACAGTTGAAAATTTCTTGAAGAATAAGCGAGTAACGATGGACAAATTAGACGCTATACGTCGTACATTAACAAATGCAAGCAGTAATTTACAGCAATATGAACAAATAAATCAACAGCTTTTTCAAAATTTAAGCTCCGTTAATCGTGAAATACCGAATATGAGGACAACTATAACAAATGACAATACAACACTTACTAATCAAGATGATCAAGTTAATAGCATACGAATCCAATTCACCAATATATCTGAATCATCGGCAATTGGTGCTTTAGCCAGTTTAAATTATTCTTCTCAAGTTGCTGAAAGGTATAGGCAACGAGCATTAATTGCAGGTAATAAAATTAAAGCCGCAGAAATCAAGATACGCATTCTCCGACCACGTTTGACCAATATCCAAGATCGTCAAGCAATTGATTGGCAAAGTATCAGAAAGTTACAGAATGAAACATCAAAACTACAGAACATGGTGGCAGATATTAATCGCTTTCTCTGCGGAAGAAAAGCGAATCAGTGTGATACAACATGTGGCGGTATGGGCTGCTCTTTATGTGGCAATACTATTAATAACTGTGATGGAGCAGTTGATTTGATTGCAAGAAGTAACAGGATTGCAAGAGATACTAGCATTAGCTTAGTTGATAAGTTACGTGATTTGGATTTAGCATTAAGAGTTAGAAATGACTTATCACAACGTAACAACGCAACATTAAGAGAGATTTTAAATTTTATTGTCCAAGTGAACGGCGAGGCACAGATTTGGTCACGAGCATATAATAATATTAGTCGAGTAACTAATCGACTATCCACCTTCTTAAATCAGCAATGGCCTAACGCTTCCAATATTGATCGTATTAACATCGAAATTACCCACATTAAATTAGCTCTTAATCTGCCTGAGATTGTAAGATTATCTGATCAACTCAATGCTACATTGCAAGTTCTAGAAGGCAATTCTGGACAGCAAAATTCTTCTTCTATTGTCAGCCTTGTATCAGCAATTCGTGCTCGAATTGCTGGCATTCGGTTCGTCCTTCTGTATTTCATCATATTTCTCTTCAGAAGCTTTCTTATAATGTTTATACAGTACTTTAATTTACGCTGTTAATTGAATTCAAAAAAATACTTCCGTTATAATTTATTTTAGGGCGGCAATTGATAATGCTGAAGTGTCGATTGCAGATTTACAAGCTCGAATAGATCAATATAATATCGAAAAGACAAGAGCTTCAGATAACCTAGCTATACTCTGGGGTATCTTCAAGAGAACAAACGTGACAGTCAATCAAGTAAATAATTTAATTTTTATTCAATGATCACTTTCATAAATCTGTTGGTAGTAGACATGAACATGAACTTGTTCAGTTTCTTCATACTCAGCCAGAGCATAATTTTCTAATATATGTATTTTAATCATTGCTTTACTAACATTTTCATATTCTTGCCTTCATTTTCTTAGATTGATAATAATATTAAGCAGATGAATGCTTCTACAAATAGTGCAATAGCCAATATTCAAGGAATGAATACAACAAGTGAGATTATGCAAAATGAAGAAAGTACAGTAAGAAATTATACACAATTGGCTAGTGATACAGCAACAACTACTGAAAGTGAAATGAACATAACTAGACAGGTTTGTAAACACATTTTAAATTGTCAATACAAAATTGTACATTAAAGTACTCTTAAGTTAATCTTTGTGATAGTTCTAATTGCTACTTTACTATGGCGTTTTATGTTGACATAATATTGCTCACAGGATTTAACGGATTTTAATGCGAGATATCAAAACATATCCGCCAGAAGAGCAAAAATCGTAACCGCAGTTAAACCTGCATCGGATCAAGTGCGTACCTTATTAGGAATGATTACCAGGATAAGAACGGAGGCACAGAATAAATTACAAACTATACAAGGTAAGATTTGAAAAAATTATCGTACTAGCATCTATATGTCGCTGAAACTGATAAAATATCGTACGTTACGGATCTATAGCATTACGGGATCATATAGCGCGGCAACAACAACTTTTACAAGATTATTCAAATGAAATTGTACAAATGGAAAATCGTATTGGATCTTCTACGAAGGCTTTCCAAGAGGCTTATGCAGGCTGTTATACTCAAGCATTAGCAAGGAGTACTGGTTCTGGATAAGTGAAATACAACCTGGATAAGGTTTGTATTAAGTACAGATAAATTACCATAAGATGCGGTAATACAGTATATTTGATGTAAGAGTTAGATAATCTTAAATACATTAACACACTGATTCAGACACTTTGAATATTTGTTGTTTTATAGCATTTTCAACACATTTTTGCACATTAACAGCTTAAAATTATTACCTTTCGTTAAAATTAAGCGTTATTTCATCGTATGATTAAATTCTCCTTTCTATATTCATACTAAACTATTTTGTATTGTCAGTGCAGCTAAAAGCTAAATGCTTATAGTCAATGAATTATTGCACTAATTTAAGCTAAACATACGAATCGAATAGACTCGGAATGATTAATGTGATTCCTTACAAGAACTTGTTAATTTTGATTAATAGAATCCAATCTTGGACGTATTAACTGCGTTACATTTTAGCTATTATCCTTTTTATAGCCTCTTACGTTAGATTTTTCGTTACTATAAAACATAAATATATTAGTACTTTAAATAGACAATGTAGTAATTATAGCAAATTATGCCGGTGTGATCAATAAAAATATCCTTGATTTTCTAATCTATATACGAAATCAAGTTATAAGATACTAAATTTTGAATTCGGATGGTATCAATGTGCTAAATTAGTCGGAGATTGATGTTTCTTAATACAGTTAGCGTTTGTCACAACCGAGATTGTAACACAAGAATTAAACGGGATTCTTTCCTCTAAAGTAGAATTAACTATCTAAGCAACTAACTCTAAGCACTCTTTAATCAACCAAACTTAGATTCGAGTCTTAGACGATAGATTACTCACGTTAAGGATCAAAACTTTATTCTAGAAGCTATTTTATTAAAATGTCCGATTGAACGCACAACTTACAATTACGACTAGCAACTGATAACCATCTGTCATCGACTAACGTAACTAACTCTCAATTAAGAACTTTGAGACTTTATATATCCTCACCAACTTCGTTGGTGCAAAAACAGTAATTAATTAATAACCCAGTCTACATACTTATTATAGCCAGAATCACAACACACTTTCTATGACATTAAATATTAGTTAATTAGTAGCTAGGTGTCAACATATGATTCATCACACAACAAAATTATAATATTGATGATGCATTAATTAATGAATGTCACAGCGTTATTTCTTGACTAATTTATGAGAATTGTTATCAATTGATGTATTTTACCCAATTGAATATTAACTGCTGATAATGATACACTACCATGCTGCCCACGTATTCAATATGCAAAATATGTTAATATTAAGTCAAAATTGAGGGTGTTGAAATATTATATTAAATAACGGTAGTCGTTGTAAGCTTGAGCTACTATGCTATATGGATAAGGGAATTAAATGATATGATATTACCTGAAGAAGAATAGAAATTGAGTCAGCAATCAACAAATAGAGCTTAAGTGTTTATCATTATTACTTGGAATACCGCATTTATTGCATCAATTGGCATGCTAAACTTAGAATGTAAATAGAATTCTACGATTTACCGTTCAATAATTTCCTACAGAACTGAAATCAGTACTGCCTTTCTACGGATAAAATGATCACACTTATCCTTGTTTTCGCTAGATAGAGAAGACCTGGACCCACGCGAAAAATAATAACAAAAAGATAATGGACCAATCGCGAATCGCGCATACATTATTGCATAAATATATATAGAAAATTTCAGAGTCGAAACGATATATATATTTCTTTGCGCTCGCGCGGCGTATATATCCGATTTTTAGTGTTTCATTTTTTATTTCCTTTTATTATCTTTTTGTTATTATTTTTCGCGTGGGTCCAGGTCTTCTCTATCTTACGCTAATCTTAAATAGAGCTGTTGGCAACGAGCTTTATTATCTTTATAGTAACGTTAATATCGCTACAGTTTTATCATATTCTGAAGAAAAGGTAATCAGGTATTTTCAGATAATTTACAGTTTTCAAATTCTAGGTACGAAGTTAAGACGTATTTTAGAAATTAAGGAATTGCTGTTAGTCGGTAGAAAAGGGTACCTCGGTGATAGGACAACCAATCCACCAATTTTTTGTTGTTGAACTATTAGTGACACAAGAAAATCTTGGGTTAAAATTATAACAACTACCAAATACGTCTTCGCTAGCTATTGCATCTGAGACATTAAACTACTTTCCACAAGACTCTCTAACGAGCTGTGGATCTGTATGTGAATGCCAATTAATATCACTTCGGAGAGGAATACGGCAGTTGCTGCAGGAAGATCCGCGATTGTTGATATAATCGACTAGAACACAAGTCCAAGCAGCTTAGAAATCAAAAAATAATCGTATTCGCAAAATGATGCCTTTAGATAGTCGCGACGATTCCTCAATCCTTTCTCGCTTTAATCATCAAAGTTACACGTAGCACGGAAATGAGTTGATGATGGAGTATTTTTTACTGTAGTCATTCCAGCCTTAGATAGTCGATAATTTGACCAGTTTGGCATACACTCATTGGTTGGGATATTATAATAGAAGCTCTTACGAAATTTAGTCGTTCGTGCATAGAGAGTAGAGAGTGATTCTACAAGTGTCTATGCAAATCCTGGATCTGATTGAAAGACGCAAAATGCAATATAGAATTTATAAGTAGAATCATACATTGCAAAATATCCATTTCGCGAGATACGAGATGCTCGTAATGGCTGCGCATGTTGTTGGCTTCAGTTTTACCGCCTAATCAGCATCATGAAGAATAAATATATCGTTATGACTTATTGAATAGTATTACTACAGTATTATGTTTCAATATGTCAAGTAACTCACCGCCTGCCTTGCCATTGGCAGTATAGCAATCAGGATCAAACATATTGGTAAAGCGTACGAGTATTTAGCCATTTTCACTAAGTTTCGTATAAGTATGTGGCTTTTGAAAATGAAAAATAAAAATATCAAGTAGAATCTATATATTAGGTTTAGGAATTCTCCTATGTTCGTCTACTTACTACGATATACAAGAATTTAAAATTTCTTTAAAAATCTATTAGAAATGCTAATTATTAATAGATGAAAAAAGTAAATAATTGCCACTTAAGTACTTTTTTAAGTAGATAATTGTAGTTTACTATCGTTTCGAAACTAGAAATATTCTCAAGAAAGCGTGTTTTCAGAGCGTTGTTGTACCGTCACACACTAAATAGGGTTTTCTTTATGAAATTGGCGTAAATTATTTTTCAGGAATCACATACACTTTGTAATAGTTGTAAGAAAAGTATCCGAAGTATCCTATCTGTTTAGAAGTCTAATTCTTACAATAATAGTCTCAGTTAAGATAGAAAAGTAAACATGGCTTTTACTATAAGAATTTAGAAAAGTAGAGCGATAATTAATTAGTAACAAGAATCTAAAGTAAGATACCCTGAGCTCGAAGTAAATCACCAGCGCCTGTCGACAGTTCTTGATATATTTAGCCCGATCTATTTACGCCAACAAGGTAGCCGATAATTAGACTTAAACCACTAAATTAAACTACTCCTCCTCATGTAAATAATCAATGTTTCCCATTGTATAAATCGATCGATCTGCTTAACTTGTTTTCGGAGATGAGGAATTAAAAAGGAAAGGTAAAACTGAAAATGAATCAACGTAGCAACAAAAACTGTAGAGCTTTCATAGCCGATTAGTTTTATAAAATCGTCAGGTAAAGATTACATTCATGTGATAGGGCCCATATGTATATGTGCTTGAGTAGATACGTAAAATACATGCTATTGCTATGCATTACATGTGAAGATGAATTAGAGCCATACAGTACTAACAGGCACAAACCTATTTTTTATTGATTCTCTTCATATGGTTAAGTTTTAGTCACAATTATACCTTGCCGTTGTACTGTATATGCGACTATGTGATAACGTATATAGCAGCTGAAACACAAAAAAAGCTATAAATACATTTGCTCATAGTTTCGATACTTATTCATGAAATTCAGAATCACTATATCTATCACAGAAGAATGAATGCGATCCAGTTGTCTACAATATTACAAAGATTTCTTTCGAAAAGCAAACAGTTCTTATTAACAGTAAATGGCTTTACGATTAGCTATAATTCATCGCAATTAAAATTATACTGTAATCAACCACTAGCTTAGTCGTTATAGGTATTTAGGTTACGGCCAAAACCCGAAGTTGGCCAATACGCGTATTGCCCGGCCAAAGTCCAGCAATCCTGTACAGTACGTGTGATCAGTTTCGAAATTGCTGCTATTTTTCTCAGGAATGGATTTAAAACCTCCATTCTTGAAGTATCTCAAAGGCCACTGTAATACTACTTCCCTATATTAACTACAATCGACTCACAAGAATGAGTAAGACTCGGTTAATATAAAAAGTTTATTACGATGTTAAAATACAGGCATTAAAAACTGCGGATATAATATCAAAAGAATATCTACTATGTCTTCTTCAAGCTAACTTATGAATGAATCTATCTACCTCTACAATTATATTAGCCTCCTTATATATCTATCTTTGATGTAAATATTTACATCAAAACTCTATCACAATTTTCCCTATACAAAATAGTATATCGTAACGGCTACAGTATAGAAGCCCTTTAACATGATCCGCGTCTTGTTTATATCGCCTCGAACCTTGTTTCTCAGCTCCTCGACCAATAGTCAATCTTCTAGGACTTCCACCTGCACTTCTCGCCAAGAGGCCCATTAACACCGCTACATCTTTCCGATTCCCACCAATAGATAATCAATATATATATATAGCGCTAACATAGGAGGAACTGACACCATGTTCCACACAACTAGAGACAATTTAATATTACCGTTACAGCCACATCTATAGCAAATATAGCCATAATGAAATCAATATGCTGATTGTATGATTCCTAGAAATAACTACTGTGGCGCTATTTTTTCCTTAGTATTTGCCTTAGAGTTTGACATAATGTACATAATAATTTACTTATACCACTACGAGCATACGCCCTATGAGATTGTCTATAAATTATAATATTCAATAAATCAGATTTTCTAACGTCGTACATAATTATCTAAATGTACAGCAATAATTAACTGAGTAAGTAGTTTCCTTAAGTATTTTAAAGACATAGCTGTCAACCGGTAGTTGTTAGGACAACATATATTTTAATTTAATTGGTTACAAATAAGGCTGTTGTTCATTCCCTTAAAACTGTTGCGAAAATGTAAAAGTCCGAAAGTAAAAACAGGACAGAGATACAGATCCGTGAAACAACAAAGTGAACTGAAATTGCACAAACATACTTATTTTTTATCTTTCGAGTCTCAGTTTGTTACACATACAAGGGTATGTTGCTAATATAGTTTGCCTTACAATTACTCGTTCAAAATTATAAAATAAGACATTATTGTATTTACTAATGGAAGCTCAAGGTAGCTAATAGCGACATGTAAATATCTTTAGAGATCCTTTAATTAGCGGAGTATTATTCTTTCCACAAGATTTTCCAGAAGCATTCTCTGTACAGAAATAATGCCAGCAATTAGTATCAATTGTGGCTTATAACTACATTCAATTGCATAAATTTTCTTCTGTCTACAGTATGTTGGAATATCTCATAAATTAATAGTATTCTAAACATATCGTTACAAGAAGGCAAACATATAAAAGGATTCAAATTGATACTGCAGTTAATTTTCACCTATTTACCTTCAAGACATTGCAACTTGGTTACTGATAATTTGATGAGAATGACCAACTGTACCTTATTAACGTGGTTAAGCCTTGTTGTACTACTTCCAACAGTAAGACTAGCGGTAAGTTCCTTAAAATTAAAACAACACTTAGCGAAATGCATCTGCATAGCTGAATACGAATATAACTCGATATTATAACGAAGTACTGTGTTTCTTGATACCAATGACTAGGTAGTTAAACCTAAACCGATAACATGCGCTGCCGTAAGAAATCTATACCATACGTCGCGCAATGGATATTTTACACTCTACGACTCTATCAGTAAACCTTATCTAGCATTTTGCGATTTCCAATCTGATCCTGGATTCGCATGGACACTTATAGAATCACTATCAACAACCAATGCACGAACCCCTAAATTTAGTACGGGATTTTATTACAATGTTCCATCGAGCGAGTGCACACCTAATTGGTCATGCTATCGACTTTCGAAAGCTAGAATGGTGGCATTAAAAAATGCTCCATCCTCGACTCATTTCCGTGCGACATGTAACTTTAATAGCCAAAGCGTGAAAGGACTGCAAAATCGTCGTGATTACTTAAGGGCATCATTTTGCGCAGTTAATTTTTTTTTCGCTGTTAAGGTTAATGCGGCGTGTGTGACAGTCGATTATATCAATGTTCGCGGGCATTCTTGCAGAAAATGCAGCATTCCATTCTGGACTAGTAATATTTGGCATTTACATATAGATCTTCCGCAGGCGGCAGCGTCCTGCGGAAAATTTGAAGTTCCTAATCAAGTACAAAGTGAAGATGTTTTTGGTGCCTATTGGAAAGTTAATCCTTTCTTTTCTTGTACTGCAACAAGCGCATCAACAACTAATTGGTGGATCGGCGGCCCATACCTGAAATAAGTAACTGTAGTGATGCACCCATATTTGATTATACGAAAGGGGTTAGACGTTGATAGAAGAGTAGCGACATCTTAAGTAGAATTATTTTAGACTGTAGAAGATAATGATGTACCATTTGAAAAAAGTATTTTTGTTTGATGACTCATGTCTGATTGTAGATGAATCAAGTTGTCATAAATGGATTTAACGAAATGTTTATAAGAACTGCAGAGATGAGCCTACGATGGAGAAGAGACTTCACTTCGCTTTGAGCTCGGAATACTTTCAATTTTAGACTAGATTCTTGTAGTAATTAATTATTGCTCTACTATTTCTAAAACCTTGTTGTAGTGTACGGGTTGTTAGCCCTAAACTACTGTAATTAGCTGAAATCACTAACTTGTAATGAAAGCCTTTTAAAAAATACCATTTGACTAAGATAGTTATTGTGAGACGCAATTATTGCAGTAACACACTGATTTAAAAACTTTAAATAATGGTTATTGTACAAGGGCCATTCAATAAAAAACCGTATAACCGTCATAATTCGAATATGAAACATATTTGAAATTCTATTATGGCATATTCTTCAACCTTTGCTATTCATGATCACGATAAAAAACATCAACGATACCGGTATTGCAGACGATTCCAGCACATAAGGCAGTGCACCTCCGTCACACTTTATTTCCACTGTCTTACGCTTGATGGACTTCCGCAATATTTTATGTCAATAAAGCCATTAATTGATAAAATAGCAGTGCTACAAATATATCTATAGTCGTAGTCTTCCTTAAAATTTTAAGAAGTATTCACCGATTTTCTATAAATTTGTAAAAAGAGTACTGTCACAACCCTCTCTTATGACAAAGGAAACGTAAATTAACTAAGTAAAGAATCTCTCTTGTAACTATAATAACTCGGGCTACTTCTTCCAGTATCTCCAGTTTCTATGTTAGTGATATACGAGAACTCGATTTCTTAACTGAACTCCACAGATAACTAAATATATTACACTATTCTTCACTATACTAGTCTTACACCATTCTTGAGCAACTACTGATTTATTCTACAAACACACGAGCTTAAATAGATTTCTACAATGAATTCCAGTGCTAGCCGTTGTATTTCCACGCTTAGTTGTTAATGTTGGCACGAGGGATTTTGATACACTTCACCTAGTAGACTTACTAGAAATCACTTTTTATTTAGGATTTACTGTTTTTAAATAGTATAGCTGTAATACCGTATTATATACTTGTTTTAGTAATTCATTGCCTTATCTATCACAACACATCATGGTATATCAACTTAAATGCGAATAGACTTTACTCGCTGTAATCCGTTTGTTCTCTCATATATAAATCTTGAAAATATCGTGCCGTCAGAAAGCTGAAAAGCAGTAGTCTAGGGAGGAGAAAAATACTATTAACATACTCGTATGGTCGAAAGATCAAGATATTTATAAACACGACATGAAAATTGTCTTCGTATTCTGGCCGTTCAAACTTTCTGAAATATTGTAGAAGTATTAAACTGAAGGAGGTAAAGAAAGCAAAAATGGTTTCGTCATGATATATATTTAATATCGAGCAACTTGATTAGCAACTATAAACCAGACAGATTAAATTATATAATTATTTATACTATTAATGTAGAGCATTTACGATCTTTTTAATATTTCCAGTAGTTAGGGTACTAAACTGATAGCATGGTGCGTACAGTTATCGCCACCTGCAAAATTACCATCTGTTAGGTTAGTCGTATCAACTCAACATAATACTCTGTAGTGGTATTATAATCTGGGAGAAAAATATAATGCAGTAGAATGCAATATCTGGTACCATCTGAAAATTGATTCAATTTATCCCAAAATTATCGAATCAGTGTATCCAACTCGGTAAAACTTCAGGATTCGATCGTGAGTTCGTAAGATAGCGAAACTAGCATAAATATACTCTATATTTTTAATTGATAAAAAATCTTAGCTGCTGTCGACCTAATTCTGTACTTAATTAACTATCTCAATTCGAGCATTAGCCCAAATTCCATTCTTATTATGTTTACTGCCAAAGGTATTATTTTTAAAGCCTCGTTTTCGGGCTATTTGAATTCTATGAGCACGTAGTTGCAAATCATAAATTGATCAAGAAATAGTAATAGCATAAAAAAGTTGAATTCGGGATTAAAATAATGTTGCGTTAGGGATTTTGAGAGCCAAATGACCTTGTATCACTGTAATTTCTCAGCTTGAGACTAAAGAGTTACTATGTACATTACTTGAGCAAAAGCACTTGTGGTTTCAATTGAAATACTTTTGGTTAATACGCGTGTAGCTCTAAAATTAATATTAATTGACAACGGCCACAGTGTAGGTTACTGTAACAAAACTTTTGGCCAATTACTACATATGCAGTTGAAGGGCGTAGGTGTGTAGTTTTAGAAAGAGTTTCGGCGGCCTAGGGCAATCAAATGTAGCGGCAGTTTGCCATATTTATTGATAGTACTAACTGGAACAACTATAGCGATAGTTGTGTGTAAATTTCTATCAAGTGTTGGCCGAAATTCATACGTAAGCCACATATCAGTAACTAATTTCAATACAATCGGAACATTCCTGAACTAATTAAAATTGTAACATATCATATCATGTATGTCGGTAGAAAGTGAATTAGTAAGGCATCAATAATCAGGAATATGATATAAGTACGAAAGAAAGATGATTAACACTTTCCTTACAATTGCCTTATGTACTCAAATAGATCTTTGTTAATATGCTAGCGCAGATTATTGCATCGTTGGTCAGTAAAAAGGATAGTAGTTGAGAATATTGAATGAAGACATTTTTAGTTAGTCACAATGAGAGTAAAATTATTAAAGGAAGTTGGCGTATTTTATTTTTATTAAGGTTTCAAATGGTCGAAATCTTATCTATCGATTCCTCTTCTACTAAATTTTATGCTGCAATAACATTTAACGAATTTTCAGGAGATTTTAACGTAAAAATTACGAACAGGAGGATACAGTAACGGTAAAAATGATGTAAAGGTTACAATTTCACAGCACAGCTTCCTTTCCGTTTGCAAACTAAAATTTTTATCAAACAACAATATGAAAACTAGTCCGCTAGAAGGAAAATTAACTACTTCTAATAGTCTAATTTCTATCGAATTAATAACCGGACTCTTGATAAAGACGGCGAGACAGTAGTTGAGTACTAAAGTAGAAAGTAAGGATCGTTTACTAAACTAGCTATCAAAGAAATAGTTTAATATATTAATTGTTCTGCAATGAAAGCACCGCCTAACCACCAATTGGTTGTAGAATTGGAATTGGCGGAGCAAGAGAACTGTGGATTGACATTTTTGTAGTTTCCAAATACATCTTCACTCGATATTTTATCCGGAACGTCGAATCTATCGCAAGCTGTTGCTGCTGTTCCCAAATCAACAAACTGATGATTTGTATTACCTCCATAAAATGGTACCCTGCACTTTCGGCAAAGTTTTCCTCGAACGTTAATGTAATCAACGCGAACGCAATAGTAACTTGAGGTGGCACTATAAAAGTTCGTGTATTGACAGAGAGAACCTCGAAGGTAATCGCGATGGTTTGTTAAGCCAGTTCCATTAACGGGATTAAAGTTGCAAGTAACTCGATAATGCGTTGTACCGTATGAACCTTGGATACTTTGTATTCGAACTTTAGATAAACGGAATTTATTCCAATTTATATGACACTCAGCAAGAGGATGGTCATAATAAAAAGATTTTCGGTTTTCTAACTGTTGGGCTTCGTGTAAGGTAACGGATTCAATTAAGGTCCAAATGAATGGGGGCTCCGATTCGAAATCGCAATAAGTTGTATATGGGCTGAGATTAGAATCGAACAGGTTATAGAATCCATTTTCGGTTGTTTGCATAAACTCCTTTATTTCATGGCACGATTTAGGCTTATGCTTGATTACCTTTGTGCGATGAAGATAGAATAAAATAACTTGTTTAAGAAATCAAACACTCGTTTGAATAATAGGATAATATAATTATGGCAAACTTACCGAAGACATTACCGCAGGAACGATGGCAAACGCCATAAGGATTAGAAAACAAAGTTTTGCCATGTCTGCAATTACAATCTTGTAAAGATGATTTTCGAGCGAATGATCTTTGTCACAAAATCGTAGTTCTGATTTATAACCGCTATATACTGAACGTTTTATTACTTATAAGTGATTCTAACTGTAATGCTTTAGTGAATAGAATATATTTGACACTCATGAATAAGGGGAAATATTTACGTTAGGGAACAATGGTGTCCTCGCTATCAGTCTATATTCTTTCGACTCTTGTAAGACTATTAATTAGATATTGAAATTATTTACCTTCGATACATTCATTCACAATAACTGATTATAAAGTAAAAAGTGGAAATGGAGCCTATAGAAATCATGTGCGTAGAGGTGACATCGAAGAGCGATTCAATGATTAGCTGTCAATTATAAAATCAACATAGCCTCGTTCCCATAATCAGTGATTTGAAAACGGGAAATTTGTTGATGTCATTTAATAAACACAATCTTAGTCAATCCTTTGTAATACGAGATAAATTGCAGTATGGGAGTCTATTCTAAAATTTCAAATTAAAGATTTGAGCCCCTCTGCTTAAAACTGTATCGATATCGTACCTAATAAATGTTACATCTTTTAATTAACGAGAAAATTGCAACTTTCCTTATTCCAAAATTTTAGAAATCCGCTTCCTGGTTACTTGCTTGATATTCAACTAATCAGCCAGAATATAGTAAATGAATTCTGGTAATGGTAGCGGAAATTCTATTGGATGCATATTATTCATTTCTTGGCTCTACTTCCATTGTTATGCAAAATTATTCCATCTTATTTCGAGTTCTCTGTGCTAGTAAATGAACAAGAAGTGATATTGAGCTGATCATACACAGTGTAGCAATTATTCCTATTATGTGTACGATGGATATTATGACATTTTTTCGTAGGAGAAATGATTTTGAGGCTCTTAATAAAATAGCTATGAAGGCAATTGTTGTAGCTCAACAATCATTCTTACGATATGTGCTATGGATATTTTGACATTGCTCCTAGGAAAGAAATGATTTGAGGCTCTTAACACAACAGCTATATTAAGATAATTGTTGTTAATTATTGCTTCCCGATGCAGTACCGAGCCGTATTATGATTGAATTGATATTAGAGACGATACTGATTTTATTCTTCCACTTATTCATTGCCACAACTCAAACATGACTAATACGAACTACTAGTATTAATATTAGACGAAACTTCATTCACATACAGTATATCGCAATTTATTCTGAAAAAAATCGATCGAATCTTAAAGTATTTAAGATAAAAGTTATTAAGAGGTACAAGCAACCGATGAGATGCGTTCATCAACATCTTTAAGCCTCTTGCTGAGAAGAACAGTGTCTGCTTGTATTTAGTAAATAATTTTCAATCTAAAGCATTAACAGTTGTAGGCTGCTACATGGCTATAAGTGTAAGCTGTAAAGTAAGATAATTTTCATATCGGTACCAGTAGTCCTAAATGTAGCCATACAACATCATGTAGTATACTGTATTTTAATTGATAATTTAGTAAAATCTACGTAATGAAGGTTAATTTTTAGAATTCTTCAAGTTTATTTAATTTCAGTAAGTATTGTGACTTAAAAAGTAATTTAATTTGATTTAATTATGGCAGATTCTACTTAGTGTTTTAATATATCGTAAACATGACCACTTTGTTCTGACTAGAATTTAATAGCATTCGTTAACTTAATTTTGCTAAGAGTTGCACAATGTAAGATTGTAAATTTGGCCATATATTTAGATAATACAGCAATCAAGTTGCAATCTTAAAATTAGCAGCTAACTTGACTAGAAGTTACACCAGAAATGACATTATTTTATAACGAAATACACTGAAAACCTGAAAGTTCTAATCAGGATTCTAATTTAAGATTGATGATCTTTTATAATGCTTTATTATAGTTACCTTTCGTATACTGTAGGAAATCCTTGTTGTAGTTAAATTACGGTTAATTTTTATTAATTTAGTCTTTCGGGAATCTAGGGTATAATTTGTTTATCATATGCGTTCAATTGCTAGTTTGATTAGGATTACTTTAGAACGGTACTGTAAGATAGTAATCTAACTACTGCTCTATGTGGCAAATAAAAGATGGCCTAGTTCAATAGCTTAGTAGTTCAAGATAGAGAAGGTGAAGTAAATAATTTACCTAATTCGTCAGTAAATCGTATTTTACGTTGATAATTTGATTGGTTAAGGCAGCAATTCTGCCCTTTTTGTAATTTATCATGTACAATTAATAGAATTTTTAGATAGTTATTATAATAAACTGTGCTTTCCCCTAATTTCCTTGCGTTGGGATTCAGAAGTTGGTAGTTTTATTTGAATTTTTCGTCCATTGTAATATTACTTCTATCAGCGATATCGATAATGCGCATTTATAGTCAAATTATTAAAAAGGAAGTTTTAAGATGTAAAGGGCCGCGGCGAAACCTACTTTTATAGGTGCTGACAAGGATCGCTAAGTAAAATGCATCTTTTCGCCTTCGTATTTATTTGACCTGCTTAAGCATAATCATATGCATACTTATTACTCATATCCTTTCATATTAGGAAGGTTAATCGTTTAACTTATGTACAGAATTGACTTTAAAATAAATAAGCCTTATTATAAGGCTAAAATTTGCTAATTGGTATCTCGGTAGGAGATGCAAGATAAAGAGAACACACATGAAGTCATTATCAGCTATCTTACATGATCAAGTGCGATCTATTACATGTTAATAATAGTAGAGATCTACCATAATGATACGAAGTTGAATTGTGGTTATAACATCTGATTTAAATACGCTAAAATGGTGCTAGAATAGATCTAATATTCATAGCAAATAATCGAAAATCTTGTAGAAACAATCAACGGAGACGCGAACATGTGCTGACAAATACGGTACGAGAAAAGTTCATTCGATGAATGCTCCTCCTATCCACCAAGCAGTAGTTGAATTTTTATTTGTGGCGCAAGAAAATGTAGGATTAAGATTGCTATAGTGACCGAAAACGTCTTCATTTGCAATATGGTCAGTAACAACAAATTTTCTACAGTAGGTACTAGCCACAATGAGATCGATGTGAAGATGCTGTGATGTAGAACTGTAAAATGGTACGCTGCATTTTCTACATGATTGCCCTCTAACGTTGATATAATCTACTTCTACACAACGAGCACTGTTAGTGGTAAGAATATAAAGGCCTTTACATGCGGAAAATCTTAAATAATCACGACGATTAGCTAAGCCAGTTCCCATATCAATATCAAAATTGCAGGTCGAACGATAGTGTTTCGATCCGTACGCACCTAAAATTGAGCTTCTATGAGCTGATGTTAAACGAAATAGAGACATTGATGTGTTACATTTGCCTAATGGAAGATTAAGCTCGAAGCTTTTACGAAAAGGCGCTTTTTGAGCGTTTTCCAATGTTAAAGATTCGATTAATGTCCAGACGAAAGGTGATTCTGATTCGAAATCGCAAAAGCTTCGGAATGGGTTATTGTTAACATCGTATAAAGTAAAAAACCCGCTTTCTGTAGGATTAAGGTATTGCTTGACTTTATAGCACGATTAAGGTTTATGATGCATCTACAGAAGTGGATATACCGGTAAATATTTTATAAATAAAACTCAAATTATTGAAGTCGCAATTAGTGCAGAATCTCGGAATTGAAGATAGGAGGACTATTGAAACTTACTTTAGATATAACAAATGGTAGTAGAGCCACGACTGCAAGAAGAAGATGTGAGGTTTTTGCCATCCTGAATTTAATGAGTAGTTAAGAGTGTTCAGTTGAGCTATTCAAAAAGTTGCTCTCGAAATACAAAATTTCTGCAGAATACTGGCATATTTTGATGTTGTTCAAATTTATACTTAAAAATTTTATTATTTCTGATAGTACGGTACTTGATGACTGCAAACATCTAGAGTTGATGAATAGGTAGATCACTGTATTAATTCCTTTTGTTGTTAGCCTCAATTTGAGATACCAATGCCATTGGATATAATACAACAATTAAAAGAATAAAGATTTCTACGCCCGAGAATTACGGCATGTAGTCTACCTCACTTTGATAAACAGTGAAGTCATCTCCGCAAGAGGCTGTCTTTCGAATACTTTAAATGCTCTAATAATGAGTAATTACTTGAGCCTTGCATTTATTAAACCGTTGACATTAAATGGCAGAAGATGAGCCACAAGTTCGAGCTAATCATATCAGGGCTGCTAGTTAGGCATCAACAACTTTTTTATGATACATTGAATGTAAACTCATAAGATGCCGTAGTTCAGACGCAATAATTTGCTGCTATAAAGTAAGGTCCAGATGCAATGTGATAAAATTATTTGCGCAGACGATTTCATACTAGTTGTCCAAAGTGGAAACTTCTAGTCGTGCTGATTATAGTAGTAATGTTAATAATTATAATTTCCTCTGTCTTTGCTCTTTCGTTACCGTACATATTATCCCCATTTTTACTACATGAGTTGAAGCATCTTGCATAAGATTTACTGAGGTGCATAACTTAATGTAAAATTTGATACAGGGTTAGCATGAATTTAAAGTTAATTCAAATGTTCTATGCACTCCAGTTTCCTTTGCGTTCTAGAGCGGCTAAACTCATTAACAACATCTTATAGCAAACCTCGTTACAAATTTTGCACCTTAGTAAATTACTTATATTACCATAAATTCAATTGATGATTACTTCTTTATCAAGATTAGAGAGGCTTTGTGATGACCGTTTTAATACGACTTCATCTCCCTTTTCTTCCTCCTGCATCAATGTTTACCTTCTTACGACGTAAAGTAGTACTAATTTTAAGGGTTTATTTCATATTATTGAATTCTTTTCTGGCTATGCTGTGAAAAAAATAGAATTTGCAAACTAGGCCTATGCTTATAATCATTCTAGTATACAGAGTACGTATAGTCTCAAATAGCAGATTTTATTATAGTTTATTACAAAGTTAAGTTATCTTTTACTGCGCAAAGTAATCAGTTCTGTTTCGTCAGAAGTAGTTACCCGTCAAACTGATGTATTGCTCGTCAATCAAAGTATGTAACATTGTTTTATTAGAATTACGGAGATGAAATGGTGAGACTTCACTACAGAAGAAAAGTTTAATTTACTGTATAACGGACCATCGTAAGACGAAGATTAAGGCAAATAATGCAATAATTTTTAATATAAAATAGTTATTAGGTATTATCAAGTTACATTACTGAGTATGCATGTACCAATTTGAGGCGATATGTAATAATAATTTCATTATAATTTTAACCATAGAAAAAGAATGAATGTAATCTGAACTTTACATTGGTAATTAATAGGAATTATTTTAGATTTTCGTTGATCTCTCCCACAAAACGAGAGAAAATTAGACGCGAAAACCCTCTGTCATCCCTCCTTGTGAATTATGTGCACTTTAGGTAAAATTTAATGATACAGCATCATGCATATCGGCTCGACCTCTTGATATTGGCCAATCTTTATTATTAACGATTCAAGAAAAGTCCAAGTAAACCAGTGTTTCGGCTGAAAATCACAGAAGCTTTTAAATGAGTTGCCACCAGAATCATATAACGTAAAGTAACCGCTCTCAGAAGGCTTTAGATATTGCTTGACTTCAGAACAGGATTGAGGCTTGTAGTATACCTATTAGTGTAAATTAATTCAAATTATTATAGTTATAAGACTTTACTTTTTCACATATCCTTATGATTGTAAACTATCGTTAATAGAACAAAAAATTTGAAGATTGAACTTACCGATGATAGGATTACGGGCACAACCACTATAGCTATTATCGCAAAAGATGCTGTAGAAGTCATGTTAAAGGATTGCCTAAATTATAAGCACGTTATCGTACTATTATTAATTATTAATAACTAGTTAACGCTTTAAAGGTTGCCTGGTCTTGACAAAACATCAAATATTTAGGTAGAAAAAAATGGACTGACTTGCAAAGTCATCTATACTTTGAAGGAATAAGATACTTATACGACATTCATAAGCAGAAAGTGATAGTCGGTTCACGAATTAATAGATATTTTTCGAAGCAGTAATTTATGTAGTTTAATAATTACTACCCGATTAGCGAAAGATTGATTAACATTATTTACTGAGATGTGTACTGAAAAACTTGCAGAAAATACAATTAAAAACTTCTCTATAGGCTGATCTCAAGTAGGTGGTCCTACTTAAATGAGAACAATAGTTATAATGACCTTGAAGAGATATACTTACCCTTAGCCTCGTTTTGAATTTGGATCTAAACTATTACTGATTATCTTCACGCAGTGGTTAGAAAGCATCTAGAGAGATGATTAATTGCTGTGTATACAAAGTGGACTCATAGTCCTGTTTTGGAACAAAATACATCATATCGATTATATAATAGGACTTCCATATTGGCTTTACTCTTATTCATACTCTACGGAAATAATTTTATCATTACTAAGCAAATTTTTATAATCATCCATGGTGATAAAAGAACGTTGTTGTATATGCAACAAATTTAGATGAATTAGCCTTTACCTCGGTTTCATGCCTTTTCGATTCTTGATTACATGATAAAGCCCCTCCAGTAAGGTAGTGCAGTACATGCGCTAAAACCTTAAATTACAACATCATTTTAAAAACATATTTTACTCTTGATCTAGAGGAGTGGAGTTGAATCGCTTGCAGTTACTGTAATGTGTTGGTGAGCTTTGAAATGATTTTACTTAAAACCATTTGCTCTGAAATTTATTTACGAGTATACGAGTACCTTTATCCACATCACTTAAACCGGTTTCAAAGCAATAAATTTGAGGCACAAAATATGCTAATCTCCTTCAATTAAACTATCGGAAGCAGTAGCTAAGAGAACTGCAGCTGACTAAAATATGTCACTTTATCATGCGATTTAGTAACGAATAACGGATTTACTCCCTATTTATTATCATTTCCTTTCTGGTTTCAATAGATCTATTGACATTTGATTTATTAAGGTGATATTGTTTCAAGTTGTCAAATAAGATAAAAAAAAAATTTATTAAATTCGTAGCATAAGCAAGAAAAGAAAATACCTGTAGTCTATGATGGCATATTAACGTGCAGAGCAACTAAAATGATTACAATAGCAAACGTAGGATATATCGAAAAAAATATGAGTATGCTTGTAATATAGTTTCTACTCAGAATCTCAGCGCAATTATACATAACTACAATTAGTTATCGTAAAATTGATCATTTATCTACCAGAAATCGTGCCCTGCTATACTTGTCGATTTCTTTTCAAAAACTGTTCCAGAAAGATTTTTACGTCATATCCTAAGAAATACTGCTAGTACTAAAATATTTAACACCACTATCTAATATTGCATTACAAGTATAATTATTGATCAAAAGTTAAATTAGAGTAAAATGCAGTAAAGTTGGCCTTCATCCCTGATGATCAGGATACATGTCTTCAAAATACTAGAATTCTAAAATGCTTCTGCAACATAAGCTCCACCGATCCACCAATTGGTCGTAGAGTTTTTATTAGCTACACACGAAAATAAGGGATTAGAATTAGAATATTGGCCGAAAACATCTTCATTCGTAATCGCATCTGGAACAGCGAATTTGCTACAGTGAGAAGCCGAATAGGTAAGATCGATATGATTATGGTAGGTTGTTGTAGCATAAAATGGCAATGTACACTTGCGACAGACGTGTCCACGTATATTCACATAATCAACGACACGGCATAGATATGCACCATAAGACTTAAATATATACGTATTATGACAAAACTCTCCACGCATGTAATCGACACGATTTACTAATCCTGTTCCATTAACAACATTAAAATTACACGTTGCACGATAATGTGTTGATCCATACGAGCCAAAAACCGTATCCATTCTGATTTTGGATAGTCGAAATGCTGCCCATGACAGATGACATTCTCCAACTGGATGATTTTCAACAAAGCCTTTTCGATTAATTGTTTTTTGACCTTCTTCTAAAGAAAATGACTCTATTAATGTCCATACGAACGGTGGTTCTGATTCGAAATCACAATATGTCGTATAAGGACTGCTTAAGCTATCGAATAAGTTGTAATATCCATTTTCAGTCGCTTGAAGATACTCTTTGACTTCATAACACGATTTGGGGTGATGTTTGATAACCTATTATGAGACAACAATATCATTTCGTATTGATTATATATCGAAGTAGCAATGGAATTTTTAGTATAGTTCTATCGATAGCGTAATGGTTAAAAAAGATAAGTTAAATAATTAGCTATACCGATGACATTCCATTGGGTAGAAAAGTCGCAATGACGAGAACAAGTGCAATGAATTTGGACATTTTGTAAGTTAAACAATGAGTAACAAGACGATAGCGAGCAAGAAGTTATTTCTAGGAAATATACCCGTATTATTGAGAAGTGTGATTTACTGGATCTTGTACCCGAAAGAAAATGATGGAAAAACTGTACTGACGTAGCTATTTATATCCTGTAATATTGTAGTCTATATCTGGTGCTAAATTCTTTACGTAAATCTTAAACATTCTATTGAATGGTATCAAGCCGAAAAGAAATAATTATTATTTTGATTTCGATCTCGAACCAGCCTCAATTTAGCGCCTGCTAATATTCTGCAACAATAAATTTGATTGAGAATGGAATATTTTGAGCCTCACTCACATAAGCTTAACAGGATTCCCTACTGTACTAGTACAAAGTGAAATAAACGAAGACAAAGGTCATAATTGATCAATGCCGGTCATTTTTTACGTTAGAAAACTTGTAGCTGTATTGATTCATAAATAATAGTCCAACCACTTTTCGAGTTGTAATGATTGAAAGGAGAAAATTATTTCTATTATAAAATTATGATTTAATATTGTTATATCATTAGATCACTTTCTAGGTGTAAGGGAAACCAATTTTATAGCAATACGTAATGGATTAAATAATCCTAATGCTCTCGCTTTCTTATTTCTTAGAGGTACAGTTTTTTTTAATATTTAACTCTCCATCATGAGCTTGACTGCCACACACATGAATGAAATAATACACTATTTGATCTTCTTAGGGTTAACTGATCGCGGTCAAATTAGAGTTATTATTTAATAAGAAAGAGAAATGTTAGAACGGGCAATTACTCTAGCTACAGTTAATTTTACATATAACCATGTTGCATATGCAGCTATTTTATAAAAAATATCTTAGTTAATCATATCGACTAATGTCGGCATTTAGAATACAATACATACTGAATTCGCAGAGAAGTTAACTAAAACATCATATAATCTGAAGTCATAAACTGTTTACAGAAAGAGTCAATCTCTATGGATCCATTTATACCCGCTACGATATTGGTTTCAACGTTGTTTTACATTCATATTTATATTAATGTAGCAGTATCATTGCATCGCCGTCATGCTCTATTACCAATATATCCAAAATATGCAACAAAATCATTTGAGCAGTCCGTTTCATTGATCCAGGTATTACCGTGATAGCTACCAAATAAGCTAATTAAAGTAATCTTGCCAATAATAGCTACCTATCACATAATATCATCTTTTTCTTCTCACACATCGATTACTTAAGCAGATGTGAAGATTATAAAGTAACAATCCAAAGATTTCTGTTCTGCTACAGCTTCCTAAATTTTCTGATTTAGATTTGTTAATAAAACCAAATCGGGGATCATTCGATCTGCCGCGATTGCATTTCGCTATGCAATTATTGCAGCATAGACTGCATAACATAGACTGAAGTATGGTGATCAGTAAACTAGTTACACGAAATATCACGAGCGAGGAAATGCACTAGTTGGATACTAAGAAAATGTCTATTATGCTACGGTATGGTACAAATATTTTTATGATACAAATTGATATGATCATAAATTTATACATTATCATGGAAATGGCCAATATATCAATGTAAATTCAAGCGCCACATCTAACGTTTTAGTTCTTTCCACTAGCCGTAAAAATGTAGGATAAATTCTCCATAATTTCATATATCATACATGTACTGTAAGTGATAGCAGTGAAGACAGATTTATTACCGTAATAAACTGTAAATATCGAATTTACAATCAATTATGACATATTTGCACTGTATCTTAAATTACAATAATTTAAATGGATCAGAACTAGAAGTTCTTTGAGACAGTCAAATTGCTTAAATATAAGCGTCTTAAAATGATTAAGATTTCGCATCATGCAGAAAAATAACTCAAGCCGACCAAAATTCATTCAACGTAAATGCCATCAATCTACCAATTAGTAGTTGAATTGTAATTGGCTAGGCAAGAGAAGCCAGACGGACGAGCTCCGTAATGACCGAAAACGTCTTCATGATGGGTAATGCCATTAACTTTGAAAGTGACGCAATGGTTTGGTACTACAGTGACATACAGATGGACATGAGCATCTGAAGAGCTATAGAATGGTATCTTGCACCTTACGCATGAACTTTTCTTGATATAGCCTACTTCAATGTACTGATTCCACTGATTGCCAAGAGTATTACGCTTCTTACAAGCTGATTATCTTGAATAATCACGACGATTTTTTAATCTTGTTCCTATATTTGGATTAAAATTGCATATTGCGGGAAAATGTACTGATCCATATGCAGCTATAATAGAACTCATTTTAGCAGCACTTAAGCGAAATAAGGCCCACGATGAATTGCATTCACTAAATGGGGCATCCACAGGAAATCCTCTATGATACGTTACATCCTTATAATTCTTAAATGATAGCGATTCTATTAACGTCCAAACGAAAGGTGGCTCAGATTCAAAATCTGAATAGCTACTAAACGGATTTTCAATCCAGATCATATAGAGTATAATAACATTTTCGCGAGCTTGATATAATATGAGATTGAAACGAGAAATATCTAACTTACAACTAGCTCTACCAAAGGTAATATAGCTGCAAGAACAAGAAAAAGTAGTATCTTCAACATGCTAAACTATAATGTGTAAGGATTACTTCACTCAGTTTGCTATTACTAATATGATTATGAAAACTATGAGTCAGTTTTTTAGACTTATGTCGAGATATATAATTAAAATATTTCTTTATTTCTGTAGTTCAATTGACTTAGATGGCCCCGCTGGGTTAAATTGAATATATAAAGGTAGTTTTGATTCATGCAATACATCAACCTCAATTACGAACTAACTTTCCTATCGTGACTGTGATGGCTGCAACGAAGCTTAAAATTAATAGATTTTGTGTTGCTCTAATACTCAAGTCAACTGTTAATAGAAGCAAAATATCTCGCTCTGACTATGATAAAGTACCTGAAATTTCATCCTGAATTTATACTAATAGCTAATTGCTTAAATATAAAGAATAAAAAGGAGATCTATTATTTAGCGCCAAATTACAACTCGTATCTATGTCATCGGCTACTTGAATCTATATGAAATATTCCCCACCTTAATTAAATAAAAAAAATTATTTGCGTACGTGTTATAAAAGTATAGTAGGACAAAGTGATTTTCCATAAGTTTTATACTTAAGTAACTGTCATACATCGTATTTATGTGTCACACACCACTAGTGACAAAGTAGTCTACACACGCCAATCCTTGCGGAGAACGCCACTTACTAACTTAAAGAGGCGAGATTAGCTATATCACCAACTAATTCAGTTCCGACAACCGAATACTATGGTATAATTATAGCGTCACAGATGATGTAGACGAGATAGTCAGAGATTTACTATCATTTATTACTGAAGGAATCTTGGCACCCAAGATTATAGTCTTCACAATTAAATATCAATTGAAAACTAGTTGACTATCTAACCGACTAACGAACTAAAAAGGAATTAACAGTGCATTATCATATTAATCAAAGATTAAACAAGTTATATGAAGAAATGACAATTAACAAAACGTCAATCCACACAAGCAATATTTAATATTACTCAATAATTATAATTAGGACGAGCTTACGCATCGTAACATTATGCTAAAATAAATTTATATTATTGGCATCTTTAAAATGAGGCTTTGGTTTATTTACATAACAATACTAACAGAACGCCTATGTAGCCTTTGAATAATACGCTGATTCATAAAAAAAATTAAAAAATAGATCAAATCGATTGCAATTCGTTCCATACGTCCTGTTTAATTCTAGCTACTCCTTGAAATGTAGCTGTTTGCATTTATCGCTGTGATATAAATTTAAATAACTTGCAAAAGTTGTGATAGTGGACATTGATAATACTCTTTCGAGTATAAAAGTTCTTAAAGCCACTATCAGTAAATCTAGTAAGCTATAAAAGGATTTATTGAGAAGTAGTTTAAATTAATTGATTCGCAACTATCTTCATGCCGCTTTAAAGCTTTGCTGTTTCCATAAAGTATGGCACTATTAAATACTTTTATTCATATATTAAAAACTAATAAGACAACTCGTTCCGCCTGTTCAACTCTACGTTGCATGCAAGTAAATAAGACTTTAAATTCATCAATTGCTTGCTTTACAGTCTGTAATTATGAATTAGAACATCAAAGTAATAAAATTACAGCTATAAAAATTGCCTAGATTAATACTCATTGTTCGCGGTTTGCTATCCATACGTATCGTGACATTTCTACAAAAGGTTATCAGAGCTAAATATTTCTGATATTTAGATAGTTATTACGTATTATACGACGATGAATTTGTTTCATTATACAACTTTAAAACGATGCTTCGGTTTAATTACATAACAGTACTAATACGAATTTTATACAAATAGATCAGATTGATTATATTTCTATTTCATTGGTTGTACCATCTCTTTGACATACGACAGTTTTGAATTTAAAGTTATTGCATAAATTTTTATAATCTATAATGTTCATATAGTAGATATTAAACACTACTCTTCGAATATAGTAGCAATTTGAGTTGCTATTAGTAAACTGGCATGCTCTCTTTAGGCTTTATTATTTCCATAAAGTCTTACACTATAGGTCATTTTAACATTTAACTTTGCGGTATATACTTGTTTTATTAACTAAATTAAGCAATCTTTACCAACCTAATTGCTTTTATCGTATACTTGGTATTTTCTACATATTTTTTACGGACGGTATATGTTTAGAATAATATGATAGAATACAGTGCCAGCATTTTAACATGGGTTTCTAGATTCAGTCGCTTAAGCTAAATACTAGTTTCTTAGCACCTCTGCTACAAAAAAGCTAGCAACAGCTAACCGGTAATAATTATATACGAGAAAGTAATTATATTGGAAAGGCAATCTCAGCGCTTTGGCGATATTTCATATAGCCATGAGTTATCGCTAATAATATATCTTATGCATTCTCATCTTTTGATGATCTTATCAATCCTTGATATAAATAAACCAAAGAAATTGATAAGTAAGGCAAAAAAATTTTATTAATTTTGTAGCTTACTTCAGGCTTTGCACAAGTTAGAAAGAAGATATATACTAGATAGAATCGAAAAAAAAGTACGACTAAATAACTAAATTGGTTTAACTGTCCTCTTTAAATGCTTTAATACGTAAAAGGCCTTCAATATATAACTTTTCTCATATCTCGAATTACTTTATAGAATTTCAGTTGCTATACAAGGTGACCGTAATAAATCTAGTCCTACTCCGGAGCGATTAATATAAAATATCCTTATAATTGATTTTATAACTTGTGCACCAAAATAGCATTTAGTTAATTAACATTGAAATGCTTATCATTCAGTTTAAAAAGCTAGCATATACGGCGGCTTCCCTACCGCATAAAAATAATAAAATAACTTATGTTAATCTTATTAGGTATCGGGAAAAGTAATCTGTAATTTTCTTTCGAAATAGCTTTTGGTAACAATAAATTATTTTTTTAACCGTTTCAACCAATGTATTTATTCGTTTTTGATCTGTAACCTAAGTAAATAAAGTGGTTTCATATTTTAATCTACAAGTTACGCTAGGTCAATCTAAATATAACAGACTATTGAACTCAAATTTAATGCCTTAAAATCGAAATGCAGTATTCAAAACAACTGCGAGTACAGGGTAGATTTACGGTGCCCAAGCCATCTAACTTTGCTATCTTCTCTCCAAAAACATAAAACATTATGTGTAAATTGATATGTTTAAGTTGCTATGCAATTATAAATTTCCAAATTTGAGGAATCTAGGGACAAGCCGAGAGTATTTATTCATACGTGTAAGTGACCGTTATTTTATCTATTCTTGGCCTAATTGATAAACTAGTCATATTCTTTAAAAAAATCGTTAAAACTTTGCAAGCTTATAGAAAGTACCAAATGATATTTTCTACTCATTATCTTCAAGCTTCAGGAAAGATTTGAACAGTTCTAATTAAAAAAGATCAAATTCATCGTACTCGTACTTTACTCTTTCCAAATTGATATACTAGCTCTAGCTAGATTGAGATAAGTATAAAATTAGCCTAAGATTTCTACTATAAGCAACGACGTTAAAATTTAGAGATAACATGCTTAATTTTATTTAATAACTAGGATTTATTACATTTTAAAAATTAGCTTCAAATATCTGCTTCGTCTAGTTGATAAATAGAGTTACCTTCTAGAGATATTGTAATCTACATAGATTATAGATCAGTTAGTCTTCGATAACGGTCAATATACTGAAAATAAACCCACTTTCAGTCCAAAAAATTACTCCACCTCTCGAAAGCTACATAGAGTTATTGGTGGTACCAAAAATATATCGACATTATTAACCAATAATATTTCTAGAATAATTTTAAAGATTTCGTCATCAAAATAACACTTATTCCAGAGTTCAGACAATTAATGCCTAAAAATTTCTTATAATAAACTACAGTACTAACAGAATCTGTACAGCAACACTTACTAAATTATATTACTATATATGTACTAGTAACTGACCATTAAACATTAAGATTTATTTATTAAAACAAACAATTTTTCTATAATATGACAGATATTTCTACTGTTTAGAAATCATGAACAGAAAATGTTAGCTGATGAAAAGTATTGGTAGGACAGATAATTGACATAATTTACCAGAATCGCTACCCGGTTGGATACGTGTAGCCAGGGAAATGTAGTATTGTTATTTAATAAAATTGCAGACTAATGATTTGTAATTGCTAAGCATGATCGAAAATAGATTAGCTGTTTCTGTATTATCGGCATATTTACAGGTGCAATGCGGAAAATGATACCCAATTAACTAATTGACATTAAGTCCGGAAAGATTCCAGTAATCTTTAGTCTGCACGCATATTTCGATCAGTTTAGCAGTTGTTAGAAATAATTCATTACAAATCGTAGATTTTATACCAATTTGAGCACTAAATCCACTCAAGTACCTAATATAAATCTTATCTTCGAAGTCTGCAATAATGATATGCATATTATTTGAACAAAAACTTTTTGCACGGTTACTGAAATGAGTCACTATCTCAACTTTGAATCCTCACTATTCATGTTATTACTTTGAAATTGATTGAAGTAAAATAATTTATTTATACTGTATTTTATCATTGATTGGCATGCTTGTTATTCTTACAAGTTTACCTGAATTTATAACAGCACTACGAGCATATAAAAGGATCAAGATCTTAAATTTAGCTCAACATTTTTGCTCTTTGGAAGTTATCTGTTTACGTACCCTTACGCATTTATTTTCTAGTCCCTAAGGCGTTTCTTATGCAACTATTTGTAAGAATGACTAAAAAAATCGTCTCCATTTACCTAATGTTATTAATGATGCTGCCACTGGCAAAACTAGAGGTATTTGAGTATATTTGATTATATTATATTAATTATTTATGATGTAATTTTACTTAAATCAAAGCATTATGATTACAATCCTTATCTATACTTTTAGGAAATTTCATCGAAGCCGACAACATGCGTCGCCATAAGAAGCAAATATCGTATCACGGAGAATGGATATTTTACACTCTATGATTCAACAAATAAACCCTATATAGCCTTTTGTGATTTTCAATCGGATCCTGGATTTGCATGGACACTAATTGAATCACTTTCAACAACAAGCGCACGTAGTTCGAAATTTCGTAAAAGTTTTAGTTTTAATGTTCCGTCAAATGAATGTACACCTAATTGGACAGGCTATCGCCTTTCAAAATCCAAAATGACAGCAATAAAGAGCTCTGCATCGTCAACTCATTTTCGCGCTACGTGTAACTTCAACGGCCAAAGCCAGAAAGGATTACAGAATCGTGACGATTACCTAAGAGTTTCACTATGTGCATATAATTACCTTCTGAGTACCAGAAATGTCTGGACTTGCGCTATCGTAGATTATATTAATGTTCGGGGCCATTCATGTACTAAATGTAGTATTCCATTTTATAGCTCGAATGCCTATCATTTATTTATACATCTCCCAACATCCAAATCTTCATGTGCAAGATTTACTGTCCCTGAAATGATTACAAATGAAGATGCCTTCGGATTTTATCACAACGTCAATATAAAATTCTCTTGTACTGCAAATAGTACGTCAACAACAAATTGGTGGATTGGTGGAGGTTACTTCGATTGATTCTTTGTCTACATATAATGATTATTCGTAATAACCATGCACGTGTATTTACTCCTTTAACCACATTATTGATGATTTAATCTTAAAAATATATCTGATAACGCAAACAATCAATATCATCTATATTGTCAACATAGAATTATGCAAATTCAAGCAGAAAATTAATTGTAATGTTAATTTTCTTCAATTTTTTCTTGTATGGCTAATAAATAACTTTGAAAAATTATCTTGAAAGATTAAACACTTTATGATGTGCGGTACGCAAATCATGTAAATAAAGAATTTTGTCACAAAGGAATCGGAAGTATATATAGTGAATAATAAACTTATAATTCTATAATATTTTAGATCAATTATTCATATTTATTATTATCCATAGCGTAGCTATACTAATTATAAATAATGATTTAGTAAATCTAGAATCTCAGTGATATATTCGTGTACCTATGTTCACTCATTCATCGTAGCAATGCAGGTTATCAAATCTTTCAAGAAAATAGATATAGGTAAAAATAGCAAATTTTTGTAAAAATCTTTTCTTATTAATACCATAATTAGATCAGTCTCTGTTACAGTGATTAAAAATTCACATACGGTCTGACGTAGGTCTCCAATGTACCTAAAGTTTCGATGTAAGTAATTTTAGATTAAAAATTTATAAACATCAAGACGAGCCCTCGTACATTAACCAAAATCAGTCCAAGGTGCTCTCTAATTAAGCCTCTTTTATAATATTTCTCCAGGATATTTAATGTTAAAAAGATGGAACTTCAACATTACACAGTGAAATTAGGAAAATGGGAAAAAAGTCATAGAATTTCAGTTGATAACTACGATTGCTAGTCAGCTTTCGCATGAATATTATTCTTGCTTCCTGCTCAATAAACATGAAAATTTACTATAGGTTTCATGCGATTTCTAGCATAATTTGAGGCTACAGCAGGTCATGGAGAATAAATTGATATAAGTATACAAATTATGATATATGTAATATAATTTATCAACCTAATAGAACAAGTCAGAGGAAATTACGTCAAGACATCATCATGAACCTATAAGTGTCACGTTCAGCCCACGACAAGGAAACCTGGGTCTTTCGATCTGTACGAATACTAAGGCTACAACAGCCAAGTATGCCCCAACGGGCTAAGTGTAGACTAGACTTAGGCCTTTGGAAATAGTTTATTAAACCAAGGTAGTCTTGACATCCAAGACTACTCTAACTACACGCGTACACTACACGGACAATCGTCAACTCTATAGCTAATGAGAGCACCGGGCTTTATATACCCTAGCTCGGTTGCACTCGGTGCACAGCTTAGATAAATAACTCTAAAAATATATAGCTTTTGTATAGCCGACTGTCTATATGGTTTAGTATGACAGACGGCGTAAACAACACTAATGAGTTACAAACTAATTAAGAGCCAATTAACAATCAAAGGCTCGGCACAAAGTAACAGAAATTACTATGTGTGAATATTGGTTGTCACCTCTGTAAATACACTACTCTGCACAGAGTTTACAACAAGTATAACAACGTTATAATTATCTAATACCTAATTAATAAAGGTTATTAACAATTAATAAAATCTTAATTACTAATTACTAAAACTAACACTACAATTAATTGACGGAGTCTGTACTCCGTCACAATAAGTTACAATAAATAGTCATTGATCGCAAGTAGCTGTAAGAATGGAAGATATAGGCAGTTCAATATTTGTAAGCAAGAATAAATTTAATATTTTATCAAAAACGAAACCAATACCGAAAAGATGTGAAATCTATTTATTCATCGCATAATTATTATAGTATTGTTAGTGATGTACTGTATACTACTATAGCTATTCAATGTTCGTATGCATTAAACATGCAGGATCTAACAGCGATTGGCGTTAATTTACTGACTGCTACTTTATGGTAAGTTATACAATAAAATACAATTGATTAAAGTTTTGAACAAAATTCCGACCGCGATTTAAGACGAAAATAGGCACTCGCAGTAAAACAGAAATTTATACCAGTAGTTACCATCATGCTGTAATTAAAACTGTTGCTGCAGTTATTTTATCGACCTTAAACCATATGCTATCGCATTAACGGCATATATCATATCAGTCTTCATTGTTATAGTATAATAACACAGCTTATAAATCTGGTCTTCTGAGCAAATACTTTATCTGAAATAAATGGGTTGAAACATCAAATATTTAGACTAAATCGCAAATTGAACACCGTTTACCTTAGTCATTTTCAACTGCTAAATTGAGAAGCCGAAGTAAATCTGTATGGAGTACTTTGACACAAAGATGCGCGTTACAGCAAAACCAACTTTCAGAATTATAATTGAGTTAGCAAATAAAAGCAGACAGCATTCCGAAACATAAATTAGAATAATTTATGTATATTTCTTAATTTTAGTTAAAAGCCTATGTAATAATTTAAATTATTTTAAATTACTAAGCGAATATGAGTTAATATATGCTTTACAATCTACATTCAATTCCTACCGTAATTAGCTCACTAGGCAATAGTATCTACATGTACTTTTACAATAATCGAATATACCACAACAGACCGTCATATTTAACGATAACTAACCTTTTTAATACTACTGTTAACTACCCTTATCTTCCCAGGTACTATAGCACAGTAATCGCTGATCTAATGTCTACGTTAATTAAGCAAACAATACCATAATTTACGCTAATATATAATCACGTAAGCCACTAAGTATTTCATCATACTGCCTTTACACAAGTGTACGCCATCTAGCTTGATGTAAAAGCTTATTTCTCATAATATTTACTTCAAACGAAATAACCTTATTAATTTAAATTCAGCAAAACTATATTCTGAGCAGGTGGTCTCAGCTAATTAAATTATGGTAGCTGTACATTGTGGGAGTGTGATAATAGCATGAAGTAAAGCACTACGCGACAAAAGGGGATAGAACTCATAAATTACAAGAATCAGATATCACTGAATAATATTTTAGCTGTAAAGCATATGTGCAGCACTCTGACCATCTTAGTCAAATGAAATAACGATTGCAGGCTTTCATTTGGTTTATTAATATTAGACTATCAAATTATGAGGTTATATGTATGTAGGCAAATGCAAGTTTAAAAAATTTCCGCCGTATTTAATTTAGGCAAACAAACTATCGATTGCAGTATTTCATTTGGTTTATGAATATTAGACCTTCAAATTATGTATCTGCATATATGTATGTATGTATGCAGATGCCAATTTAAAAAATTTTCGCGGTACGTCTCCAAGTCTTATTTACCTAAATTTCTCAACATGCATACTCGCAGTTATAGATTTGTATACTTTAATGTCTAGCAACAAAATCTCGACAATGTTAAGGCTTGAAGCTATATATAACAATTATTTATAAAGTACATCATCTGGATTACTGTGTCATAAATAGGATTATAATTATTATTTCGTAGAATCTCATAACTCTTGTAATATAGCCGAGTAAACCTATCTACGCCGCGAGAATTATACATCGCTTTTAAAATTTAAATGTTATCGTAAAGACTTTTAATACATCCTAGAGATTTACTGGAATAAAATTCACCGATATGATAATTGCCAGCCCATGAAGCAAGCGTGGCGTACTTTATTAACATCGTTCATATTGCTGTGTTAGTTTACTCTATATTATAAGATCATCAAAATTGCAACCTGACTGTCGGCGCAATTATTAGCGAGTCCAGACCTAGTAATTTATAGCGACTGATTTAAACTCGTATAAGCAACTAAATGTTTGTATTCACATCACTTTCAAAAAGCTCGTAATTTTAGTGCGGTCATATCTATAGATTGCTAGAGATATATGTGTTCGACGTTAGCGCTAGAAATGACTTTTGACAAACCCCATTTTTAATATTAATTTTATAGTAGGAAACTGACTTTCATAGTTTAATATCATTGAACATTCTAAACAGAAATATGAAGCGGTCATCTAATGAGTCATTATTTCAACATTTCATTCTTATTTACGATATTGCCAACTTTATTACTATTTGCAATGAAAATTTTATTTATACTCTATCAATGATTGACATATTTCAATTTTCGCTGAATTCCTTTGAATTCATTATAGCAGCAATACGAATAGATATAAAGAGTACAGAGTCTGCAGACCTTACCCGTGAAGTTTGGATTTACTCCTGTCAGTTGCTATTCTTAGGCACTTTTAGTTTGCATACAGTTGAGTTCTTATCATTTATTTGATCAGATATTAGCAAGAATGATTAAATACATGGTCTCAAGCTAACTGATAGTGTTGGTAATACTGTCACTAACAAGTTTAAAGGTAAATACATGAATCATAACTAGCTGCTACATGGTCACTTCTCCCGAAAGTAAGATCGTCTTCTGTTACAATTATATACGATACTTTCTTTTAGGAAATATAGTCGAAACCAATAACATGCATTGCAATTAGAAGCGAGTATCCTGCGGCAAAGAATGGATATTATACACTCTACGATTCTACAACTAAAGCTCATCTGGCATTTTGCGACTTTCGCTCAGATCTTGGATTTGCGTGAACTCTAATCGAATCGCTATCAACCGATAACGCGCGCCGCACAACTTTTCGTAGGAATTTCTATAATAATGTTCCACCTGGTGAGTGCTCACCCAATTGGACGGGTTATCGACTTTCCAAACCTAAAATGATGACTCTAAAAAATGCTCCATCGTCGACTCGTTTCGTGCAGCGTGTAACTTTAATAGTAACAGTTAGAAGGGGTTACAAAATCATTACGATTACTTAAGGGTATCATTTTGCTCATACAATCATCTCCTTGCATCTAAAAATGCTTGGACTTTCTGTCTGATCGCTTATAAATTAAGTTTTCATAAATGCTTCAAATTTCATAACGCCTTTTAATTGAATAGTTTCCAATTATGTATTCTTAGTTAACCTTGCGTAAGACAACAGTTTATATTTTTGATACTAAAATACTGTGTCAAAG